GTGTATCATCAAATTCTGTAGCAGTAAGGAACAGCAATAGTCACACAGTAATGTGTAACAAGTCATTCTAAATACCTCTAGAGCTCCTTCCACCTCCTTTCCCCACCACCACGCAGATGCACACAAACCGATCCCATAGGCTCAACCTTAGCAGTCCTCAGACCCCTCCTCCCCCCGCTCCTATGCCTGAGATTTGAGACACAACCCTCCTGGCTAATCAGGTTACTTTTTTGCCAAACATGCTGTATGTGGCAACTATGCTGTGACCGTCTTCTGCCTACGCATCAGTCTAATACTCTACCATATCTACTTACACTCTCTACCTCTTTTGGTGGGATGCATTGACAGCTGTTCCTCCCATATTCCAAGCAGCAAAACACTCAACAGAGAAATCTAAGTGGCCCAGAGATAGCACATAAATCCCACTATGAGTTTCATGAGTGCAGAACTTGACTATGATGACAGGTTGAAGTGCAGCTGGTGGCCTGGTGACAATCCTCTGGTTCTACTGGTATTCAGAGTGAGTCTACATCAAAACTGCTTGTAGGGAAAAAGGGAACAAGAACATTGCCCTGCTTCTGAGATAAGAACTCAGATTGCAGTTGGAACCAGGACCTCACAGAAGTCCCCCACATGTACTTTGTCAGGTTCATGAGTACAGAGCAGTAACCAGGTGCAATCACTCCTACAAAGTAAGTAGTGCAGGCCACACACCCAGTGTCACTAGTGGTGCTCTCTGGGATTTACTGGAAATTGTCTTCTTCTAGGATCTTTTGTTTTCCCAACATTTTTACAGTGTAACCACATTCGTTTTATAATCCAAAAAAATGTTCTCTAAAAAAGGTAAATCAATTCCAAATCTATACACCCAAAAACAACTATCAACTGAGCCACTTGGAGTAGTTGTGAAATAATTAAGATCAGACTCTGGAGCCAGGTTATTTGAGTTGAAATCTCAGGACTAGCTGTTGTGATTTTCAGTAAATTTTTTGGCCATCCTGTGCATTAGCTTCCTTATCTATACATATAACATAAGAATAATATCCTCCTTAAAGAGGCATTGTGAGGATTACATGAGCTAATATACACAAAACCCTCAGAACAATGTCTGCCATGTAGCAATTACATACTGGCTTACTTATCACCAGCTCCTATCGTGGCTCCAAATGCTCTGAACCATCTTTTGGAAGCACTGTGTTCAGGGCTGTAAACACCTCAATGCAGATAAAATGTCTTCCTTTGAGGATGGTTGGGGTTGGAAATAAGGTCAACTTACGAAGCCAAGAGTTTGATGTTCTTGTGTGGTTCACCTACTTCCTGCGAAGAATTCCTAAAGCATGCATGCACATACATGCTCAGGAGGCTCACACACTGCACAGACAGCTCACACATGTGCACACATGCTCAGACAGCTCACGTGCATGCACATACATGCTCAGACAGCTTACACGTGTGCACATATGTGCTCAGACAGCTCAGCGCCACACAGGGCTTGGGCAGTCCCTGGGAAACTGGGAGGTTCTGCCTCTGCTAGAGAGAAAATGAGAAGTGAGTTTTACTTACAAGACCTGGTCACTCAACAGGCCTTAAGACTTTGTGGACAAGCATGAAGCCAAGGCATATTTCATAAGAGGCTGATTTGCATTTAAATTCAAGTCTTTTTTTCTTCCTTGAAGTTTGCCGAAGCCAAGTTTTAAGTATGAAATGTTATTGTTTTCATACAAATATTCCAAAACATTACCAGTTGTCATTTTGGCCTTAAGTAGGGTTGTAACATTACAACATTAGCATTTTAACATCATTGTTCTTCTGTAAATTGTTGTAGGCTCAAACTACCCCACACATAAACTTTAAGAAGCTAATGGGGTCTGGCATCAAAGCCAGTTAGAGTTGGCTGCAAAGAACAGCAGCTGCCTCCTTTTGCTGGGCCCTGACGGTCCCATGCTAGCCCAGAATGGCTCTAATAGAGCATGTGGCAATGGTGTGCCCTCAGTGCACATAAATAAAGATGAATAAAATGTGCACTGAACATTCTTTTCCAAAGATGCAAAGGATTTTGATAAACTTTAACTGGGTTGTCACAAAGCAAAATAATGTCCATGTTTCTAATTATTGATTTATGAAACATTAACTAAAAACTAACTTAAAAAAAGTCTTCACTAACAAAATAAACAAAATTGAAACGGACTCATAGACACAGAGAATGGACTGGTGGTTGCCAGATGAGAGGGTGGTTAAAGGGACGGTGAAGGGATTAAGAGGTACAGATTAGTACTTCTTAGTCCTAATCTTAGGCAGAACAGTCATAAGGATGTAAAGTATGGCACAGGGAAAATAGTCGATAATAGTCTAATAACTACGTATGGCACCAGGTGGGTACTGAAAATGTTGGAACACTTTGTAAAGTATATGACTGTCTAATCACTGTGCTGTGCACCTGAAACCAATACAATACTGCATGTAAACTGCCATTCAATAAATCCATAAATAATGACAAATGAAAAAAGTAGCTTCACTGATCAAGCATCAGTAGGGAATATTGTGTTCCACATAAATGATTTCATGAAGAAATTTAAGTACGTATACTTCATGTTTCCAAACACCAATTTTAATCTTTCAGATAAAAACCCTTTAAGAAATGCAAACCAAAGCCATAATGAGTTATAAGCTCCCACCAGTCAGAATGGCTACTATCAAAATGCCAACAAGTATCATGTGCTGGTGAGGACACAGAGAAAAGGGTGCCCTTGGGCCCTGTTGGGGGGACTGCAGACTGCTGCAGCCACTGTGGAAAAAGCATGGAGATATGACAGGAAAGAAAAACACAAAAAGTAGAACTACCATATGACTCAGCACTTCCACTTCTGGGTCTGTATCTGAAGAAAACAAAAACACTACTTCAAAAAGATGCGCACATCCCTATGTTCACTGCAACATTTTAACAGCCAAGACATGAAGCAACAGAGGTGTCCCTGAGAATGAAACCGCAAAAGCGTGGGTGAACCTAGAGAGTCCTGTGGTAAGTGAATTCAGCCAACAAATACCTTATGGTTTCACTTATATCGGAATGCAGAAAAACAAAACAAACAAAAACAAAACCAGAGTCAGAAACAGATCAAACTGATGGTTGCCAGGAGGGGTGGGCATGGGGGGAGGTCGGGGGAATATCGTCAGCAATACTGTCATCAGTTTGCACTTTGACAGATGAATACTAGAGTTAGTATGGTGATGGCATCGTAAGATGCATAAATGTCGAATCGCTATACTGTACCACCAAAATGAGTATTTTATACCAACTTGAATTTTTAAAAAATGTATTTCTTATGCCTTTGAATTCCCTAAATGGGCAGCACTACTATTACAGACTTCTACCACTGTACCAAAGGGGCAAAGGAGAGTGGTAAGAACAGAAACCTAGAAATGAAGTGGGACTGGGGTTAAATTTCGACTCTGCTACTTCTGACCTGAGACCTTGGAGAGGTTACTCACCCTCTCTTCAAATTAACTTTCCTCATCCTTTAAAACAAAAGTTAATACCTAAATCACAAGATCACTTTTAAAATTAAAAAGAAATGTTACAGAGTCGATGACAGTGACTGGCGGGAATGGAGGCTGAACAGAGTGGAGCTGTCACTCTCACTGAGTGGGCTGCGTCGCGCAGGGAACTCTGTCCTGCCTGGGCCTCGAGGCACCACAGCAGATGACTCCATCAGTGCTTGTAGAGTTCCTTTTCTCTCAGGAAGGCTTTCTGATCCTGTAACTATGGGCCTCTTACCTTTCATTGTCAGGGTCTTCCCCTGGTTATTTCGCAGTGGGCTGGGGAACCAGACACTCGTCACTGACGGGAACAGTCCCATGTGGGGGCTACAGTGAGGTGTCCCCCTCGCTTTCAGAATCAGTGTCCTCTGAGAGTTGAAACTTGAACATCAATAGTGGAAGGACTAACCTTAAAGATACGACGGCTCTCGAGCTATGCAGATCTCGCTGCAGCCCGCTCCGCACGCATTCACAGTCAGGGTGGCTTCCTTCAGTGAGTGGGTGTGTGCGGCCACGAGACACTGAGAACAAGTCTGAGGGGCCAACAGGGCCAGTGCCCAAGCCCCACCCAGGGGCACCTTCCCCAAAGGGACTTCAAGGATCAAGGCCCCATTATCAAGGCTTGTTAAATTAAAATGGGTGACGGGAGCTATAACCTGAAAGCCTCAGACGCTGAGTGCATGTAAGGTGCTGGGGTGAGTGCGTTCTCCCCGATGCCGAGTGGTGACCGGAGGTGGGGTTCCACAGGACAGAGAACAGGGCCTGGGGTCCAGAACAACTAGCACTGAAGGCTGGTGTTCCTACTTACTCTCCAATTCCCCTTTACCACCTGACTTCACCTCTCTCAGCCTCCTTTTCCTCATCCAGGAAACAGGGTAATAACACTTGTTTCATTTGGGCTCACTGCTTACACAAGAGCAGCAGACTACATTCGTTAGATCGAAACCATCTGCCCCTACCCCCTGGGTCCCCCACTTTCCAAACCCGAGCTACTGGTCCAGCTACTTCCTGCTCCAAGGAAAGGGCAGTGTTCTCACCAAGACTTCAATGCCTCTTTCGGGGACCTCCTAAAAGTGCCCCTGGACACCCAGCTCCTCACCCTGCCCTCCTGGCTTCTCTCAGATGTGAAAACTGCCCTCTTCACAAAGTGTCTTCTCTTAATGAATGTAAGCACAGCTCGGAGGGACCCACTCCAGTCATCACCCTTGCTGAAAAATCCCAGTCATGTCGAAACAGCCTCCACAGCATCTCCCCACCACTCAGCAGCCACGAAGACACCTTGTCCTTCAGGGACCACAACCCGTGTCCAGCTAGCTCGTCGGTGACAGAACCATTCCAGGCTGCACCCACAAAGTCAACGTCCTCCCACAGCAGACAAATCCAACGAGTTTGAGCACTGTCTCAGCCACCATTATTGTCCCCAAAAGAACAGCTTAAGACACAAGCAGGTTTTCAATCAGGTGTTTTCTTCACTGTTAAATTTTTATTTGGTGAAAAAAGTTGACATTGAGACAGACATTATCTTCAAGTTGTGCAACAATATAGTAAAATCTTCAGCATAAATCAGCAATTTGGAAACTTATCAAGGCAATTGAAGTCATAAATGTCTATTTTCACTTTGGAGAAAGACAAGTATACAGCATTTCACTTTAAATAAGAGCAGAGTAGGCTTTTATTTTGCTGCAAATACTTTTGATTTTGCTTAGTTTCTAATGATTCACAACAAGTCTTTAAATGGAACAAGGACACGGAACGTCTGAGCACACCGCCCCACTTCAGCACTCACACTCACCCCACTTGGGCTGTTACACAGAAGGCGAGTGCCACTCAGGTCATCTGACTCTGACACTTAATCCATGGCACGGCTGCTCAGGGTAGGTGGGCAGGGCCACACACACAACCTGTCCTTCCTCAGGCGCAGCTCAGTGCTGATGCCCCTTTTGAAAATATGTTTATCGTCCTGTACCCAACAGTACATATCTCCTGGTATTTATTCCATATCTCAGTCTTGCATAGAAAGTATTCTGTATAAACTAAATGCACTGGCTTTTATTACACAAAAATTGTACCTGAAAGGCAGCACACACTCCCATTGAGAAAAAAAAACATAATGTCCAGGTATGATTCCAGCTCAAGCAGAGATTCTGTACGATGCAGTCGGTTCCTAAAACCACATATGGAGGTGGCATTCGGCTTGTTTCTACAACCCTGGACCTGTTCCCTAAAGGACTGCCCCGCTCCCTGCTGAAAGAAGAGAAAAACCTTCTCAGGAATTCATCATGACCCGTTAGTGGGATTGGGTTTCTGCCCTCAAGGAAGTCCTAGAAATATGATCTTGCTAGATGAAGGGACTGCTGGGGGATGCTGGCAGGCAAGATTCTCTAAGGAGAAGTGGGCGGCTCTCTGTAAGGGCCACACAACACCATCTGTCTCCCCAGTCCCACCCCAAATTAAGTATAGTGGAATCTAGGGGGCCATACATGATGGGCAGGAGAGACCATGCACAGCTGTGTCCCTCCAGGCCACCCTGAGTGCCACGGCCACAGTGCAACCCAGGAACCCTTCTCCCCAAGGTCAGAGGCTGCAGCCTGCCCCGCAGTATCACGACTGTATCCTCAGCTTGCCGGGGCAGCCAGCAGGTGCTGGAGCTTCCCACCTACCTGGGAACAGGTCTACAGAGACACAGCACCTCCCTCCCAGGATTCTCTGGGGAGCTCTCCTCTCTAGCATTTTACCTGTGTGGACCCACGTCTTCTAAGGTTCAATGGCATTCAGTGCACAAAGGGGCAAAGACGGCTTCCAGAGGAAGCTTGTGCACAATGCCCTGCCTGCCACACTGAGGGGCTTGTGTGTGCACACACTTGTGATGTGCGTCTAGTATGCCCTGGGAGAGAATGAATCCTGTGCCCTAGAGTGTGAACTTCTGAGGTGGCACCTCCAACAAGGTGCAAAGGCCCCTTCTTCACCAACTGGGGGCTCCACTGGTCACAGTGAAGGCAGTTATCTGGTCCCTCTCAAAGGGCACACACAGTTTTTGTTTTCATTTCTTACTGTCACTCCAACCTCTGGATTCCTGCAGAGAACATATGTACATCAAAACCCCACACAGCTGTGCAGAGGGAATAAGAGTTCATGCTTCCAAAGTTCACAAAAATATACAATCTACACATAGCTGCATCTATCTGAGTCTTCACCAACTTAGCTCTTCTGTTTATATAAAATATTCCAGCTCTGAAAGGCTGCTGCTCCTGACAGCACAGTGGCACTTTCCGGGGATGGGGGCGGGGCACAGTGTGGGGATGGCCAGTCTGCACAGCGCTACGTGACTGAGCACTGGGAAGCTCTGGTAGTCACAACTGGACACTCAGAACAGCTCAGGGCGCCGACTGGAGACGTGCGTTCTGTACAAGGCCAGCCTATGGAATAATGGAAAGTGAAGTCTCAGGGCTTTTGTGTCAGCTTTTACCAATGTTACCGGTCAGCTGGCAGAAAAAGAGGAGAAAACATACTTCCTAGTGGTTCAAGTAAAAGACTTACATTCCATCAGACTGCTGGTCTTCCAGCCACTTACACAGCTTAATAAGGGGTGGGAGTGGGCAGGAATGGGCTTGGAGTTGTGAACAAACTCCACAATAAGACACGACAAAGACAAAGGAATTCCAGTGTGTAAAAGAGGTACGAAGGAGAATGACAGGCAGGACGAGCAGGCACGCTGGAGGAGCCGGTTGCTGCCACCACCACCGGCAGAGCAGCAGACTGTCACTGCAGGACATGCTGGCGTCTGCGGCTAGAAGTGGTCCCACTTCTGGCTGCAGGTAGGGGAAAGGCTTGCAGCTGTGAGGGCGGGAAACAGAGCATATTCTTGTACAATTTGTCAGTCATTGCATTATATTCCATACGTCCAATGATAAACCTACTTTTTCCCCACCCTATATATTTTCAAATTAAGTTTAATTGGCTCTGTTTTCCAAACAATCCCTAGGTAGAAGAAAACAGTGCTGTAACCCAAGAATGAGTCTTTTGGTTAAAAGAAAGCATGCACTTGAGAGAAGGCAGCTCACCACATCTGGGAGAGAGGCTGTGTTCGAAAGCTGGGCCAGCGTGAACTGCCCCAAAGCGGACTGGCCTGTGCCCAGAGCTCACCGCTTCCCGCTCACAGGGTGTGCTGCAGGGAGGCTCAGCCGCAGGGCTCACCATGTGCTGGGCCCCGGGGCCACAACAGCGACTCTCAAGGGTGGATGCCAAGCCACAGGGAGGCCCTCATCCCCACCACGTGGCCACCCCTGGAACACAGGGGTGGCCTTTACAGGGAGGGAGTAGTGTGGCTGCTTCTGTGAGTGGGATTGAATGGTCTCAAGTTCATGGACCTCCTGTACCTCTATAAGAATAAACAGCACTTTCTCTTTAAGGTGGGTAGACATATGGGCAAGGGAAGTAGAAGAAAAGTAACAAAGAGGATGCACTGATCCAAATGACTGCATTATTGGTATGAATTTTGAAGGACAACAAGTGGTTACCTCAACACAAACACAAAACTTTACTCTTGAGATTCTTCAGTAACACACAAAAACAAAAACCAAAAGTTTAGGTACTGTGCTGTCCATGACATCTGTCTTGACACAGGTCCACGGCTCTCTCCCATAGCCAAAGCAATGCCTGTGGTGACGAGGACACCATGTCTACGGAAGCAGTGACACCACATTGCAGCTCTAAAAGTCACATCTTGCAGGAGGCAGCAACCAAGACTCCGGCCGTGGCTGTGAGCAGAAACTGAAGGTCACAGGGCTTCCCAGGCGGCAGCTCCAGGTCAGTACCATGGAGCCGTGCCGCCAGCACTCTCCGCCGGCACCACCATGTGACACACAAGTCAACAGAGAAGGATCGTTTCCAGATGGCAGCACACTGCTTCGTCCCCGCCCCCCACGCTCTGGGCTCAGAACACATGTGGTGTCAGGTGACCCCACGGCCTGACCTCGTACAGAGTCCCAATAAATTAACAAAATGACATAGAAGCATCTTCTCCCACCAACCACTTCCATATAAACTAAACTCAAACAAAATTAAAAATTTGAAGCATAATTTCAAGGAGGAGGGACTCCACCCACCACTCTCTCTTGAAGTTTTTATTAAATACATTTCTGTGTCTTAGAAAAATAACAAGACTGGCCAGTCTCACAGACTCGGAAGCATGCCAGCAAGCACAGCTCTGTGAGCCCTGTGACGGTGCATCGAAGCCACATAGCCACTGAACCAGCCTGGCTTCCAGCTCACAGGTGATTGCTACACGGTCTATTCATTCCTTTCTTCTGTTTTGTTTTTGGCCCATATAAAAATAACATTGCAACTCAAAGTGCATCTTGTAAAATAAACCATCAACTCTCTGTCAAATAAAACATTCACGCCACTTGGCTTCGAGGGAGGGAAGAGGCTCTCTCAGGCCATCACCATGGGGACGTCATCTGAGAAGCCCGTGATCATCGGTGCATCTTCATCGTCCTCTCCTGAAGGCAGAATGGTCAGTACTTAGTGACTCTCGGTGCCTGTGTGTCAGCCCCACCTCCCGCCGCTGTGCCCCTCCTGCCCCAGCCCAGCACACGCCTGCCGGGAAAGTCGGCCCACAGCAGCCCGCACGCAATCAAGGCCGGAACCCAGCCCAGCTTCCCTGGCACCCTTGGGCCCCCCTCCCATCAACAGGTGGCCAAGTTTATTCTGATGACAGCTTGAACTTAACCAAGTAAATCCAGCCAACCTTTCGGGAAGGAGAATCCTACTGTCTACTTGGAAGTCCAATGGGTGTTGGAAGTTCCCCGTTCTGAGCTTTCCATACCCTGCGTTAGGGCAGGGAACTTGCTGGTTTTCTCCTTTGAATGCACACTGCTCTGAGGGAAAGGACCACAGAGGGGAGGGCTCAAGTGTTCGGAGGGCAGTGTCCCAGCCTAGTGCTGTCCCTCACAGCCCCCGGCACCATCCTGTGCAGCAAGTACTGATTCGCATTCAGGGTCAGGGCATGGCCCCGTAATGGGATGGCTGCTTTTGCTCTGAACACCAGAAGCGAAGAAACCACCCCATTCATGCACGCTGCCCAAGAACTTGTAATAAAGTCAAAAAGGGACTGAGAAGAAGCAAACAGCTGATCTCAAATGATGAGTGAATGGGACAAATGTCCTTACAGACCCATCAGAAGTCGTCTATAGAAAAGAATGAAGGTGAGACTCCCTTCGGCATTCACGTCTGGAGAAGCCTCGGTTTTGGGGGAAGTCTGCAGACACAGCCAGTTCGTTACCGCAGGTAGTCTACTAGCCCCATCGGCGTTTGGTATTAGAGTGTGCGTACATTTGTAAAGAGGACAGTCCCCTATTCTCCCCACACTCTATGTGATTAATACATAAAAGAGGGACTGGGGAGGCGGCACGAGTGGTCAGAAGAGAACAGCGGAGTGGAAAGGGTGTCTCTGGCCAGAAGCCGACTGGGAAAGCCAGACTGTCTGTCCTGATTGGGGTCCCCAGAGACACTGCACCTCCAGGTCTCCGACGGACCAGGGGGCTAGAAATCCTTGAGAACCTGCCAATCATTTGGGGGTACCCAAAGCCCAGAGACCCTCTGTCCTTCCTGTTCAAAGCAAGCTGCTACCAGTGCTTCCACAAAACCACTGCCTGGCCAGGCCAGACCACGCAATTGAGGAGAACACTAGTACTTTAACTTCAGAGCAAATTCAAAGCAAAGGGCTCTAACTGGTTTAACCCAAAGCAGTGGGACTGTTGGCCCATGCACAACCCCTCTGGAGTCAAGAGATGAGCTGAAGGTAGGAACTTCCTAATCCCGCCACTGGCTTGTGGGAGAAAGAGCCACATACCCAAGTCGTCCCCGGAGGAAAAGATGGCCGAGCCCAGCCTGGAGCTGTAGTGGCTGTTGGCGAAGGCCGTGAAGCTGCTCTGCAGCCGCCGGTGCTTCGTGTACAGGATGCCAAAGCCGACCCCCAGGCTTAGCAGAATCAGGAACAAGATGGGCACCACCACAGCAGCCACGTCAGGAGAGCTGGCCGCCTGGACAGCCGACGCATCCTGGCCTGCAGAAGGAGGATGAGAACCCATAAACCTCCTGTGCAAAGGCAGGGAAAAGGACCAGGCCATGCCTCAGGGACCGCCCCCCCCCCCCACCACCACAGAAGCCAGCAGTCTGCAACACCTACGCAGACCACCTGCCTGGTGCAACCCCCCCCCCCCACATGATGCCTGAGTGTTTCCCAGCTCCTTGCCTTGAGCTGATAGACCCGGGCCTCGTGCAGGCAAACATGGTAATTACGTTAGATGCCTAATCACTGCCTTGTGGGTTATTTAGATAATCTCTAGGAAGGCAGACCTTTGTTGGGGTATCAACATTGATTTCATTAGCATTATTATTTAAGACCACTTGTTTGCCTTCCATAAGAGGATATGAAATCAGACCACTAATTAATGAGATTGCAATTACTTCCCCTACTGAGCAGCGAAGTCCCCCCCCACCTGCAATTACCTGAAACTCCATCAAGTGACAAAAATGAGACTCCTTTACTGCAACAGTGACTTATCAGCTCATGAGGTTTCATGAGGTTTTTCACTTAAATTAGAAGAGGGGGGCAAGAGAGCTTTTTTGCGTACATCCAACGTTTTTGAAAAGCTCTCTGCAAAGCCACTTTATTGTCTCTCACCTAACAGCAACACCCCATCTACTGTCTCAAACAAGTACGTGCTTCATGACGGCAAACTGACAGGGTGTAGGGCGTGACTTTTTCTGCAGTGCTTGACTATTGAGTCAGGGGCACTACCCTCTTTTTCCTCATATTGACAAATAAAAAATGACAACAGGCAACACAACAATGGCTGTCCGGTGTGAATGAATCAAAATTACACCTATTTGGGGGTCACACTGGCCGAAATGTACGTTTTGGTGTCCCGTGTGTCCCGAGCCAACAGAGGTTAACAGCTGCTGCTCTAGGGCAAAGCCATCCCCTGTGGGGCTCAAGCCAGCCTTCCTGAAAGGGGGAGACTTTTAAAGTCAGAGATCCCAGGGAGCTGGAGCCTCAGGCGGGAAAAGGACGCTGGGGAGTCGGTGTCGGCTGAGGCGGCGAGCGGTTTCTGCGGTCTCCCCGAGGGGTCTCACTCAGCTGCAGGCTGTACTGTGGGCCCGCCGCCTGCTGCACACAGAAGCCCTCGGCGCCCAGGGAGTCTTCCCGACAAGGGACTCTCAGAGATAGGCCGGAGAGCCTTTCCTTGCAAGCCTCATCTAGCAAGTGTATGTCTGCGTCTTTAATTTCTTTCACTACTGACTTCTGAGAACAACCAAACAGACTTAGCCACCACACTTCCTGTGAGATGGTGAATGAGAGGACCACCCTGGGCTGGGGCACCAGGACGGAGACAGTGTGGATGGAGGTAGCAACAGGAGGGGGCGAGCTCCTGCCTGTACCCCACTTCCATGGGCAGAGCCTGGCACGGGGGATGCAGATGGAGAGGCAGAACCAGGGGTACGCTGGTTCCTGATGCTGGTTCCAGAGGCCGCTGGCGGCTACCCTCTCAGCAAGCGTTTCCCCAAGTCCATTTAACAGTTGCCGACTGGTTTCACGTAAAGGGGAGGCTCTACTCCTGACACACCAGGCTCACAAGAATTCTGTTGTCTGTTTTCTGCTGGACGTTCTAAGAACCTCTAATACCTATGATCTCCAAAGGGATGTGGTATGCAAAGTTCCCCCCGTTTAGGGCAGCGCCAAGGGTAAGCATTCCACCCGAACATGCCCAGGACACGGGACTCAACAGCCTAACACGGGATTTTGGCTTGAGCACTGATTCTTGGCTGGCAGTAAGTGAAACTAAAAAGACCAGCGGCAAAAAGTTTGTTGAAATCCTGGCCAAGTAAGTACAAAATAAGCAGAATTTCTGTGTGAATGGAAGGTTCCCCTCCTCTGCCCTCAGCGTGAGCCCATGGAGGTATCGTGAGTGTCCCTAGGAGAGACCCAGGCCAAACCTGGGCCCCCAGCTAAAATGCAAGGGAAGGCTGTAAAATCAGCTACCCTGACAAGGAAACTATTTACTAACTTGGAGAATCATAGCAGGTAGGAGCATACTGGAGGCTCTGAAAAGCCCTACAAAACAAAACCACAAACTTATTAACCTAGTGTTTCCCAAATGGAACTTCCTTTTTAAACAAAGCCTGTCCACCTTCCCTTGCTTGAGCTTTTCATGCAGAATGCAGTCACCCGGGAACTCCGGCTCCTCACACTGTGCCTGGCTCAGGAAGCATTTACAGATAAATCAGTGCTTGATTAAATTGGTATGTAAATGATTTTCTCATGAACTGAATTATTTTAAATGCACCATAGAACAACACATTTTCATAGAAAAACACAGGTTCATCAAGCCACGCTGCACCCCCATGCACTTCCCTAGAAAGAGAGCCAGAAACTGGTAGCCGTGCCAACTTACCAGCCCCCAAATCATCATACAGCAGGATGGCGGGCTCCCCGCAAATCTGGCTGCCAAACAGGCATCTTGCTTGGACAGTGAAGGAGTAATTATGACCTGATTTCAGGTTGGAAATTTTAAAGAAGTTGTCAGTAGTATTCCCAAGGTAGGCTGAAATATTCAAGCCGCTGTCGAACATGTGCACCTCGTAGCCCTGGAAACAAATGGGAGAGATGGCTCAGGAGCCTGAGGAAGGAATCTGACGGCTTCTGTGACAGCTTCCAACCTCGCGTGAGCTCCCGACTGCAAGCTTTCATAGAAGTCAAAGTACTGCGGGCTTCTTACGAGGTTGCTTCACACTACCATGGAGGCACTGGATTCGGGAAAGGGGCATTTTCCCTCCCAACTGTCTCCCCTAACCACCGCACCCCTGTGAGCACCCAGCAGAAGCAGCGAGTGCAGCCCTGACAAAAGCCACATTAGCACATATTTCAGCACACATCCAGGAGTTCTGGTCGGCAGCCCACTGGTCTCAAGCAGTATTAAATGCCACAAAGAATCTGGACAATTCAGTGGCAGTTTGCTATAAGGGGATCTAATAGTAAATCAAGATGCCTCGGACTCTAGAAATGGGGTAAGAAAAACGACCTTGTGGCAGAAAAGAGAGGACATTTCTCCACGGAACTATGCATTGGGAACTCCATCGGCAGCCCACACCTGCAGCTCCTTGCCTTCTAGCTCTTCCAAGCTGATGGCGGCCCTAGATCAGCTGCACCATAAATTGAAAACTGCCTCAGCCAGCTCTGGAGGACAGGATGACGGACATGTACGTCCAGCTAGACTGGCTCAGGCACAGTCCCAGAGGCCTGTACTGGGAAAGTCGCACTGGGACAGGCTGGGCCCCACCTGCTGCAGGGACCCGTGTGCACTACTGGCCTTCTCTGTTAATCCCCAGGCACCCCAGTGCCACCACCCCCCACAATCACAGAGAGACCCACATGTTGGTCCCCATAGCCCTGGCCTGTCTATTCTCCGAACTCTGAGTCAGGGGCAGAAAAGGGCACACGGCACTCTGCCAGAGCCCCCAGGAACGGACCGCTGATCTGCACTCCCAACCCGGGTGCTGGGCTTCTGCCCCCAGGAGGGACCCCGAATGACTGCCAGCTGCCAAATTCAGTCTCCCAAAGTCACCTGCCTAGAATCCCATCTCTACATTCTTCTTGACACACTAGCATTCGCTATTTTCTGTCTCGCACAGAGGTGGGACACAACATTTGCAAAACACCAAAGGCGTAAAGGAAAAAACTGAAATGACATGAACATCAACCAGGGCTCTTCTGCTGACCATTTAGGTTGTTTTCTCCTCACTGCTGTCGTAAATAAAACCACTTTGAACAGCGGGGACAGACCTTCTCCACACACATTGTTCCCTTCAAGTAAGAGGAGAGACCGGCTGGGGCAGACAGCGCCAACACTTCTAATGTTCTTGATGCCTCTTCTTGAAGGACCTCACAGAAGGCTGAACCAACTCATGTTCCCGGACCACTCACCTCCCCAACTAATGCTCATACTGGTAATGCTCTTTCCCCAAAACATTGCCAATTTAATGTCAAAGTGCCACACCTTTGTCATCTAGATCTCTAGTGAAGTTGAACCTTCTTTTCGGACATTGAGCTTAATAAAATGGGGAGCATGAGCCCACTTGCTTCACTAGGAAGCTATAGCTTCACACCCCAGGGGACCACAGACCTCTGCCCCACCAAGGGCATTAACTCTCCTCCCTTCCCCCACCCAGTACCAGATTGTTGGGGGGCATAGGGGGAGGTGCTGGACCATACAGGCCTCTCAGTCTCAATGGGGGATGGTCCCTACCCGAAGTTGGTGAAAGCTTTGGAAGTTTGCTGGTCATTCTGGAAAAGCTTCTGGTCTTTTCAGAGAGGAAGATACATAACCCAGAAGAACAAAGAAGTGCCCTCTCTAGCCCATCCATCCACTCATGTGCCCTCTAGCCTGGAAGCACACAAGCAGCCACCAAGCCTGCGGCAGACGGCATGGACTCCGGAGGACTAAGCTCTCTCTCTCTCGCCTGAGGGACCTGCACTTGTCCTGCGCATTTGTGCATCCTCCCTCTGCAACCACGTGGCCCACGGCTGTGGGGGCTCCGCATGCAGGTTCCAGGAGGGAGGCTGATTCCGTAGCACAGCAATGGACGGTGGCTGGGAACTCGGGGTATGCTGGCTGGGTGCTGGCCTGCACGGGACTTTCATGTGGAGCAGAAGCTCTGGGCCCTGGCCTTGATACTGCTCCTATTAAAGATAAGACTGGACTTTTCCCACAGCCATACAAACAGAGATGGGACACTGGGAAGTCGGGAGGAAAATCCCCTTAACTGTACATCACCAATCAACCATACCACACAGCCCCATCCTCCCATGCAGGTCTCAGAACATTATTTTTCTGGTGACGCCGCATGAACTGAAGTTCCACCAATAATGACACTGTGTGGGAAACAGGTCCCCAGTCCAGCTTCAGGATGCACAGGAGGGAGGCCAGCCCCCTACTCGTGTCTCCTAGGGGGACACGAGTTCAGAACCGAAACTCAGTGCTTAGTGCAAAGATTCTCATCCTTAATGGGCAGTATCAACACTTCACTGATGAGCGATCCCACAGAAAACGCTGCTCTGCTTCTCAAGTTCCCTCCCTTGCCTGTTCTTCCCCTCGTCCCTCACCTGCTGTTGAGGAACACATCTCTCACACAGTGTCTCAGTGAGATGCTGAGAGTCCCTGAGGAGGGGGAAGGAACTCACCCTGCTTTCCTCAAAGTACTTTTCCTTCAAAGCAAGACTTTTCCAGAACAGAAGAACGTGGTCATTTTCTGTTATGATTTTTAAGGCATCAGGTGCTGATAATGAAACTGAAAATTAAAGATGAAACAGGATGCAGTTAGTGGCTACATGCTGAAATCGCTGTTGCCTTGTCTGTCAAAGGGAGATTAAAGAATGCTAGCCTTGAAGGGTTAGATTAATTTAAGGAAGGTGTAGGACACAGTACTGCTTGGTATAGAGCCTAGCACATGGTAGACACCTTTTACACCTAGCACATGGCATTTCTTTTGTTGTTGTTATAATACCTTTAGCCAAGAAATCTGGACACTAATTGAGTAGCCCTTGGACCCAAGGATGGCCAAAAACAAATGGGGTGGGGAGAAAAAGGGAGGCCTGGGGGGGACTGGACCTGGGCTTTACTCTGCTGCCTGCCTGCGTCCTGTTCCCGGAGGCAGAGGGGCCCAGGGCTGTGAGTGGCTGGAGGGCCCGGCCTCTACACAGGGGAAGAGTGCATGGCCCCAGCCCACAGGCCACGCCGAAGTCCTCGGTGACAGTCACAGCCACTGTCTCCACAAGCAAGATCATCACCTGCTTCTTGACCGTGAGCCTGAATAAAGGCTGCCCCAGGCAGGCCCAAAGTCCCCTCAGTCTACTGCCCAGGCACTGGTCTGCCTCCACCGCTGCATACAGTGTTGCCACAGGGAACTACTGTGACCTCCCCCAGGTCCCCAGATGCAATGCTTGGCTTTAGTGGCAAACACTCAGTTCTAGCTCCTACCTTGCTCGGTCATTCCCCAACTTCTTCCCCAAAACTGTCAAAAATTGAAGGAAATGAAAAGAGACGCAGGACATGAAAAACGACAGCCATGCTGGACGCGCAGAGCCCTGGCTACCATGCAGCGGCCAGAGGGGGCCCTCCCCGCACTGCCCTGCCCCATGCGGACTCTGCCGGGGGCGCTAGCACTTCCTGTGCAAGCGGGCCTCGCCCCTCCCCGCTCACCTGTGGTGACTTTCACACTGGCTTCTTTGCTCATGTTCCCCAGCTGGACGACGACGTGGTATTTCCCTCCAGGTTCCAACTTGGTGAGGGTGTATTCCACAGTGCTGTTCCGGGATTCTACTTTGTAGCTCTTATCACTCTTTCGTATTAGATCTTTGACTGCAACTGCATATAACTGAGACAGGTAAGCAGAAATGTGGCATTTCTTTCTCCTTGTGGGTCAGGGCGGTAACATAACGTGTCAGTGGCTGCAACCCACAGCAACAACATTTGAAGCCCACAGTCCAACTCTGCTCTTGGGGAGGCCTCTGGATGGCTAGAGCCAATCTTACAACAAGTTCTCAATGCCAGGACCATGCACAGAAGTATCAATTCAACCCAAAAACAACCCCAGGGAAAGCTGTATTCACGGTGGCATTGGCAGGTACATTGAAACAGGCGAGAAAACCCCAAGTCCAGGGTTCGACTTCCTTATCTCCACCACTGGGACAGCTGTGAGATGCTGTCAGAGGAGATAATGAACGAGCATGGTCAAAGGACAACGAGCTTTACTTGCTCTCTCCCTGGTTGCTACTCACATATGTGGGGAGGAGGGGGACACCGAGGGACAAGCAATCCTCGGGAAGACACTGAGAGCCAGGAGGCATCTCTGCAACCAAGCACTAAGGCTATCGGCTGATTTCTCAAGAGAAACCTTACAGGCAAGAAGGGGCTGGCAGGAAGGGGCTGGAAAGAAGTATTTGAAGTCAGGAAAGGCAAAGACTATCCAGCAAAGCTATCATTTAGAATGGGAGGGCAGATAAAGTGCTTCCCAGATAAGGTCAAGTTAAAGGAGTTCATCATCACCAAGCCCTTATTCTATGAAATGTTAAAGGGACTTCCCTAAGAAAAAGAAGATAAAAAACATGTACAGTAAAATGACAACAAACTCACAACTATCAACAACTAAACCTACAAAAACCAAAAACCAAATGAACTAAGCAAGGAACTAGAAGAGGAACAGAATCAGAGAAATGGAGATCACATGGAGGGTTATTAGTACGAAGTGCAGGGAAGGGTATAGAATGGAGAAAAAGGTACAGGGAACAAGAAGCATAAATGGTACGTCCAAAATAGACAGGGGGAGATTAAGAACAGGATGGGAAATGGAGAAGTCAAAGAATTTACATGTCCAGCCCACAGACATGAACTAAAGCAGGAAATGCTGGAGGATGGGCATGCAGGGTGGAAGGGAATAACAGGGAGAAAAAAAATGAACAACTGTAATAGCATAATCAATAAAATATACTTTTAAATAAATTAGTAAATAAATACCACTGGGCTGGTCTGGGCAGAGGATGGAGGGAAAAGCAGACTGGGGCAAGAGAAATGTGAGTATTTTCTAGATCCAATGCCCCTTATTTTAAGGGGGCCAATAAACTTTTATGCGAGGGTCCAGTTCGTAAGTATTTTTGGCTTTGAGAGCCAGACAGTCTCTAACACAGGGCTCTGCTCTATAATTCATAGCATGAAAGCAGCCACAAATAACACCTGAATGATGGGTATACTCGGTTTTAATTACATTCTTTTCAAACACAGGAACAGCCTGGGCTTGGTCCGCAGACCTTTGTCTGCCATTCCATTTTGGAAGGCCAGTAAAGGGAATGTGAGAAGTCAGAGGAGGGGGGACAAACCATTTATCGCAGCTGGGAATAATAAGGAAGGGACAACTCAAAAGACGTACCTATAACGACCCCCCATGTTCAGCCAGACAACAGGGGGACCTCATGCTGAGCTCCAATCACCAGGCCTATGGCTCTTGCCCTAATACAGAGTCCTCCCCTCCCAGCCCCAAACCCCACTAAGAAGCAGCAAGGATTCCAGGACAAGGGGCCCACTCACCAAGTCCTGGTCAGGAGAGTCATACGGGGATTCCCATTTAATGACAGCTGAAGTTTTGTCCGTGCGAACTGCATGCAGGTGACGGGGCGGAAGCCTGCTGTCCGGAATCATCCTCACCACCGCGTACTCAGAGGCCGGCCCCTCATACGGCTCCACCACACGGACCTGAAACAAGCACCTTGTGGAATCACATAGTCCTCACTGAGCCCTTTTTTTCAGTGGGCATGATTACAATGGCACAAAAAGGTATGTGGCCTAAAATTATTCCCTACCTACCCTAGATGCCTAATTTGTTCTCCCAGAGGCGCCAATGGTGACAGTTTTTTATTTCCTTTAAGAAATGTCTTATGCACATGTAAGTAGACAGTACTGTGTGTGTACAGACGCACACAGATACTTGTGTGTACACAGAGTCACACAGTGAAAACAGTATCACACATATTGTGTTAACTTTTTACTCAATAATACAGCATGGAAACTTGCCCGTGTCAACACATTCAGAGTTGTCGTGTTTCTGGTTCTTCTGGACACTTATCCTGCAGCCCTTGTAGGTAACCTGTGCTATTTGTAACCAGTCCTCTCTCAACGGACATTAACCTCAAATCTGTTGTAATCACGAGCAATAGTCTACCCAACATCTTTTTCCATGTGTCTCGGCACATGTGTTAAGAGCATGTGGGCGAAGTTCCTAGATGTACAATCTGACAAACGTTCTCCTCTAGTCCAGTGTGGTCCTCAGTCCTCCTCTAGGTCTTTGTGTGGTCCTCAGTCCTCCGGCCGAGGTGGGCGAGGCCACCCACAACAGTCCCAGATAAGCACAGTGTTGCCGGGCAAGTGGGTGAGTGAGGGACAACCCTCCACCCACAAACACGGACCCTGGAGCCCACCCTCCAGTGCCCCAGGGTCTGAATTGGTGCTGGGAGCTCAGGAATTGATACACCCCTTAAAAAGAGAAGCTCCTCTGGGCTTTCTGGTATGGGACGCTTACCAGGAATAAGTATTGCTCATCCCGACTGACAATGACTGTCTTGTTGTGCAGTGACGTCGTCTCACTCTTCGGGTTTCGGTAGAGGTCAAGAAAGGATGTAGCATAGAAGATGCCATAAACCTGGCAAGAGGAGAGAATAAAACAGGACACGGGCTCAGGGGCCAGAGACCTCACTCTCTTGAAGTCCCTACTTTAAGACCCTGGGAACCAGGTCAAGAGTGCTCAGAGCAAAGTCTTCATTGAGTGTTCACTTCCCCAGCACCCGGAGAGGGCATGCCGAGCCAGGGCAGTGCCAGGCTAGGGCAGCACCCACCGCTGCAGAGGGAACCACCTATGGTCTCTGCTGTCTCTGCTCACGAGGTCTCAAAGACCTCGGGATTGAGCAGGGACAGCAGAGAAGGAAAAGAGATACAACTGTAAGCAACAGGTTGCAAACATGGAACAGTTGGATGCTATACTAAAAGACTACACAATGAGCCAGGGACAAGAGAGGGATCCCCCAAAAGGGTAGCGTTCTACCAGTGTGAAGGCCCGACATGGGGAGGCGAGCAGATGTGCCAAGTGGGACAGGAAGCTGTGCAATCCTGTGGAGGGTGAGCAGCGGGGCAGACACTGGCAGCTGCCCAGTGGACACCAGTCTGTCCCTCCGCCTCAGCAGAGCCCAGCTTCTTAGAGCTGGGATGACCAAGCCACAGCAAAGGCTCAGGGCCCAAGTGGGACTGAGCTCAGTGGGTCCAAGCTACCGTGGCAAGGAATGGGACCTGCCAGAGGCCAGAGATGGGGTCCAAGAGACAAAGGAGCCAGGATGCACACTGAAGGGCTCCGCACACGGAGTGACGACAGAAGCCAATGCCATGGTGGAGGGCCAAGTGAACAGCAGAGGAAGGTGAGAGCCTCCCATACGCAGCTTCACTCGACCCCTCACCCTCTGGAGCCAAGAGGAACAGCTTTCATCAAGGCTGTGGTCCAAATCCACAGGTAGTTCACTACATTATGCCCTCCTCTGTGCAGGCACTTGGCGGGTTGTCCAGGCTGACTCACCACATTCCTGGGGCCGGTCCAGGTGCATTCCACTGCCGTCTGATTAATGGCCTTGGCTTTGAGGCTAGGAGCAGGTGGGCGGATGCCTTTGGTCGTGACATGCTCAAATGCCAAAGGACTATCCCCTAATTCTGTCTTGGCCCAGGCAGAAATCTCATAGGATGTTTGAGCTGTTAGATTGCCAACTGCAAACACAGAACAGAGGGTTTGTATCCTGATACATGCACCCTTATTTTAGGTGTGATCTCTCAATTTAATGGAACCCCACATGTTGAAGGACTTTCACCATTTTACAGAATCACTCAGAGTTATTCACTAATGACTCCTACAGGTAACACAGCCTCCAACCTGGTTATCCCAGGAAATCAGAGAGGAATCGGACATTGGTGCAGCTAGGATGTCCGCACATCATTTGTCACAGTGGGACCCCCGTGGTCCGACTGCAGGTGACAGGGCGGCAGGGAGACAATGGAGACAATGCACACACCACCAACCTCATGCCTACTCCACGAGCTGTTCCAGAACCAATAAAAGTTGTTTCCAAGAATATTTAATGAGATTTTAAAAATTCTCACAATTTCGTGTTAAGTAAAGAGGCAGGATATAAACCTACATATAGTATCTTTCTCATTTCATAAAAAGGATACAGAAGATGAATGAAGAAAAAATTTTAGTTCAGAAGATATCTGAAATTTACAAGTGGTTATCACAGGAACTGAAATTATAGGAAATTTAAAATCTTTATTATATATTTTTTATTTTCTAGATGTTCTGTAATAAGTATGTGTCCCCTTTCGAACAGGTGAAAATGCTATCATGAAGCAGCTGTGCTGTGAGCAAGAAAATCGAATAGGACAGCCTTCAGAGCCAGAATAACTTTGGGTTCAAGGTGTAACTCTACACTTCAGTTGTATCACCTTGATCAAAGTATTCAAACTTTCTTTTTAAAATATATTTTATTGATTATGCTATTACAGTTGTTTCATTTTCCCCCCTTCACTCCCCTCCGCCCTGCACACCCACTCCCACCCACATTCCCCACCTTTAGCTCATGTCCATGGGTGATACATGTAAGTTCTTTGGTTTCTGCATTTCCTATACTATTCTTACCCTCCCCCTGTCTATCTTCTACCTACCATCTATGCTACTTATTCTCTATACACTTTCCCCCTTTCTCCTCTTCCCACTCCCCTGTTGATAATCCTCCTTGTGATCTCCATTTCTGTGGTTCTGTTCCTGTTCTAGTTGTTTGCTTAGTTTGTTTTTGTTTTTGTTTTAAGTGTGATTAATAACTGTGAGTTTGCTGTTATTTTACTGTTCATATTTTTTACCTTCTTTTTTTTAGATAAATTCTTTTAAAACTTCATACAATAAAGGCTTGGTGATGAACTCCTTTAACTTGATCTTATCTGAGAAGCACTTTATCTGCCCTTCCATTCTAAATGAAAGCTTTGCTGGACAGAGCAATCTTGGATGTAGGTCCTTGCCTTTCATGACTTGGAATACTTCTTTCCAGCCCCTTCTTGCCTGTAAGGTCTATTTTGAGAAATCCTCTGACAGTCTGATGGGAACTCCTTTGTAGGTGACTGTCCCCTTATCTCTTGCTGCTTCTAGGATTCTCTCCTTCATTTTAATCTTGGCTAATGTAATTATGATGTGCCTTGGTGTGTTCCTTCTTGGGTCCAACTTCTTTGGAACTCTCTGAGCTTCCTGGATTTCTGGAAGTCTATTTCCTTTGCCAGATTGGGGAAATTCTCCTTTATTATTTGTTCAAATAAGTTTTCCACTGGTAGCTGTTCCTTTTCCCCTTCTGGTACCCCTATAATTCAGATGTTGGAACATTTAAAGATGTCCTGGAGGTTCCTTAGCCTCTCCTCATTTTTTTGAATTCTTGTTTCTTCATATTTTTCTGTTTGGTCATTTTTTTTCTTCCTTCTGGTCCATTCCCTTGACTTGAGTCCCAGTGTCCTTTCCATCACTATTGTATTGGTTTCCTGTTCATTTCCCTTCATTTCAATTAGTTTAGCCTTCATATGTTCCTCTAATTTGTGACTAAAATCAACCAGTTCTGTGAGCATCTTGATCACCAGTGTTTTGAACTGTGCATCTGAAAGTCTGGCTATTTCTTCATCACTTAGATTAATTGGCTCTGGGGCTCTGAGTTGTTCTTGAGCCATGTTTTGATCTGTTCATGCCTGTTACATATGAGGAGCGGAGCCTTAGTTGTTCACCAGGGCGGGGCCACCCAGGTCTCTGGTTTGTGACGCTGTATGTGGAGGCAGGGTCAGAGAGGGACAATGGAGGTCCCCTCCGCCGCTTCTTGCCACTGGGGCCTGCGTGTCTCACCGCTCGCTCCTTCACCAGTTTATCTGTGCAAGAATGTGTGACCACAGTCAGCCCTCAGTGGGTCTGTCCGCTACTCCACACCTGGGATCAGGCCACGGCTGCTGGCACACCTGGGTTGCACGCCAGGTCGATCTGGTGGACCTTTCCTGCCCGACCCCACTCAGCTGCTGGCTCTGCCCCTCTTACCAGTTTGGATGAAGGGTTCGTTGTTCTCAGACTTCCGTGTAGTTCAATTTTCTGTGGTTTGGCTGCATTTTTGTTGCTAAAACTTTATTGTTTTTAAACTTGGTTGTGCGAGAAGGCACAGTGCTTCCACCTACGCCTCCATCTTGGTGGAAGTCCTCGATTACCAGTGTTTTAAACTATGCATCTGAGAGGTTAGCTATCTCTTCGTCCCTTAGTTGTATTTTTTCTGGAGCTTTGATCTGTTCTTTTGTTTGGGCCATTTTTTTGTCTTGATGTGCCTGTTACATAGTGAGGGGTGGAACGTAGGTGCTCACCCAAGAGAGGTAACCCACGTGGATGCATTGTGATGCTGTATGTGGGACAGGAGTTCAAGAGGGAACAATGGCACTTGCTCTGCTCTCTGCTGGCTTTAAGTTACTTCCCCTGCTTCCCACCAGCAAATTGGGTCCTTCTGGTGCTTATTCACGTGTGGGTGGGTTTGTGTACATTCTAGGAGCCTACAGGTCTCTCCAACAAACTTTCCTGTGAGGCTGGGAGTTTGTCCCGCTGCCTCCTCAACCCCCACTGGTGTTTTCAATCAGTGGTTTGAGGCTTTATTTCCCCACACTGGAGCCCTGGGTTGAGCAGACTGTCTGGCTCCCCAGTTGTTTCTCCCAGTTTATCTGCACAGAAATGTGGGACCACCCGTTCCACCAGCCACTGCCTTGCTGGGTCTGACAGCTGCTGCTTTTCCACGAGTCCTCTCTGCCCAGCCGCCCATCTCCAGCCTTCTTACTGATCTGGATGAATGTTTCTTCTTTAACTCCTTGGCTGTTGAACTCCCTTACAGTTCGATTTTCTGTCAGTTCTGGTTGGTTTTTGCTTTTTAAATTGTTGTTGTCCTTCTTTTGGTTGTGCAAGGAGGCACGGTGTGTCTACCTATGCCTCCATCTTAGCCGGAAGTCCTATTCACACTTTCTAAGTCCATTTTTTTAGTTTGTACAAGAAAAAGATAGCAATTTTTGAAGTTGGCTGTGGAGATTTCTTTTAAAAAGTTCATAAGGAAGTGCCTGGCCTGATGCTGGCACACAGCGAGCCCCACGTGGATTCCAGGCAATAGCCAAGCATTTCCTGTTGATCCTATTTCCACTGGTGTCACTTGGGAGCAATAACATCACAGACTCTGGAATTAGAAAGATGTGGGTTCAAATCTTCCTCTTCCCTTCTTCTGAGGGATTATTTAATCATCTCTGAACCCTTTTTCTCACCCATAAAATGAGCATATCCCACAGACTTATTACTGGGTTATGTGAAACAACACACTCTGAGAGCCCCAGTAAGTGCCAGCACATGCAGTAAGTACTCAGCACTATTTTTATTCCTGCATGGCCTCCTTCGGCAGCCTTCATTTTTTACCAACACAGAAAGATGATGACTGATATCCCATCGGCAATAAAACATGATCAAAAGCACTTTGCAAACAGGCTGGAAGAGGAAAGGAAGACGCTGCCCTGTTGTTCTCCACCTTCGACGCAGCCTTCACCACAGAAGTAAACACATTAAATTAAATCTGAAGTAAATGCAATCCTTCCTTGAGCCCCTTTCAGGTAGGAGAGTCTTAGAGGGTTGGCAGCATTCGCACACGCGAGAGGAGTTAGCTACCCCCTTTGCTCAGCTTGCTCGTCTGCTCGTTGGATGGACGTTGGCTAAACACCAATAACATGCCAGGCCCATGCTCTTCCCATCAGCAAGGAAGAAGCTCACCAAACCAGAGGAGAGATGGGCAACTAAACCCAGGGGCTCCTCCTTTTGGAGCTCAGAAACCATCTGCATAGGGCCAATCCAGCTGCTTTCCAGTTTTTCCCCTTGAAGTCTCCGATTTCCATTAAGAACCATCAGGTTAGACTGTGGCTTAGGAACCCCCAGGGGACCCCTCTCCTGGAGTCAGGGGTCATTCACAGTATTCTCCCTCTGCCCCGAATGGTGGCCCAAGGAGCCCTCCACACATGCACACACACACACACACACACACACACACACTTCAAGTGTCAGAAAGCATGGGTCAAGCCTCCTCTTTCCTGTCACACAGACGAGCTCCCAGGTGTTACCTTTATGTGACAAGATGCTGCCTCGAAAGTTCAAAGTTCTCTTCTCTTGTTTGTGGGTGTCAAATGCCCAGAAGAGGTTCACCACATAGCCATTCACCTGCCAGGAGCCAGAACACATGTCACAAGCAGAGCAGTCACAGAGCACTGCAGACCCGGGGTCCCCCACTTCCTCGTTCCTCACAGTAGGCAGGAGGTTTCTTTTGATTCTTCCGCCTGCTCCGTTTATGCTGTCACCGAATGTTTAGTGATATGCCACCTACTTCTAAAAGCAAATGTGATTCCATTTATGATACAAGACACACATTCAGTGAAACAAGAAATTAATATAGAATAAAAGGATGAGAACCAGTTAATGAAGGCAGAAAGAGGAACGACTGAAAAAATAACCAGGTGACGGGCATTAAGGATAAGCCTCCACTTGGGTGGTCTTTGCCACTGAGGCTGAGAGGTCAGCTCGGAGGGGTTTGGGTTGGGCCTCATGGTCTAACAGGAGCAAGTGCACCCACCATCAGGGAAGACTGCCGTTTCCCAGTCCTGAGCTCCTGGAAGGATTTAATCTCAAGATCTTTAAATATGGGACAACAAATAAAAGGTTTTCAAGGCTAAACGCCAGCTAGACATGGTCCACATAAGGCTAGTAATTGCATCATCTTTCTCTGAAGCCAGAGGCATGACATCAAAGGGTAGTTCAATAAATGGCACAAGGACTCTGGGGGCTGTTTGTCCCACCCGAACTTCACAGATAGGGAAGGGGGTGAGGGGACCTGGACAAGAAAGGACACCATGGAAGGTAGTGTCAGCCTGAGAAACCACGGAGCACAGGTAACCATGCCGCAGCTGCTGGCTCTGCAGAGGGGCTGGGCAGAGGGGGTGGTGATGATGGAGGAGGAAGATACTGGGTGGGCCTAAGTGGCCACATTTCCGAGCGTCTGACTCTCTCTCATAAGACTCTTCCACTGCAGCAGCCTCTGCATTAGCACTTAGCATCAGGAAATCCAATAAAGCTGAAAATCACAGGGCACAGGTGCTCTGTTCACGCCACCTCCTGATTTGCACTCTAGCTGTGAACCATTTAATTATGTGATTAAAAAAGGAAGGCACCAGGCGGAGGCAGAAAAGTGCATGTGAAAACTGAAGTTGCTCTTGGTGGGGAGAGGGCCCGGCCTCGCCCTGGTGTCGCAGCTTCCCTGGTACTCTCTGGACTCTCCTGCATCAGTTCCCACATGGAGCAAGATCCCACCTAATGGTCGTTTGAAATTTCAATGCTACCTTGATGTCTGTCTCCATGGTCAGGGTGAAGCTCAGCGAGGTGTCGCCACAGCCATCAATGTGGATGTCTGGTGGTGGGATCACTGGAAACAAAAAGCATTTCAGTGAGTGAAGCCACATACTGAGAGGGAGGGAGGCGAGGGTGCACGGCACTCAAGCTCCAGAGACGGAGCGTTCCGTGTGTGAGGAAGGAAGGGTGTTTCTCTGGATGCTGTCACTCATCTGTGTCCTTCACCAGTGCATTTGGAAGCTGTGAGTGGCCCAGTCACCAGGTGAGCACACAGCTGTCCTGGCAGGTAGGTTGGGCCATGATGTTCCACCATTTACGGCCCCAAAACAACCCCGTTTCCACCCGGGGCAGAGAGTGCAGTGAGCACCATCTTTACTGGCAGGAACAGAGACCCAGGGGCCTCGAGTCCTCTGGGAAGGACCACAGCAGGATGCACAGCACTTCGCCAATGCGAAGGTGCACATGGCAAATAGAGACAGCACAGTCTCCCATGTCTGACGCACCTGAGTTCACATTCCTGTTTGGACATGAACTGGGTACCTGGGGCAAGTACGTATCCTCACTGATCCTGAAGATGCAGTCTACACTTTAGAGAGCTGGGAAAACTCGCTAAAATGATGCATGTGAAGTGTCTAGCACTCAACTAATACTCCCTTTCTCTCCCTTTCCAGTCAAGTGCCCCCTGTGACAGCCACCAGCATCCGGAGAGAGGGCAAGGGGAAGGAGGGGAAAGAGGGCAGAGTCCACCCTCAGCCCACGTGACCAGAATCCCGCAGGCCCTGATGAAGGTCTACCCACCGAGGCCCGCAGAGTGCTGCTGTACAAAATCAAAACAGGCTGAAAGGGATAAATACTCTCAAGAGATGATGTTCAAATGACAACGTGCATATTAGACTCTCAGTACATAAGCTTCTTGTACAGGCAAGGCAAGAGAGCCTCAGAGGAGTGGATAAGATTCAGTGGCAAAGAGATATGTCAAAATCTGGAGGAGTTGCTTTAGATAATCAACCGTGTAATAATACTGGGCTTGAGGAAAACACCATAACCAGAGGAAAAAAGGACATTAGGTATTTCAGGCAGTCAGTAGGAGCAAAACAGCGCAGGTGCTGCTCCTGAGCTGACCTGAGTTAAAACCACGTGCCTGGGGACAGGTCAGGATCCCCCCTGAACACATTTCCTCAGCTACAGATTGAGTACCTGTGGCATTGATACAAACTGAGAGGTCAATTCACGTAAAATAACAAACATGGTGCTTACTCCACAAAAAGTGCTGGGAACCTGACGGGTGTGGCTCAGTGGCTTGAGCGTCACCCTGCAAAGCAAAAGGTCGATGGTTTGATTCCCGGTCAGGGCATGTGCCAGGGTTGTGGGTTCGGTCCCCTGTTGGGCACATTTGAGAGGCAACCAACTGATGTTTCTCTCACATATCAATATTTTTCTCCCTCTCCTTCTCTCTCCTTTCCCCTCTCTCTAAAAACAAATAAGTAAAATCTTTCTAAAAGAAAGTGCTGGCTAACCGGTGGCTTTTTTCATTGCTGTTATTAATCCACTACACTCTCTAATTAATGTGGTGCTTCTGGCTGATGCCAGTGCTGTTTGCCTCCATCTTCTTGACATTATCAGGGTGTGAGGTCACGGACATCATTCTTTTCGACTTAGCACACAACTGCCTCCTGCACAGACTCTAAACAAATGCATGCCAGGAGCTAAGATTCATCAAAATTACGTAACAGAATTTTAAGAGAAGCAACTACCCACTGAGATTGTGAAAGGCAGGTTATGCCTAGGAAGTTCAAGGACCATGTTTTTTGCTGACCTTCCGAAGTCCCTTTTTTCCAGCATGCAGAGTCAGTATATATATTTTGACCCTGATTTTATAGAAGGCAGTGACACCACAGTAAGAATTCTAGGGTGGTGTGAGGTCAGCACCCCCTTCCTAATCCCCACAGAGACCGGATGACTTCACTGAATGCAGCTGCCTGCTGCCCGGACCTCAGTGCCCCCCAAATTCCAGAGGCTGCCAGACAGCAATTCCTCAAGACCCAGAGCCTGTTTTTCACTGATCCAGGTTAAAGTAAAATACCCAACCACATTCTGTGCCACACTTTTGGCATTGATACCCCAAAGTCCATAAACAAAAGCACCAGTGCCAAGGCTAAGATCAAGAAAACCATTCAGGCAGGTGGGATGTAGTCTGTCTCCCAAAGTGTGCCAAAACCTTCATTTAATTACTTCAATTCACTCATTCATCAACTATTCCATTGGTTCGTATTTGGTGCCAGTGACAGAGCAGAGGAAACCAGACCAGGTCTCTGCCTTCCTGAGGCACACATGCCAGTCATGCCAGGTGACAAGCCAGTTGCCCAGCAAGCCAGGCCATACTGGGGCCACATGCACACATCCGGCCAGGCAGCCAGGCTCATGGTGGTCAAGGGCACAGGCCTCAGGGTCAGGAGGATCAGGTTCCCATCAGGCTCTGTTACCTACTGATTTTGATAAGTAAGTGATAACTGATGTAACCTCTTGCCAGTTCCTTATCTGCTCTTAGAGTTGTCCTCAGGGTTCAATCAGATGGGCTGATGTATGCCAAGCGGAACGCCCTCCGGACTACCTGGTCTTTGGCAGCAACCAGCCACCGGGCTACCAGCTCCAGCGCTGGAAAATACCCTGCACACATCGTGGTGCTGCCACTGGGAGCTGCAGCACATGTCCACACAGCACTCTACCGAAAACACCGTAAAGGAACGTGCACCTTTAGTGGGAGGAAAGGACACCTTGGATACTGTGCACTTTGGATACTGTGCATGAACACAAAGGGCCAGGGCGGACAGCCCTCAACAGCCCTTCGTATGTTTGCACAGTAGAAACTGCTCAGTGCTGCCCTGACCGGGGTGGCTGCATGGGTTGGGCATTGTCCCGCAGAGCTAAAGGTTTGATCCTGGTCAGGGCAGGTGCCTGGGTTGTAGGTCCAGTCCCTCGTGGGCACAACCAGGAGAAGCAACTGGTCAACATTTCTCTCCTTCTCTTTCACTCTCCCTTCCCCTCACTCTAAAAATAAATAAATTTTTAAAAATCTTTTTAAAAAAGGAAAGGAAATGCTCAGTTCTAGGAGGAGGAACAATTCAAGGGTCACCCAGAAAGGCTGTACCCATCACATGTGTTGGGGAAAGAGGCCATGTGCAATTTCTAATTGATGCGTCAGTATCTTCCAGGCACACTGGAAGTTACTTCTGTAGGGCTGCTCTGCTCTCTGAGGCTGCAAACACGGGATCATTTACCTTTTCCTTTTGTGGTGGTAATGGACTTGGCATCACTCCAGTTTCCGATTCCACGACTGGTCACTGCAGCCACCTTTTCAAATCAGAGTATGAGTTAGAATAGAATAAAGGCAACACACCCAACAGCAAGTACTGCAAGGGAGCTGAAGGAGTGAGACTTTGAAAATGGGACATAAAAACACATATGCAGAAGGATGCAGGACTTTCAGAGGCCCCAGCAACTGAAGCAAGAGGGGGAAGAGGCAATGGGAAGGAGCCTGGTTGCAGGAAATGGGACTGGCATTGGGATTCTGAAAGTTCAAGGTTTTTCTGAAGAGCAGGGGTGAGTGTGTGTGTGTCCATGTGCTCACTCCCAACTGCACACACACGTGGAAAAGGGCATTGAGGGACTCATCAGTGTAAGGCAGTCCACGCATGCACTTAAGGCTCTCAACAAACACATTTGCACAAAATCTACCTCTTTTATACTCAGGAGAGGGATAATATATTTTTGTAAGAACCTCACAGTATCAGTTTATAAATGCCACTTAGAGTGCGACAGCACCCTGCAGCCACAGACAAGGAGGAAAGAGGCCAGTGTGGAAGCACAGAAGCTGGGAAGGTTGCATAGCAGCTGGGAAGGTTGCAGAGCACCTAGGCAGAAGGCCGAGAAGCAGCAGTGCCAACGCTGCTCTTGGTTATCTGAGGAGAGTCTGATTGCAAGCTCTCTGCAACAGAGGTTTAAGAGACCGAAAAAGAATCTCCCCCAGGGTAAGGGGCTAGGTACCATGCACATTGCTAAGCATTACGCAGAGGTACTCAGGGAGCTCTCAGGAAACAGCAGTCGCCTCCCCACATTCTGCGACTGAGCCAGGGGCCGAGACAATGGAAGACTCACCCGGACAGTGTACTGAGCGTTGACCAGCAAGTTCTCTATTTCTGTGAAGTTGCTGGTGGCCCTCTGCGAGGCCCACATCCTGGAGCCGCTCCTGCTGTATTCTACCTGGAGGGAGATGCAAACATGTTTCGTGGGGCAGAACCAAAGGTCTAGGGCATCCTAACACCTTACAGGGAGACCAGAGGGGGGGGAGAGGGGACGCAAAATGTTCTAAGAGATGAGACATTATTTACAAATCAAATCCTATTCACCCAGAACACACCTCTGCTCCAGCACAGACCCAGAAATCTGCTCTGCACCCCGACCCACATAGTCCACGCCTGAAAGACACTCACGATGTATTCTCGAATGAGGCCGTGGGTGTGGCTGGGAGGGGTCCAGTGGCCAACAATGACGCCTTCTGCTTCCCTGGGGAGTGACAGCTGGAGATTTCGAGGGGCATCTGGCACTAGAAGAGAACCAAATGGGGTGAAAACCCATCTGCATACTGGTCAACTGGAGGAATTTCCCTGAGCTTAGAACAAGGGCAAGGAAGACTCAGGGGCTGGCTTTGTGATCTTTCTCCAAGAAAGGGCTGCTGGTGGTGTTCGCATCAACAAGACACCTTTCTCCTCTCTGACAATGCAGGCTACGCATCAGACTGCAGTGCAACCAAGTGTTAGAGACGTTTGTGCCCGCCAGGGCTGCAGGCTTGAGTCAACGGGGTATGCTGCGTCCCCACGGGCCTTGGCCCCCCCAACAGCCACAGTGACAAATGGCCGTCCCTCCCATACAGGTAGCCCTGGCCAGACCCAACACTGGAGGGGGACGGGGGCCACAGGAGAAAGCTGCCTGAGGCAGTGTGCCAGCTTCCTCCCGAGCCCCACCCTGTAACCAAACTAGGGCAGTGCACAAGGACAGATTCCCTGCCTCGGGGCAGAGCCAGGGCAGGAGAAAGTCACTGTGCAGCGTTTGTGTGAGGCTAGACAGTGATGGATGAAGGGAAAAGCCCTTCTGTCCCCTCCTGGTTCCTGACTGAAGGGGAAGCCATGGGACACAGTGGCAAGTATGCCTTAAAGGTCAACCAGGCAGCAGGGGGAGGTGAGCCCGTCCAGAGTGCAGGGACGTTTGGACTGGGAGATTTAACCAGAGGGAAGGCGGACACCCGCTGCTTCCCCTGGGATCTGCGGCACAAACACGCAGGCCGAAGTGCTGTGGGACTCGGCAGCCGTGAAAGCTGTGTGGCCGGGCACCGGCAGACAGAGTCCCCACACGGCTCACTACAGGGGTTGGCCGTGGCCCCAGGCTCCCAGCGTGGGAAGTGGCAGCAGTGGTGCCAGCCAAGTGGGCAGACTCAGGAAGGAGCCTGATGTCCGACAGGGCAGGGAGAGAAGCTGAGCCATGTGAATGGCTCTGTTGCAGCGACCTGTGGTCCCCACAGGGTGGCATTTTTAAGTGGGAGGATGGCTCTGGGCACAGCCTGGGCCTGGTCTGGCAGAACACGGCCATGTTTCCTCTGGGTGCCCTGGCTCTGAGGCAAGCACCGGCTGACCTCCCAGACCGTGCAGCTTGTAAACAGAAGTTCTCTTTTCTCCCCAAACTCTGCCTCTGGAATCTGCCTAATGGGTGGAGGTGAGCAGCTGGACCCCACCTTCTGTTTGGTAGCACCCTGCCTCCCAGGGCCTTCCCGCTATGAGCCTCTCTGATAAGACCCCACAAAGCTTACCAACACCCCCTTTTGGGTTTAGACTGAACCAATCCAGCCTTAGTCTGGGAACCTCCACCCAAGAACCCTGACAAAGGTCCTGCTCCTCTCTCTGCTGGCTCCCCGCCTCAACTCCAGCATGACCCTCCCAGCATGCGTGGGCCTCTCCCAGGGTCTAGGGGTGATGTGCTTCTCCACTTCAACGCCCTGTGTGGTCTTCTGCAGACTATCCAACACCCCAGGCTCTACTTAACACATGTGAACTTCATAACGTCACGGCACATAGGTCTTGTGGCAGTGGCATATGAAGAGCTCACCCAGCTGTGGTAACGGGGGACTCCCTTGGACAAGTGAGTTTTGGTAAATATTTAAAAATTTTTAGAGGCACATTGATTATGCTCCCACACTCCTAAGCATTCTTGGGAAAATCTCTGAAAATCCCACATGAGGTCTTTCTGTGCCATAAAAAAATAACCTGTAACACTTACATCCCTCTGGGGTCCTCAGAGTCACGAACTCGTTGGTATTGTGTACCTTGCTCAGACACTGCACCTGGACTTTCACCTGATAGGTGGTGTCTGGCTTCAAGACTTTCAGTACCACGTTTGTCTTACTGCTGTGGGTCTCCAGAGTCTTCCACACGCTCTCTCCGACCACCCTGGCCAAGAAAAAGAAGACGCGGTCACATGAGCACGGGGTGGCACATGCTGACTCCACTGGTGAGAGCCGCTCCACACCCATCATGGGGTTCACTGACCACCCCATGGCCGAAGGACTCCGCTTTCCCCGAGCAGCGACGGGACCCACCTGTAGTGCACGTTATAGACACAAGAGGCAGCAGGCATCTTCTTGGGCCGCATCCAGGTCAGAGTTACATCCCCAGAGAAGTCAGCTGTCCATTGAAGATTCTGGACTTTGTACACAGTTAATTCATCTAGAGATTAAGGGGAAACAAGGAGAGATATGTTACAGATTCCCTGGCAGACACCCACCCTGACCCAGACTGTCAGGCCCCATCGTCATCTCAGCAGACACCCAAGAAAACAAAGTTGAAACCCTCCTGTACGGCCTTCCCCAGGGTCTCCTGAACTCCCAGTAGTAATTTTCTCCTTGCATTCTGCTTCCTTGTCTGTACTCATTTAAAGCAGGTTCTCAGTAGAGGATGCTCTAAGTACACAGCCAATGTCACAGCAGGATCTATTACTGCTAAAGACAACACGTTTGTATTCCTCAAAATGCACATCCTGGAACCGAACTCCCATATGATGGTATTCGGAGGTGGGTCTCTGGGAAGAGACTGGATCATGAAGTCGGAGCCCCTGAATGACATTAGTATCTTCACAAGGGACCCCAGAGAGCTCCCTTGTCCTGTTCGCCACACCAGGGCACAGTGAAAGCCAGGAAATAGGACCACACCAGACACTGAGTCTGCTGGGGCTTTGACCTCAGCTGGGCCAGCCTCCAAACTGTAAGAAATAAATGTTTGTTGTTTGTGAGCCACCCCGTCTGCAGTACTCTGCCGCAGCGCCCTGAGGGACTAGACAGTCACTGCATCTACTCCAGAGAGGACTGTGTGGGCGCTGAGAGCACAAGGGAGCATCAACATGACGCAGGAAGTCCCTAGAAAACAAACCTCAGAGGACACAGCTGCACCACAGGCAGGACCAGCCTCGCCTCACTTGGTACTCTGAAATGGGGGGGAAACCTGTTTCCATTTCGGAAGGGCTCTCTCCAGGGGACATGGCGCTCACCGCTGCAGGCCCGCTCGTCGCTCTCGTCGGAGCAGTCCAGGAAGCCATCGCAGCGCTCCGAGAGCAGGGTGCAGGCCTCGCCGTCCTCACACCTGAACTCTCCACTCAGGCAGGTCAAGGTGCCACGTGTGGCTGAAACACAGGGAAGGGCCACATTGTGCACAACGCTTCCCACATTTGGGAAAAGCAGATTGCGCTCTATGAACTAATCAGCTTGTGTGTCAAAACATGCCTTTGGAATGATGAGAGGCAACTCCAGCAGGCACTGTGAGGTCGCCTCACTCCATGTGAACACCTGGGACCTGCCTCCGTGACAAGTGAGAGATTTGGAGTCAAAGCAGGCTCTAAATCCTGGCTCTGTGTGACATGGAGTGAACTGCTGAACCGCACCCAAGTTCAGCTCTCGTCTGTAAAACTGGGCTGACGACTCCACCACTATTGTGTCTACAGAGGTCCAACGAAATCGAGCACCTGGCGCAGTGCCTGGCTGACAACAGGCATCAACAAGTTGCAACTGTAAGTCTGCATAGCTATTGATTATTCTGTTACTATATTAGCTTCCAGTCCAGCATGATGCTCTGATTTCCGGTTTGAGTAAATACTAGTAACGAGATGCATCACAATATTAGGGGTGTGCCCACATTATGCAGTATTTTCATTGTATAGGTTTCAGAATATTTTACCAAAAAAAGGAATACTTCAAATAAAGAGCAATGGTAAATTAAAAGTTACACAACTCTATGACCATAAACAATAATGAGACTGCATAAGGCTCTAAAAAATAAGCAATGACCATACTACTGCAGACAATTACAAAAAGAGAAAAGAAGAGCTCCAGAAAAGATATGAATCTACTGCCCCCCGCAAGTGCGGACCGCGCCCAGGCGCAGGAGTTCACACTTCCTTCGGACAGACTCACACAGCCCGCCCAGCTCTAGACGGCAGGGGCCATGTCAGAACCCAACTGCCAAGGGGGAGGGTCTTAAATCACTCTTGCTCCTCCAGGGCAAAGACACCCGTGTTTTAACGTTGGACACAAGTTAAATGTCACCTGACGTGTTAAAAGGGACTTTGCAGGTGTGATTAAGTTACTGGCCTGGACATAAGAAGCTTATCCTGGATGACCCAGGTGGGCCGCTTCCCATCACGCAGGTTCTTTCCTGAGTGCAGTCAGAGAGGAAGATGTGAGCGCAGAGGAGGGTGCTGCTCAGGAAGCCAGGGAAGGCAAAGGCGCCTCTCTAAGCTGGCTGAGCAAGGACACAGCCTGCCCACAGCTGGGTTACAGTTGGTAAAACCCATGTCTGATTTCTGACGTACAAAACTATGAGGAGATAAATGTGCATTGTTTTAAGACATTAGGTTTGAGAAAGACAAATACTGTGTGACCTCATCATATGTGGAATTGAATAAACAAAACAAACTGATGGAGGAACAAAAATAGAAACAGAGGCAGGGACACATGGAGCAGACTGACAGCTGTCAGAGGGGCGGGGGAAGGGCTAGATGAAAGAAGGTGAAGGAATTAGTCAAAGAACAGATGTGCATGACCCACAGACACAGACCACAGTGTGGTGATGGCCAGAGAGACTAGGGCGAGGGGCGGGGGGAGGGGGGCGGGTGTTGGGTGAAGGAGGGCAAGCGGACCAGGGAATAGGGACATCTCTAATAGTGTCAATAATAAAAAATGGTTTTAGAAGACCTTGAGGTTTTTGGTGATTGTTACAGTGGCCACAGAAAAGAAACACACACTTGCTCCTCCATGTTTGCCCAGACCTTACACTGGAGCCTCTACCTTGGCTTTCTGAGTTCAAACTATCATTTCTGTTGGAGCTCAAGACCAACCCCACCCACAGCTCCTTCCTCCCACCCTATGCAAATATACACACAATGTTCTATACAATGACTAGGCCAGTATTAAAGAAATTACCAAAGAGCCCGGGCTGGTGTGGCTCAGTGCATTGAGCATGGGCCAGCAAACCAAAGGACCATGGTTTGATTCCCAGTCAGGGCACATGCCTGGGTTGTAGGCCAGTTCCTGGCAGGGGATGCATGAGAGGCAACCATACACTGATGTCTCTCTCCCTCTGGCCTACCCTTCCCCTCTAAAGATAAATTTTTAGAAATCTAAAAAAAAAAACCAGAAATGACCAAAGAGACCACTAAACCATTGTAGTAATCTCAGGATACAGAATCTACAAAACTGATTCTTAAGAGATTTTCCCGGGGAACTTATAAAAAACAAAAATTCCTAGGAGCTGCCCTAAAACTACTGAAGCAGAAACATGAAGCTGAGCATGTGTAGTATTTACAAGCCCCAGAGCATGTCATCAGGATTCGGCAGGTTGAGGAACTCCTATTCTAGAACAAGACAGGAAATCCTGTTTTCCATCTGAAGCATCTGCTTCTGGAAAGCACACCTGGAGACGTGGGCAGAAGAAATGGACAATGTCCCCATGAGAGCAACCAGAAAGGCCAAGAGTGGACCAAAAATCAGGGTTTTCTTCCTAGTGATGAAGAGACACAGGAGTCGGGGGTGAAGATGAGACGCCAGAGCAACTGCCCTCAACTGACCAGTTTTCATGTGAAAAAAGGATCAAGACTTCTTTGCATGTCTCTGGGAGGGAGGTACAGACCTCAGTTAAATATCTTTTTAGAGGAGCTCTCTAACACAGTAATTCTCAATGGGAGAAAAAAATGTCAAAACCACTTGTGATGCTTTTTACAAGCTATAACCCCCTGTCTCCTGGAAAACTGTGTGATAGGGGTGTTATGTGCTAGACTGAAACTGGTTTTCCTTGGAAAAGTGGGAAGGACTCAATCACAGATAAAACCGCATTATAGTATTTAGAAAAGGTCTGAGAACCACTGGTGTTAACAGTCTCAGCAGCCCAAGGTGGAATTCATCCATCTTTCTCTCTACCCACCCACCCACCAATACACTTACCCCAGCCACCCATCCATCCATCCGGCCACGTATTATCCATCCACCCACCCACCCATGCATTTATCCACCCATCCAACCATTTACCCATCTGACCATCTGTCATCCATCCATCCACCTATCCATCTGCTCATGCATTCATCCATATACTCATCCATCCACTCACCCATCCTGCCATCCATCCATCCGTACATCCATGTACTCCTCCACCCATTCACCCATCCCGCCATCTACCCATCTACTACTCATCTATTCATCAACCAATGAACATTCATGGGAGTCTCCCCATGAATCAGGTACTGTAAGATGCTAAGAAAATGGTGATGTGTAAAACAAAGACCTACCCTCCTGGAACTTACCTTCTATTGAGAGAGACAGCAAACAAGTAAACAGATGTGTTATTTAGATAGAGATAAGAACTACAAAGAAATATAAAAAAACAGTAAGAGTGTGAGGGGGTGGTACCATTTTTATAGGAGAGTCAGGGAGGAACTCTCTGCTCAGAAGCAGACTACTTTGGAAAATTCCAAGGTCCCCATCACAGAATTATTCCATATGGTAACATGGAATGTCATAAAATATGTCAATATAATCAAACTGAGTATTAAAGCTCCAAGACTTCTGAGGTTCATGAAACATGCCCCAATATTTAGAAAATGGGAAAACACAGGTTTTAGAAATTGAAAATAAAGTTGTCATTAATTTCTGAAAATTCTTAAGCCAGTTATTAAACACATAGTTACTAGGCACTTAGAGCAGAATGTAATAGTTTTCAGGAGCTATCTTCCCTAAGAAGAATCATGCCACACTAGTCTCATTTCCTTTTTTGATGAGGTTATCAGATTAATGAATTAAAGAAAACTGTTAATAGAACGCATCTTGATTTTAAAACCCTTAACTAAGCAACCTCCTTAAGAATAAGGCAGATGTGAGATAGGCCAAAGAAACTCATTTAAAGAATAACAGTGAATGACTTAGTCTCACTCTGGAGGAAGGTCCTATTCCAGTTCCTTTTTGTTAACTATTTCCACATTTCATTTTTCTGTGTGAGCACCTCCCCAGCTCAGGTGTTCCCACTGTTATTTTGGTAAATGTGGAGTCTATCTAAACTGCTGTTCTTTTCAAAGATCTTATTTATTTATTTTTAGAGAGGAGAAGAGAGGGGAAGAGAGGGAGCGAAACATCACTGTGCAGTTGCCTCTCATGCGCCGCCTACTGGGGACCTGGCCCACAACCCAGGTATGTGCCCTGACTGGGAATCTAATCAGTGAGCCTTTGGTTTGCAGGCCGGCACTCAATCCACTGAGCCACACCAGCCAGGGCTGACCTGCTACTTTAATGTTCCAATGATACACTTTACTCATTTTTTTTATGTAAGTGTAGAATTTTACACTAATCCTTATTTAATTTCTATGTGTTACTTTGGAGTATTCCATCCTATAAGAACTTGAAATATAGCATGATGAAAAGATAACAACTTTATACCAAAAAAAAACTAAATAAATATACCAGTTTGTTACTGATGACATAATCTTCCTCGAAACTTAATATTCCTATCTCCAAGATGGAGATAATGCCAAAATTATGAAATTACTCAGACCAGAGAAGCATAGGGAACAGGAGGCTGTGCTCTCAGAGGTCTTCCCTGGGTGTCACCCTCCAGCACTCACGGCAGCTGGCCTCATCCTGACCGTCCTGGCAGTCCCAGTGGCCGTCACAGCGCTTCCAGCTGGGGATACACTTCTTTGGCCGGCGGCACTCAAACTCCAATCGGTCACATCGTCCAAGCGGGATGGGAGTAGAGGCAGCAGTAACATTTGCTAGAAAGAGAGATTTCTTAAATTCACTTTTCAGTACTGAAGGGACTGGCTGGCCACAGCCACCAACTTGGCCCACACAGAGATGACAGTGTCGGAGGAGTCATGAGAGCTCTGTGTAGAGACACTGACTGGACAGTGGCCTCCAATCTTGCTCTCTCCTAGGAGCCCAAGAGAGACAAGAGCCATGAAAGTTTGGAAGCTGGAAAATACACACAGTGATAGGTGGATAAAAAGGCCACAGAAGGCTGTATTCTATCTGAAGCTGTCAGGGGAGTAAGCTAAGAACTAGCAAGATCAACATCACCGAATCCTCAAAAAGCTTGAAAGTGGCAATCCAACGTGGTAAAAGAGGCAAAAGGGAAGACCTGTAACAAGCAGTGGGTGCCCTGCATTCCCTCTAGCACCGGGGGGGGGGGGACCACTGCCCGGTGTTTGGCCCCGTAAAAGTGGGAGAGGGTGAAAACAGGGTTATTTAGACAAACAGCTGGAAGCAAGAATGTGGTACTGACAAGGGGATTAAAAGGACAGACTGTGGAAGGCAGGAACACCCTGCTCCTTCTGCTCAAGGACCCAGCAGCGAGACTGTAATTCTCCAGGCAGGAGACTGTACAAATCTGCTTTTTGAGAGAAAGGGACCAGTCTCAGAGACAAACCCAAAGGTAACCAGAACAGGAGTTCCTCAAACAGCCCAACCATGAGACTCAGGGCTGACCAGCCGCCCTCCCCTAAACCCCACCTGTGCAATCTCTTAACAGTGTGCTTGGTCACAAGCATTAAACACAAGCAGCCACCAAACAGCCACCGAGGAGCATGGGAAGAAAAATTTTGGCATGAAAAACAGACTCCAATGTAGACCGCCTCCACCCAGGAAAGGAAAGTTGGAGGAGGAAATAGAGACTTTGTAAAAAGAAAAATTCAAAAAATATATCCTCGCCCTGGCTGGTGTTGCTCAGTGGATTGAGCACTGGATGGTAACCCAAGAGGTTACTGGTTGGATTCCCATTCAGGGCACAGGCCTGGGTTGTGGGCCAGGCCTCAAGTAGGGGGCATGTAAGAGGTAACTGATCAATGTTTCTCTCCCTTTCTTCCTCCCTCCCTACACCTCTCTCTCTAAAATATATATATCCCCATCCTATTCAGATAGAATATATATTAATATAAAAAAACAAAAAGTGGCCATAAAAAAGAAACAGTATTAACAATTTAAAAGCTCTTAAAATTAAAACCATGAAAACTCATATGGAAAACTCAGTAGAAGAGTTGGAAGATAGAGTTGAGTATACTCCAGAGAGTATATATAATGAAATTAAAAAAACATAAAAGATTGGAAAAAATAAGGACCAGACCAGAAGATCCAATAAAAGAATGACAATAATTCCAGGAAGAAAAACAAAGTATCATGAATGGGATACTTAAGAAAAACCCCTAAAACTAAATACATCAATTTCCAGAATAAAAAAGGCTATCGGTGCCCATGACATTGGAGAGAAAGGGGCCCTCACATGACTGGGAACATCAAAGGCCGGTCAAGGGGGAAATACAAGATTCCATGGAGGGAAAACAGGTCACACACAAAAGATCCAACTCAAAATGGCTTTGGACCACGTTGAGCGTTGTTGGAAGACAGAGGGGAAGAGTGCCTTCAAAATGCTGAAAGAAAATCATTTACAACCAAGAACTCCAAACCCAGCCCAACAATCAATCAGGTCTGAAGATGAGAGAAAAGCACTTTCAAACAAGCAAGACCTCAAATATACCTTTCACATACCTTTCTCAGGAACTTTCTAGAAAATATGCTCCATCAGAACATAAGATTTTAAAAAAGAAAAGAATCTGGGATATAGGAAATTGGAAGTCCAATAGGAGAGAGAGAGAAAGCAAATGGGTGATGGAGATACTGCAGCCCTGAGATGCCTGAGCCTGGGCGCAGGGCAACCAGGAGGAGTGAGATGGCTCAGCTCAGCAGACGGACCCACTGAGGACCATGACTGAGGTGCCCTTGGCCCAGTGTCACCACATTCACCTGACAAAGCTACTGAAGGGCATGTTCCACTGAAGCAAGGGAGTAAACCAGAAAAAAGCCAGACACAACATCCAGGAAATAGGGGCTCTAACTCAGGAAAAGGCAAAGAGCAACCTGAGGAGGGCAGTGGCATCCTGGAGCAGGGGCTCACTCCAGGCCCAGAGAACAGTCGGCAGAGACACTGGACCTGAGGGATCCATGGACACAGTGACTTTGCGGAACCAAATTCTGAGAGGCTACTGATGGGAGAAAGCATTAGCAAATGGTGCAAAATAACCTGAGCTGACACACAAACAGAAGAGCAGTCATTGAACTTTTAGATATTCTATGTGGTCCATAGTTTCAACAGAATGTCTGCTAAAACAGGCACACGGAGAAGACTGGCAAAGAATGAGGCTAAAAGTGGGGTCAAGGCAAACCATGGCACTCATCCTTGCACAATGAGGGAGCCCAGAGAGGGCTCCAGTGCAAAAAGGACACAGTACTGCATCGAGGTGTGGTTCCTCGGAAGACAAAATGGGAGAGACAAGGGGGAGTGAAACTAGAAAAAATACTTTTACACTGAAGAAGTGACACACAAAGGACTTCCGCCAAGATGGAGGCATAGGTGGAGACACCATGCTTTCTCACACAACCAAGTTTAGAGACAACAAAATATTAGCAGCAGAAAACACAGCCAGAACACAGAAAATTGAAATTTTCGGAAGTCTGATAACAACAAATTCTTCAGCCTGACCAGTAAGAGGGGCGAAGCCAGCAGCTGGCGGAGCGGGGTTGCACAGAAAAACTCTATCAGACGAACTCAGGCATGCAGATCCCAGGCGTGGGGTTGCAAAGGGCTGACCCAGTGAACAACCCAGTGAGCGACCGGCAGAACCAGTGAGGGCACAGGGCGGTGGGTTGACTGTGGTGGCGCATTCCTGGGCAGATAGACCAGCGAGGGAGTGGGCAGTGAGACGGGACCAAGCAGGCCCCAGCTGCGAGAAGCAGCAGAGGGGGCCGCCATTTCCCCGCTCTGACCCCACCCCCACATACCCCGCCCCCACATACAGCGTCACAATCCAGCGACCTGGGCGGCCACGCCCTGGTGAACACCTAAGGCTTGCCTCCTCATACTTAACTGGTGCAAACAGACCAAAAATGGCTCAAGAAGATCTCAAAGCCCCAGAGCCCATAAATCTAAGCGATGAAGAAATAGCAAAACTTTCAGATGCACAGTTCAAAACACTGGTGATCAGGATGCTCACAGAACCGGTTGATTATAGTCACAAATTAGAGGAACATATGAAGGCTAAACTAATTGAAATGAAGGAAATGGCACAGGAAACCAATAGTGATGAAAAGGAAATTGGGACTCAAATCAAAGGAGTGAACAAAAAGGAAGAAAATAATGGCCACACAGGAAAATATGAAGAAACAAGAATTCAGAAAAATGAGGAGAGGCTTAGGAACCTCCAGGACATCTTTAAACCCTCCAACATCCGAATTATAGGGGTACCAGAAGGGGGAAAGGAACAGCCACCAGTGGAAAACTTATTTGAACAAATAATGAAGGAGAACTTCCCCAATCTGGCAAAGTCAATAGACTTCCAGGAAATCCAGGAAGCTCAGAGAGTCCCAAAGAAGTTGGACCCAAGAAGGAATACACCAAGGCACATCATAATTACATTAGCCAAGATTTAAATGAAGGAGAGAATCCTAGAAGCAGCAAGAGATAAGGGGACAGTCACCTACAAAGGAGTTCCCATCAGACTGTCAGTGGATTTCTCAAAAGAGACCTTACAGGCAACAATGGGCTGGAAAAAAGTATTCCAAGTCATGAAATCCAAAGACCTACAACCAAGATTACTCTATCCAGCAAAACTTTCATTTAGAAGGAAAGGACAGATAAAGTGCTTCTCAGATAAGATCAAATTCAAGGAGTTCATCATCACCAAGCCCTTATTATATGAAATGTTAATGGGACTTACCTAAAAAAAAGAAGATAAAAAAGATGAACAGTGAAAGGACAACAAACTCACAGTTATTAACAATCACACCTAAAATAAAAACAAACTAAGCAAACAGCTAGATCAGGAGTGGAAACATAAAAATGAAGATCTCAAGGAGGGTTAGCAACAGGGGAGTGGGAGGAGGAGAAGGGGGGAGAAGGTACAGAAAATAAGTAGCATAGACAGTAGGTAAAAAATAGGGGGGCAAGAATAGTATGGGAAATACAGAATCTAAAGAACTTGAGACACATGGTCATAAACTAAAGGGGGGGAATGGTGGGGGCGGGGGGTTGCAGGGTGGAAGGGAATGATGGGGGGAATAGAACAACTATAATGGCATAATCAATAAAATAAAAAAAAAAAAAGAAGTGACACACAAGAGCCAGAGATACCCCTAATCTACATTTGAACAAACGATGTGCATTAAAAAGAAGAAATCATTATTAAAGCTGAATGGAACATCAAAATAGGAATCTACTCATTCATTGGATTAGTCAGAATTCAGAGACATCTGGCCAAGATGGAGGTGTAGTAGATACACTCTACCTCCTTGCACAACCAAAAGAAGGACAACAAATTTAAAAACAAAATATAACCAGAGCTGCCAGAAAATTGAACCGTATGGAAGTCTGACGACCAAGGAGTTAAAGAAGGAACATTCATCCAGACTGGGTGGAGGGGTGGAGAGGACTTGAGGTAAGGCAGCAGCTGGAGGATCAGGATGGGCGAGGTGGCAGCTGAGGGAGGGGGCTGCCCCACATTTCTGTGAGAATAAACTGGGAGGAACAACTGGGGAGCAAAACAGATGTACAATCCAGGGTTTCAGCTCTGGGAAATAAAGCCTCAAACCTCTGACTGAAAACACCTTGTGGGGGTTGAGGCAGCAGTAGAAACTCCTAGCCTCACAGGAGAGTGTGGTGGAGAGACCCACAGGGTCCTAGAACATGTATAAAACCAAACACTGAGAATCAGCACCAGAAGGACCCAATTTGCTTGTGGGTAGCAGGGGAGGTGACTGAAAGCCAGCCGAGAGCAGAGCAAGCGGCACTGTTCCTCTCAGACCCCTGTGCCACTTACAGTGTCACAATGCAGTGACATGGGTTGCCCCACCCTGGTGAATACCTAAGGCTCTGCCCCTTACTACACAACAGATGTGCCAAGATAAAAAAATATGGCCCAAATGAAAGAACAGATCAAATGTCCAGAAAAAATATAACTAAGTGATGAAGAGATAGCCAACCTATCAGAGGCACAGTTCAAATCACTGGTAATCAGATGCTCCCAAAAACAGTTGAGTATGGTCACAAAAATAAATGAAAAGTGAAGGTTATGAAAAATGAAATAAAGGAAAATGTACAGGAAACCAACAGTGAAATAAAGAAAAGCAGCATTCAAATCAACAGTTTGGAACAGAAGGAAGAAATAAACATTCTACCAGAACAGAATGAAGAAATAAATATTCAAAAAAATGAGGAGAGGCCTAGGAACCTCCGAGACAACTTTAAACATTCCAACATCCAAATCATAGGGGTGCCAGGAGGAGAAGAGGAAGGGCAAGAAATGGAAAACTTATTTGAACAAATAATGGAGAACTTCCCCAATCTGGCAAAGGAAATAGACTTCCAGGAAGTCCATCCAAGAAGTTCAGAGTTTCAAAGAAGATGGACCCAAGGAGGAACACACCAAGGCACATTATAATTACATTACCCAAGATTAAAGAGAAGGAGAGAATCTTAAAAGCAGCAAGAGGAAAAAAGAGAGTTACCTACAAAGGAGTTCCCATAAGGCCATCAGCTGATTTCTCAAAAGAAACCTTGCAGGCAAGAAGGGCCTGGAGAGAAGTATTTCAAGTCATGAAAGGTAAGGACCTACATCCAAGATTACTTTATCCAGCAAAGCTTTCATTTAGAATGGGAGGGCAGATAAAGTGCTTCCCAGAAAAGGTCAAGTTAAAGGAGCTCATCATCGCCAGCCCCTGTTATATGAAATGTTAAAGGGACTTATCTAAGAAAAGAAAAGAAAAAATGTGAACAGTAAAATGACAACAAACTCACAACTATCAACAAGCAAACCTAAAAAAAAGCAAAATGAAATAAGCAAACAACTAGAATAGGAACAGATTCACAGAAATGGAGGTCAATGGAGGGTTATCAGTGGGGAGGGAAAGGGGGAAATGGGAGGGGGAAAAGGCCCAGGGAATAGAAGCATAAATGGTAGATACAGACAGGGGGAGGTTAAGAATATAGGAAATGGAGAAGCCAAAGAGCTTATATGCCCCACCCATGGGGATGAACTAAGCAGGGGGATGTTGGTAGGAGAGGGGTTGCAGGGCAGAGGGGAATAACAGGGAGGAAATAATGGGACAACTGTAATAGCATATTCAACAAAATATATTTAAATTTTAAATGAAGAAAGATATGGCTGTATACATACATTTTTTATTAAAAAATAAGAATTTGCTGAGTTTGTTAATGTCCTAGTCAGAATTTCCACCACCAAAAACAATTTTCAAAGAAGGACAATCAAGTTACTAGACAGAGAGGTGGGTCTTGGGGGAAGAGCCAGAGATAAAGGTGCTTTGTTTTGTTTTGGGTTCTTTTTTTGTTTTACGATTACTTTCAATTTGAGAAGCATTTACAGAACACCTATCTCCCTCTCACTGTGGCAGGCACAGTCATGGATTCAAAGCCATGTGCCACATGGTCCCCAAGCACAGCTGTTAGGGAGAAAGAAGATACACAGACAGGAAGTTACTAGGAAGCGTATACAGCAGATCATAGTTCAGAATCAAAGATGCGTTCAATGAGACCAGAAAAGAGACCCCATCGTTTAAAGGACTCAGTGAACGGCTATGGAGGAGGGCCTGAGTGGCAGACTTGGCCCCCTCCTTGCTGGAAACGAGGCTCACACTTCCGTGAGCCTGCAGACAGCATGGGAGGCTCCTGGGCTCCACCTGGACATGCCCCAGAAGTGGTTCTGTTGTCGGGGACCTGTGTGCCACACTTCCAGAAGGCACATCTAGGTCTATTGCAGTCATAAGGTCCACACTTCTGTGTGCTGTGACTGGTGGTGGGCTTTCCCGAGAGGGGAGGAGAAGCACATGGTCAAAGAGGACAGGGGTTTTGGAGAAGAGACACCCTGCCAATGGACACAGGCAGAGAAGCAGCAGGTCTCTGTCAGGAGCAGGTGGGGAGCCCAGCTGCGCAGAGGTAAGAAGCAAGGGCAGGCAAGGGGGTCAGTTTGCACACAGACATGAAAATAGGACTCGGGGGTCAGGGTCCACTCCAGGCAGAGGATGAAGGGAACCACTGATTTTAAACAGGGCGGTGGTGGGACAGAAAGAATCATGAAGAGAATCCAGACAGCTGACCTAGAAGTTTACTAACAAAAACACGGAAGACAATGGTCAATTCTCTAACTACAAGTGAATTTGAAATGGAATCCTGTTTAGGGAAAGCACACAGCCTCCTCACCTCTGGACTTAGTCAAGGTCATGCACTAGCCGGGGTCTCCCAGTTCACCCCAGCCCCGAATCCATCTGGTTTCTGCAGAAACACTCAGCTGCGTCTCTGCGTTCCGCCACTAGATGGCAGCGCTCACCTGTGTTCCAGGAAGAGGGCTGCCATCAGGCAAGCAGGAGACTGGGCTTTCTCCCCAGGGCCTAAGACAGACAGACAGACAGACAGACAGACACACAGACACACACACACACACACACACACACACACACACACACACGAGTTCCCCATAGATCCTATTGTGATATCTCTGGAAGAAGAGAGAGAAGTTCCCCAGCTGCAGCCAGAGTGGGAAGCAGGGTGGCTGCATCTTCCTGCAGGAAGAGCAGGGGGCGTTAATAAAAGATGAGACACTGCAGTCCCTAGTTCCCCTGAGTCCCCCTGGTCTCCGGGGCGGGGCAGGTGGAGGTAGGCTGACCACAGCACTCAGCATCCCTGGCCACGCGGTGCTCAGGGCAGACCCAGAAGGCTCTCTCCACACAGCAGGCACTGCCCGTGGAAGAGGCGGGCCAGCACTCACCGGGTGAGGGGCAGGCTTCCTCGTCTGAGCCATCAGCACAGTCCCGGTAGCCGTCGCACACCCAGGCGCCTGTCACGCAGGCCCCGCTGCTGCAGCGGAAGTGATTCGGGGGGCAGGTCGCAGGCCCCCGAGTGGGGGACGGAGGAGTGTGGAAATCTGAGGAAAACACCCAGCAAAAACCCAAAAGGTTACGAGAAGCTTGATCTCAGATCACAATGGACCCCCAAACTGGCGCGGAAGCCCCAGTTTCAGTGGTACCGCCCCAGGGCTCAGCACGGAGCCAAAGCACCGAACGTCCAGGGATCCCTCACAGCGGGCTGTCAGGACCCACAATGTCGTTCCTTTTTGGAGCCGATTCCCCAGAGTTAATGTGTTCTGAGTTGGGCTAATAGTATTCAGGTGACATTGCTTTTGCGCTGATGAAAGGAAGGTGACCCAGAATGCACAGGGTGGGAGGTGGGTGGTATGTAGCTTCCTTTTGAGGTTAAACCCTGTCCTGGTTAATTGGACCCACCCCCCACCCCCACCCCAGGCTGGCTCAGGCAGGACCAAACTGAAGCAAGAGGCGCAGGCAGGCATCCCACATCCGTGCTGCTCGGCTGGGTCAGGGCGCCTGTGCCGCCTGCCATCTTGCTGCATCATGAGTCCTTCCCCTCAAAGATTTGATTTTATTGGCCATGTTTACCTATGATTTTCTAAATTACAATGAGTTGCTTTGTACTCCAATTGTAATATATTTTCAGACAGAAGAGTCAAAGCCATCTTACCCTCAGATTTTAACCCTTAACTTGGGGAAGCGGGTATGCTTGTGTTTGCTTTTCAGAATGACTTTTGGTACTGCCGGCGAAGAGAATGAAGCCATATCACAGAAAAGGCTTCCCTGAAGGCGACACACTTCCACCCATTAGCCTCTCCTGATCCAGATTTCTCCAAGCTGTGTGTAACACCACTGCAGTGGTGGTATTCAACATCACCTAAGAGGGATTTTTTTCTACCAACTTAAAGGGACTAAATTGATGCTGCAGGACATTTAATGCTTAACCAAGCAGGAGGTTTTTCAGATTCTTCATGCTGAACTCCAAACATTGGTTTGATGGATTTAATCTGAGAATGCGGCTCATTCGACCCACTGGTTATTTATTGATTTTAATGATGCTTTGTACCTTACTCTTACTAAACTCTCTCACCCTGAGTTCAGATACTAGCCCTTGCTACATATCTTTAAAGTAACTTTCTGAAGTCTGTGCTAATTCTCCCAAAATTGAAATGTAACCAGACCTGTTACTTTTGTCTTTCCCATACATTTGCATCATTTTTCAACTGACTGAATTTAGGAGTTTGGGTTATGACAGCCCTTGGATGCCTCCTTGTATTAATTCGTATCTGTGCTTTATGATGTATTTGGAAGTTATTTTCCCATGACTGCATTTGAGAACAGCAAATAGTAGGTTTCACAGGCCTAACAACTTCAAATGATTTAACAACAAAAAAGGGGAAGATGGAGAAGGGGCTGGCCTTGCGGCTAGTGGAGGAGGTAGGCGAGGAGGGGAAGAGGTGGGGGAGGCAGGCACAGTCGGTGTAACTTCGCAGAAAGACACTGAATTTCCATTTGACACTTCGCTCTTCCATGTCTCTAACAATGTTGCCATACAGTTCCAATTCTTCTTCCACCATCTGCTGTCGGTGCAGTGCCAGACTGTAGGAAATGTCTGCGTTCTCAAATCAGAAACAGTCTCGACTAACCAGGGCCCCTCCAAGCCCGCACATGTAATGGCACTGTCCTTCCACGGCTCCTCTTCCTCATGCATCGGAAACTCTCATTACCATTAAGTCATCATCTGTTCATTTCTCTGGTGCAGTACCCACTTGCTCTTGACCTTCTCCAAGACCCACACCTCGAGACCCCGCACCCTCCACTCTGCTTGTACCACTTAGACAGTCTCTTTTACTATATCTGCGACGGGCCCCTGCGATTCCCGTGAAGTCACACAGTGTCCGAATGCAATTTGCTCCATAGGAACTGACTGTTTCAAGGACGATGGCTTCCCCTAGAACAACGATGGCATCTTCTAAGGTGGCTGTCCCTCTATACCTGTGGGCAGGTTCCCTTCCTGGGTTCTCTGTCATAGTGTTGCCAGTCCTTCCCATAGAGTGCTGTGTGGGATGAACCTCACGGGTCCTCAGGGCCACTGATCCACAGGCTGATAGGACACGTCACGTCTGAGGGTGAGACCACTTTGGTGCTTTCGGCATTGAACTCAGGCAGGTCTGGGTGGCCAGGGGCCCTGTCCAACATCAAAAGAATTTCAAAAGGCAGTCCCTTCGAGGCAACGTACTTCCAGACTTCAGGGACAAAGAATTGATGGGACCAGTCCAAAAAGAGGGAGCTCTCTGTCCAAGTCCTCCTTCTTGCACAACCATAAGACTGGCAGCTGGCAGTGACTGGCCCTTCGAGGCTCGGGGGCGAGCAGCTTCTGAGACGAGAGCGGTCCTGATCGTAACTCCGCCTGCACTGGCACAGAACAGCAGAGCTGTCCCATCCTTTCTCCCCTCACTCCCTGACGCTCTCTCCTCTTGCTGATGACCTTCCCACTCACAACCATCCTTTCTGGCATTTTTCCACCTTCAGACTGGGCACGCTTCCACCTGCAGGTTTGTAAAAGCCATTTCAGGAGTTACCCTTTGTCCTCCATGGTTTTCTCATGGTTTCCAAAGACTCATCTGCTGCCTCTTGGTCATCAGAAGCTGCTTCTGTCATTGTGCCATTTCTTTAAGCCAACGTCTTTCTCAGATGATCCAACTGTGCTTCCCAGTCACTCATCTTCCCGTTTCAGATCCTTCACCTCCCTTTGTTGTCAGTTGCCATCCAACGGCTTCACTTCCTGGATCACAGTAGACAGTCCATAGGTATTGCCTCTTCCGTAGAAGTCCCGCACCCACACAGAAGCTGCACCTTCGATCCAAGATGGAAAGGTGCTCTGCAAAAATGTCAGGTTTCCATGCCTGCCACACAGCTGCTGCAATCACTTCACCTATTTTCTGTTCTTTCCCGCAACCCTCACACTGGATCCAATTACTTTGAAATGCAGGACGACCGCTGCTGCACACTTCAATCCACAGGCCAGAGCCAGCAACTCGACATCTTCCCGTCATGTCACGACCTTCCTCTTGGGGGGGCACTTCCAGCACTGCCAGCAGCACTTCCTACAGGTCACGTGGTGTCATTCAGGGCTTACGGTATTCCACTTATGCCTAGGAAAGCAGTCGCTCTGCTTGCATAGAAGTCCCACACACAATGTTCTACATGGTGACTGCTTAGCGAATGATTTAACAAGCAAAAAGGGGGACACGTCCTCTCCAGAGGTGAACCCCTCCCAAGGCACCCCCCTCTCTCTCTATGGAGGACTTCCTGTGAGGCTCTCTATTGGCTAATTTCAGCAAAGAAACCTTGACAGCGAGAAGGGAGAGAACCTTGACTGGAGAGAAGTATTCGAAGCCGTGAAAAGCTGGGACCCATCTCACGCGAGATGACTCTGTCCGGCAAAGCTACCCTTCAGAATGCAAGGGCACATGGAGTGCTTCCCAGATAACGTCAGGTGAAAGCAGGCCATTGTCACCGAGCCCTCACTGTATGAAATGTTCAAGAGACTGATCTGAGAAAGACAAGATGATCAACAATAGGAACAGTCCAATGACAACAAACTCCCCCGTCGACCACAGAACCTGTGGGGCTCTTCCTCTGAGCATGGTGGCTGGCAACCCTTCCCCACCCCCACCCCCACCTGGTCAAGCAGATAGTGACCAGGGGCTGGCGATGAACGATGAACCAAAGTTATAGGCGGCTTGTTTGCTGGTTGGTTGGTCAGTCTCTTGGAGCAGTGTGGACCCCCTCTTGTGTGGCCTCCGACTCAGGATGCAGGCAGGGGGGCAAGGGGGTGGAGTCTGCATCCCTAACAAGTCCCAGGGACTGGCAGGGCTTGCTCTGCAAGCTACACGGGCAGCAGCCAGGCCCAGGGCCCCTGCTGCACCCTGCAGACCACAGAACACAGCGTCCTAGGACGGTAGAAGCCTGCCAGTGAATTTTCCAAGTAGGAGGGAGACAGTACTCAGAGAAGCCAGCCCCGAAGAAAGCCATCGAACGGGCCAGCCTGCGGAGCCTCTCGGTGCGGGCAGAGCCCAGGACCTCCTACCTCCACAGCCCCTCTCGTCGGACCAGTCCCCGCAGTCGTTCTCCCCATCGCATTTCCACCGGCTTGGGACACAGTGGCCATTCTCACACTGGAACTGGAAGTAACGGGAGCAGTTTGGGGCTTCCGTGGGGTTTTCTGGGGGGGTCAAACGCACCGTCAGTCCCCTGCCCTGCACCAGGGTGAACATGAAGCCCTCGCAGGCATGCAGCCCCCCGCACCCCCGTCCCAGGGAAGCCGGCAGGTCCAGTGAGTGACCAAGAATTCGTCCTGACACTCAGGCAAAGCTCATTTTCCCAGACCCAGACCAGATACCTGAGCTTTGAACACCCGACCAAAGGAACAACCTAACTACCAATGACAACCCAATGATGACAATGATGCCATTACACTGTGGCATCTAAAACTTCTGGGAGAGGATGGGGATGCTGACTTAGGAATAATTACCATTAAATCCTTACCCACCATGGTCCTTATACAGAATGTGACCTTCCCAACTGGGGAAGAAAAACTGGCAGGGTAGGCTGCCGGGTGGGGGCAGAGGGAGGCGCGGGTGGAGCCGCTGTGCCGGGGCAGGGGCACGAGGGCCAGGGCAGCCGCACACTCACCGCAGCGGGCCTCGTCGGAGCCGTCGCCGCAGTCGTCCGTCCCGTCACACTTCCAGACCAGGCTGACACACACCCCGTTCTGGCACTGGAAACTGAACTCGTCGCAGACCTTGTGAAACTCGGGGTCTTGAGCTGGACAAGAGACGGGCACCTGTGAGTCCCGGCTGCTGCCGCTCGGAAGAGCCCCACGCAGTGGGGCTGCTCGATCCCAGAGGGAGGAGGCAAGTCCTCCACCCGGGGCGGCCTGGCGGGGCAGCGGCTGTGAACGCAGCCCGACAGAAAATCATAGGTTTACTTAAAACATTGTAAAACTGTTATGTGTTACATATCGCCATGTATTTAACATGTGGCCCAAGGCAAGTCTTCTTTCAGTGGGGCCTAGAGACACCGGAAGGCCGGACGCCCCAGGTCTGGTGGGAGGATCCCTTAGAAGAAAAGTCAACCCACTGCAGGCCTAACCCCCAGGGTCTCAGAATGTGGCTGCATCTGGAGAGAAGGTCTTTGAAAGGTGACGAGGTCACAGTGAGGTCATCCCAGTGCAGCCTGAGCCCAGTGCCTACTGTCCTTGAGAGATGGGAGCACTAGGACATAGATAGGCCCAGGACACAGGGAGAAGGCGGTCACTGGCAAGTCAAGGACACAGGCCCCAGGAGAGAGCAAACCTGCCAATGCCTTGACCTTGGAACCCCAGCCCCAAGCTGTGAGGAAAGGTGTTTCTGCCGGTCCAGTCGCCCCATCTGTGGGCCTTTGTGCTATGGCGGTCGGAACAGACAGGTCCAAGCCCAGGCTGCTCCATGCGGGGCCATCTCGGGACCAGGGCCACCGCAGAGAGCAGGGCACACACTCCAGAAGGGGCAATGGGAAGGAAGATGAGTGAACACCCGGGCTGCCAGGTATGGGTGACGACCACCAGAGTGAGGCAGCAGCCCACCCAGAGTGGTGGGGACAAGGAGGCCTGTCAGACCAGGGGACGCCTTCCCCATCTCTTCTGCGGACATGACGAACGAGCATAACCTCTGAAGCAAGAGGCATAAACCTGCCCCAGCAAATGCACAATTGGACATGCGCCTCAGACCTGTGAACCAGAGGCGCCGCCGCCCCACCCACCCCACTCACAGCATCCTGCAAACGCCGTGTCCTCATCGGAGCCATCCCGGCACTGCACGATGCCGTCGCACACCATGGACTGGAACAGGCACTGCTGGCGGTTCTTACACACGAAGTCCATGAACCGTGTGCACAGGGGCTCTGAAAGGGGACCAGGGGGGCGGCCCTGAGCACTCAGGGGGGCACATCCCAGTGCAAGGGCCCCCTGGGAGCAGGGGCAGCCACCCGTTCCTGAGCACTTGCTTCGTGCCAAGCCCTGACTGGAAGCACCCGACAGAAAAGCCCATCTCTGAACTCTCAGGACAACTCAAGGAGAGATGTCACTGTCCTGCTCTCAGAGGAGGAAGGAAACGAGATGGCAGCACATGGGGCTTGGCCACGAGCACGCAGGGACGAGGGTGAAGCAGAGACCGGAGCCCACAGCTGTCTGCCACGAGAACCCACGCTCCGAACCACTGCTCATGTGACAAGCTGTCTGACACAGGCCGGGGGGGGTAGCCTTCACAAAGGAGCAGTGTCACAGATGCCATTGTATTGCCGCCTCCTGCAGCTTGGATGCCAAAGCCCCAGTCCCCGGTGTAACTGTTCCCACACAGGGCGTTGCAGAGGCAGTCAATGGAGGGTGAAGAAAATGCATGCAGTCGAAGGAGGTGAGTGTGTGTGAAAAGGGACCCGACAGGCCCCATGCTCCTGTACGACCAGATGCCGAGATGCACGCACAGAGACATAGCCAGGGGAGGGCACGGCTGCAGCACCCAGAGGTGCAGACCCAGGTCCTCTGGGTCTCCCACCAGCCAGCCCACCACCCGCTTCGGGTCTGCCAGCCTCCACTGGGGCGTGAGACATCTGCTGGGAACGCATGCGCATCCCACAGGCTCTGTTCCTCCAAGACACAGCCCAGCTCGGTCCAAAGTGCACTGCGAGTAGGTGCCGGGGAGACGAGCCGGCCCAGCCGCAAGGGGCACCGTTGCCACGGGGAGCCCCCGGGGCAGAGCAGGTGGCACTCACCGCACCGCTGCTCGTCAGAGCTGTCTGCACAGTCCCGCAGGCCGTCGCAGTGCTTGCTGGAGGGGATGCAGGTGCCGTTGGGGCAGCGGAACCCATTGCACTTCCTCTCTGAAAGGGAATGCGACCGTGGGCGAGCGGAGGAGGAAACAAGCAGGTGCCCCGTGCGGTCGGTCAGTCGGTGCGTGTTGGGGGCCGCACCTGGGAGGAGGGCCGTGCGCAGCGGCCAGCACGTGCCAAGTGCAGGGCGTGAGACCTAGCAGTGCGGCCCCCAGAGACGCAATCTGCCCGCACAGCGGAGAAAGGACGTGTGTGCAGTTTCGTCGCCACGACGCTGAGAGAGACTGACACCACCTGCGTGTCCACTAGTGGGGGCCCTGGTGTGAACCGTCACCCACGGGTGCCACACTGTGACAGACTGAAGAGACACTCTGTAAAAACGTGTCCTGGGGGCACAGCTCTGCGGAAACAAGGCACGAAAGAGCAGACACAGCACACTGCTCGTGGGAAGCTGAGCAAGAGCAGCAGCACACCTGACCTGCGGGTGAGCTCTGAACAGCCTGACAGGACAAGGTGTGGCAGCAGCTTCCTGCACAGGCCGAGTGGGGACTGGGCAGACGGGCAGGCAGCGTCTACTGTGTGACTGTTAATATTTTTTTCCATTTTGAACCATGTGAACATGTTATGTTGCCCCCTAAAAAACCTTAAGTGTGTGTGTGTATGTGTATATATATATATATATATATATATATATATATATACTTTTAAAAGTAAAGGCAAAGCTTCAATGAATGGGAAAAAACCACAAATCCTGATTATGAATACTGGCTTTTATAGCTCTCTTAAATAACTCACCATCTTGATGCTTTAGGAATTCTAAGCCAAAGCTGTTTTGGAGAAAGTCTGTCCCAGAAATGTTAAGAACAGGTTTCTCACTTGGCAAAGAATTCGTGCCTCTGGGTCGCCCTTTCTCCTCGGCAGAGAGTCACCGCCCGACCCGAGGCCAGCGTGGCTGCTGCAGACACAGCCCCCGTGGACCAACCAGGAGGCCAGGTAAGGTGAGGAAATGGGTTTTAATCCTATAAAAAATGATCATTCCTAATAATGTATTTGAAAGACATCAAACAGAAACAGCAAACGAGCAGCACAGTTGGAAGAAAATGTCACTCGGGGTAAAAAGAGTTCTCGGCTTTGGGATCAAGCACAGGGCCGCCTGTCGTCTGGACTCTGCACCTCTCCAGAGAGGACCTGGGCACCGAGTGAAGAGGATGCGGGCACCCAAACCAGCATGGCCCTGGGGTCCAGACCCCACCTTAGCTCACCCAAGGTCCTCAGCTCTGCACTTGTTTCTTGCCCGCCCCCCAGCCCCCATTTCCAGCGGGGAAGTCGAACCTCCAGACCTCCAGCTCCCTACGGAGCCACTGTGACCGGCTGCAAACCTCGCACGGAAAACAGCAGCAGTCGGCCAGGCCCGCGGGCCGGGCTGCAGCAGTCGGCCCGGAGTGCTTAGCAAACAACAGGCAGAGGTGGCAAGGGTTAAGAAAGAAAGTCTTTAAAAGTCTAAAGTTAAAAATCACATGAGACAACGCCTACTCATTAAACTTGTGAAAGCAATTAAAAAGATAAGATGTAATACCAAGGACGACTTGGGGAAACACACAGTGCACTACCAATGGAGATGTTGTTCACTATAATCACTTGGAAATAAAACTCAGAAACACTTAATGAGAATCAGAACCTACGACCCTGCAGTTGCATCTTAAAGACCGTGCCGCGGGAAGGCGCAGGCCCTCTGTGCCTATGGGTCCCCCTCCAGCCGACACGGCCAACCTCCGATAGCAAACCACAAGAGCAGGAGGGTGGGGCCCACCAGGGCCCTGGGGTGTCACAGGCTGTAGCTCCCACACAGTTTCTTGGCACCAACCCCAGCAGCACCAAGGGACGCCTATATCTCAGAGGAAAAATGAGCTTTGGTTTCCAAGGACACAGAGAGTTTTGCTGTGCACTAACAGTGTCAACAAAAGCCACCAGCAAGCCCACCCAGGGCGTGATGAGGCATGATGAAGTGAACTGAGTTACAGTCTCATAAAGTGAATATGCATCTGCCAGAAAACTGCTAATAGCAGACAAACACAGAGAGAGGAACCACCTTCACTAACACTGTGACAGGGAAGGACCGTGGTGTGTGACAAAACGGAGACAGTGACTGAGGTTCCACAGAAACCTGTGTGCCCTGTGGGGCAAAACAGGAAACACATACACTGGTCTCAGCCTCTGGTGACCAGCGCAGGCGCTTCAAGCCCTGGCAACTCCCAGGAAGGAGAGAGGGATGGAGACTGAGTGAATAATCAGTCACACCTACGTGATGAAGACTAAACACCCCAGCAGCACAGGCTTCAGAGAGCCTCCAGGTTGCAGATCAGGGGGAGGTGCCGGAGGGTGGTGCCCAGACAGGGCTCGGCAGCTCCTCACACTTTCCCCAGCACCTCTTCCGCCTGGGTGTTCATCTCTGTCCTTTATCACAGCCTCTTACAATAAACAGGAAAACCTAAGTGTTCCTCTGAGGTCTGTGAGCCGTTTTAGCAAATGACCCGACCCTGGGAGGGCGTGTGGGAGCCCAGACTCACAGCTGGGCCATCTGAGATGCCGGTGCACTCAGACTGGGGCTGGTGCCTGAGGCAGGGATGGGAGAACCTCCCAGGACTCAGGTCTGACCTGTAAGAGCTGGTGTTGTCTCCAGGAAAACAGTGGCACAGTTACACTAGGAGTGGCCTGCTGGTGTTACACAACTGCCTGGTGTGGAAAACACACACTTGATGGCCTGGAAGTGTCAGGAGTGTCCTACGTGCATTGAGAGCAGAGGAAAAACAGGAGGTGTTGCTACAGACACAGAGCAAGGGCGTAAGGACAGAAACCTGGTAAATATTTGTGTAAAAAAGCATTCCGCGTACTGTGTTTTTGTGTCAGCTATTTTGTGGTTAACTTCTATTGTGAAGGTGATTGACTACCTTGGAATTTGTTTTTAAACCAATTATACTGAAAAGGTTCTGGGTTGGTAAGCCGTTTTCCGTAAGCACCATGACCAGAAACCCTTGGTCGCAAAGCCTGCTGGTGTGTACGGGAGCTGCTGGCAGAACACTGGCAAGGGCTGCATTTGGCACCCTGGGTGCGCTAGCTGGTCTGCATTTGTTTCCTGCACAGCTGTCACAGGAAAGCAGAGCAGCCGACTGCCTGCCTGGGAATGGAGCCTGCAGTTGTCCTGTGGAACGCCACAGAGCTGTGCAGGGCCGGGGGAACGGAGAACGGGGCTAGGGGGGTGCACAGGAAGGCGGACACGATTGTCTTCCAGCCACCTCCTCCCCCCAGCAGCATGCACAAACAGGGGGGCAGCTCCAGCTGGGGCCGAATTCGGCACCTGCACTTACCGCAGCTGGTGGGATCCTCGTCGGAGCCGTCCTGGCAGTCCACGTCGCCGTCGCAGGCCCACCGCTGGGGGATGCAGTGCCCATTGTGGCACTGAAAGTTGGAGGCCTCACAGGTGTGGTAGATGGCTGCCCACAGAAGAGCAGAGAAGCTGTCAGTGCTGCCCCTCCTCGCTGACCCCCAACCATCAAGGAGCTGCCCCAACAGCTGGGCTGTGCTAGGGGACACAGTGGGCACTGCAGTTTATGCATTTCTCCTCGCCAGAACACAGGCACCTGGAGCCGGCCCTCCAGGCGGGGTGAGGCTGGGGGTCAAGGGGTTCACAAAGGGCGCACAAGCAGAGACATACAGGTTACAAAGTCGTTTACTTTCCACAACAAAAGTAACAATATTCCCCTTCTGCAGCTGAAAAATAGGCTTGGAGAGACCAGGCAGCTTGCCCATATTTACAAAGGTAATTATATAACAGCACCAGGGCCATCCAAGTCCAAAGCAGGCTCTGCTTCTGCTCCATGCTACCGTGCTACCAAGCCTCCTCACAGACATCACCTCCTGCCCCAGACTCTGCAGCCATGGGGAGGTGACAGCAGGTGTTCAGGAGACAGGGATGCAGACCTGGTCCAGACACTGTCTGCAGGGCTCGGCCTCATCGACATACCAATGTCTAAGGGCCCCTGCAAGCTCTAAAAGGCTGTGATTTTACGATTCTAATTAAACTACCCAATTTCAAATGTGGAAAACCTCACATCCAAAGCGCATTAAAGATCTGTCCAAAATCACAAAGCAAGCCTGGGAAGCTAGAACAGCCTGACCTTCTGGACAGCAAACAGCGCCATCTACCAGCAACAGCGCCACATGACGCCCAAACCACAGCAGGCAGTGAAGCACAGAGCTGCTGCCATACGCGAACAGCCTTACCACAAACCCGGGCTGAGGCTGCCTGGAAATCACTCAGAATTTTCTTGAGGCCTTGGTCAAAGACTTGGTCAGATGCATACTAGCTGCTTCAAAGCCGACCAACACTACTAAGCACCTTCTCTGTCAGGTTCCCCTCCCTCCGCTGAAACAGCTGTTTGTGCCCACAACCGAATGAAAGTCAGGACTGCCTTGTTCCGGGGCACAGAGTGACAACCGAGAAAGGGGCTCGCTGTTGGTTTCACGGCCTGGACAGGACAGCTGGCTGCTCAGCAGGAGGCAGCAAAACAAGCCAGGGCTGGGGCGCAAACTGCAGTCACGCTTTCGGTCAAAATGGCTCACCACAAGCAGCCCAAGGGTTGGGAAAACTTGTTTCCACAACACTCTACAATTCCAACTGAATTTGAGGCCATTTTTGCAGCAGGAGGAATACAAAGAACCGGAGTCTTCAAGCCCCCGCACAACAAGCGGCAGCCGGCCAGCCATGGTCTGTGCAGCTCTCTGAAGCCCGCAGCCATGCCGACAGCACACAGACCCATCTACATAAGGCCGCAGTGCTCCACAGACTTCAGCACTCGGAACCCGCGAAAGCTCTTTGGAAAACACTTGTCTTTGCCCTGGCTGGTGTGGCCCAGTGCACTGAGGGCCAGCCTGCAAAGGAAAGGGTGGAGGTTTGATTCCCAGTCAGGACACAGGCCTGGGTTGTGGGCCAGGTCCCCAGCAGGGGGCGCATGAGAGGCAACCACATACTGATGTTTCTCTCCCTTTCTTTCTCCCTCCCTTCTGCTCTCTAAAAATAAATAAAATTTTTTTAAAAGCTGTGAGATTTAATATATATAAAGTAAAATATTACTCAGTAACAAGAAAATGTGGCAGCACAGATAAAACTAGATGGAGGGTATTATGCTAAGTAAAGTCAGTCAGAGAAAGAGAAACACCATATGATTTCACTTATATTTGGAATCTAAAAGCAAAATTAAAAAAATAAAGCGAGACTCATGGGTCCAGAGGTCAGAGTGACAGCCCCAGAGGGGCAGGGGTGGGGTCTGGGTGAGAGGCACAAAGATTAAGCAGCACAAATCGGTGGTCAGAAAACAGTCACGGGATGGGCAGGCAGCACAGGCCGAGGTGGGCGCGGCAGTGCTGAGAGCCCTCGGCAGCACACCGAGGTCTCACCTGCACCCGAGTGCGGAGCACAGCAACACTGTAACTGAGAGGACAGTGCACTGTGAAACAGAGCCAAGTGGCCTGGCAGGAAAGCTGACCTGCCCTCACCACGAGGCAGCTAACCAGCCCTGCACATCCTTCCCTGCAGGGGGTTAAGCAGAACTGAGTGGCCATTTCCAGAGCAGGGTGCAGAGAATATTCACTCATTAGACAGTGAAATTTGCTTCAGTTCTCCACAAGTTCCCCAGCCCTGGGCTCTGCCCCACTCCCCCATAACAGATGTGAGACTCCGTCAGTTAGTCATAAAACACTGTGTGACCTGCATGGAGTGCCTGTCACCCCACAGGACAGCCAGAGCCTCACTGCACGGGTCCATGGCCAAGCCTTCCCGACAGTCCCGTGCTGTTTCATTTGTAATGGAATGCTACCCCACAGACACACAAGCACAGCACAGTCTTCCCTGTCTGGGGAACCCCTGACCCTCCGCTCCAAAACCCGAGGTCGTTGAGGGCCACTCAACACGTGGCCTGCAGACGAGGGGCCCATCTGTGGGCCGTTTCTTGTTGGTCCAGAAGCAACAAGCAGCTGAGCTATGACGTAAATCAGCTGGGTGCCCTTCGCTCAGGACACTGTCCGGTTCAGTGAACATTTCTCCATAGCCAGACTTCTCTGGGACAGAGCAGGACGCAGGTCTGCCCCTGGTCACCTGCTCACTGCACAGCGGCTCTCTGAGCAGCACAGCTCTGGCCAAGCACTAAGGCCCACTTCTCGGGGCCTGGACTCTGTGACCAGGAAGGGCCGCAGTGCCCACCAGCCCACAGACAGGTGCAAGCTCGGCAGAGAGCCCGGGAACACTGACCCGTGCAGTTGGCTTCATCGGACCAATCTCTGCAGTCGTTGTCCCCGTCGCACACCCAGGAGGAACGGACGCACAGCCCAGAGCTACAGCTGTACTCGTCACTGCGGCACTGGTGCGCTTCTGCGGGGACAGAACAGGCAGAGGCGTGAGGACGGCGTTCTCTGCCCAGACCTTTCCCTCTGGCACCCGAGCTCCTGGTGGTTACAGATGCTCTGTGATCCCTTCAGGCCGACTGCTCGATGCGGGAGTGGAAAGAGACCTGAACCGCCACTGGGGGTGGCTTCCAGCCACGCTCACTACTGGCTGCCGCTAGGGAAGGGAAGCCTTGCCCATGGATCTCAGCATACTTTCCAAATACCGTCATTTTCTACCCTGACTATCATGACGGAAAAGGAGGTTGGGAAGTGAGCTCTAGCTGTCCAGAGTATTCACAAGGAACAGCAGGCTCCTTGAGACAGAGCCTGTGGTTTCAGAGAAGGAGCCACCTTCTCTGGGCCTTGGTCCATCAGACGCTTGGCTTGGGGCAGCAGGTCCCTTACCACAGTGACTTTCATCGCTGTTGTCTCCACAGTCATCTTCAAGGTCGCACTTGTAGGAGAGAGGGATACAGGTCCCCGACTCCTGGCAGCGGAACTGTGTATCCAGGTCACAGACGGTTGTGGCTGATGTGGAGAGAGAGAGGGCACACTCACTAGCTGCAGTTAACTCTCCCGAACATGAACTTCCCACCGGAAAACCAGTTCAGCATGAGAAGGAAGCAGAGTTTAACTGTAGCAGCAGAGACAAAACCCAGGCTTATGAAGAAGAAACGGCACGAGAACGTGACATGTGCGGCCCAGGGAGGTGAGACCCGCCTCCCCATGGGTGGCTTGTCGTCGGAACAGGGCTGGGAAAAGCGGAAGGCGGCGTCTGGCGTGGGGGAGAGAGTGACGGGCTGCACTACCTCCTAAGCTGCCCTCAGACGGGAGGTGCCTTCCTGAAGTGGCAGACACACCTTCACCTGGAGGACCACCTTTAGGAAGGCCAGCTTCCCACACGAAGCTGCCTGCCCCCTGCCCCCGCCCCCCGATGACAGAGGTCAAAGGTGGTGTACAGGCAGGTTTCCTGCAGCAGAACTTGGCCTCGGCAGCCCATCAAGGCCGCGTTTCAAAGCCCGCTCTGCCTCTTCCTCCAGCAATGCACTTTGACCTCCCAGAGCCTCCACATGAAAAAGCGGAAAAGGTGGCCTGGCCAAGCGCACCCAGTGATAGCAGAAAGTCTTGACACACATCTCAATTCCAGCGCCTGCAGCTTGCGAACAACTCCGTGCCTCTGCTCCCTCTTCTGTTACATGAAGATGACGCCTACCCCATGGAATTACCATGAAGGTAAATGAGAAAGTAAGTCTGGGACCAGAGTCCATTAAATGGGATGGAAATGCAATGAGCCCAGACAGACTGAGCACAGAGTGGGAATGTCTCCCTCTTCTGCAGAGGCCACCTGGGCCTGAGCCCTGCCCCCTGGAACCAGAACCAGGCGAAGGAACCTGCGAGAAGGGCTCTGGGGAGGAAGGCCGCTCTCCAGAGCGGCAGGTGCAGCAGACACATGGAGACAGCCAGACCCTGGGCTGGGTCGGGGTGCAGGGGGGCGGGGGAGAGCCAGAGCAGCACCGCGGTCATACGTCCTCGGCACACGTCCTCGACAGCACACACTTGTGTTCCATTTCTTCTCTGTCACTGAGCTCATGGTGGGAGGTGGGAGATAAGTGCAAAGTGGCCAGCCTGCAGGGGATTCACATCAAAACCCCAAGCACCTCACGGCAACCCAACACAGGCGGCTGCTGAAGAGGGAGATGTGCTCACGACACAACCCTCACCTCCCTCTGCTGCAGGCCTCGTCTTCACTGGCAGGCAGGGGACAAGGTGCCTCATTTAACCTTCCAGACAGCAGTGACCCCCGTGCCTTCCCTGACCCATGCCCCACAGGACGGGGAAGCCCCATTCCACCTCCTCGGAGGGAGACACACGCACCGAGAAGTACCACAGTCTCAGTCCCCAGGCTCCAGGTTAACCTCTGTGGTCCCCCGACCCCCTCACCTCGGCCACATCTGTGGAGTCTGAACCTAAGCCACATGGAATTGCCAGAAAGCAAGTCTCAGGGTCCCGGAAAGGCCAATCCAAGCACACACTGACACCCGAGCAAGAGGGGGTGAGAGCCAGCTGCACGCTACACCCAGAGGGGCTCCAACCACGTGGGAACTGGGGGCCCAGTGCCGAGGTCACAGCTGGGTGGGGAGGGCAGCAGCCCCAGAAGATGCAGAAAGGTCTTTCTCTCAAAACAGACCCAACAAGACCCAAGCTTGTCATCTAGCAAAAACCACAGCCCAGAATCCCCAGCCATGGGACATGAGGTCAGCAAATTTATAGCCCTCTGCCTTCACCAAGCCTAATGACATCTGGGCAATTTTCTTGCAATATGTAAATCCTAAGAAATATCTCCTCTCCCACTCTGATAGGCAATAAACTCCTTTCAGAATCTGCCCCAAGGCAGTTAACCTTTATGAATGTTATTAAGGAGCTTTGGCTATTCTCCCACAAATATCAGACCTTCTGATAGGTAGAGAGAGTTTTGTTAGTGCCGATTTTTCAGAAATAAAACACACATACAAAGGCTAGCTCCCCAAATCTGCTATTCGGGAAGCTCTTGCCCTTTGGTATGAAAGGTATCCACTGAAGCCAATGGAAAACTCTTAAGAAAGGTCTGTTTGAAGGTCCAATAGGACAGAAGAGGCAGGACACAACAGGCAGAGTGGCTGTCTGCGTGCACAGGCATGGGGACCTGCACGGGCTCACAGGTGGCAGGCCACACAGCGTCCCCAGAGGCCCCCTTTCCTCTGTGCTTAGAACATAACAAATGAGCCTCTTGATGTCCAAAGGTGCAACACTGAAAAGAGAAGCCTTTGCCCTGGTTTCTGGCCTCCCATTTCTGGCAGCTCTGGTCTTTCTCCCCTGCAATTCATTCCACCTCCAGCTGATCCTTCCAAGGCAACACTTCAGCATGTCACATCAAATTCAAGGGTTCCTAATGGCGCTGCTGATTAAGTCCAGAGGGCCTTGTGGCTCCAGGCCCTGGGCCCTGACCCAGCTCCCCCCGCCCCAGTGATCCCACCAGGTTCTCAACGGCCCACACAGTCCAACTGCTGGGCTTTCGCACTGCTGCTCTTTGCCAAGAATCTTGTCCTTCCCCCTCTGCTTCGCTCACCTCCACAGCCACCTGACCCGAGTCTGACTCGGGTGACCTGGGATTCCCTGTCACAGCACTCACCATTCTCCTGTAAATGGCTACGCACTTTGATGGCTCCCCCTTCAGACTTTAAACTCTGGGTCCACTGTACTCACCAGTATATCCCAAAGCCCAGCACAGAGCCTGGAACGAAGGGGGTCCCACACGCCCTTGTTCAACGTGCTACCAACTAAAAGGTCCCAGGCCATCGGAGCTACTGAAAACCACCTCAAGAGCCACATGCGCCTCCAAACCCTGTGGACAGAGTCATGTGCTGCAGCAGGTGGGCCTGAGAAACGTACAGGCCCCAGTTGCCACTCGTGCCAGACATGTGGATGTCCCCACGCTCTGGACCCAACCAGGCTCCACCCGAGGCACAACAGCCTCTGTGGAGCCTGGCACACCTTGGTGGGGGGCGCACAGCTCCATCCCTGCTCCCCTCTCTGGACTGATGGATCAAGGACTGGCCCCGGTCACCGCCCAGGCCACCAGCTTTCTGACAGTGACAGGGCCACAGTGAGAGCCAGGCCTACTGACGCCCATGTCAGCTCCCTCCCAGCCATGTGAGGCTCATGTGCAAATCTCCTACAAGGATGTAGTTAACCAATATACACACGGGTTTGTTTTCAAATAGTAATCTCCATCCAGCTGGGGGTGGGAATGTGTTTCCTCTGTTCTCCAAACACACCTATCGGCTCACCCAGGCACTGCCAAGCACGAGGGCCCAGCCAGCACCCAGACCAGTGATTTTCAAATGACATGCAGCAAAAATTTCCAGACCTTGCAGTCCCGACCACTGAGTCAGGCACACAGACCTCTTTTCCCTTAAGACTGTCAAATAAAAGAGTGACAACAGCCCCCACAACAACGGCCGTTCAGTATGAATGAATCAAAACTATACCTATTTTTGTCAGAGTGGCTAAAAACATCATTTTTGCTGTGCCACAGAATTTTAGTGATTAGTCTGTGTGTGCTGGGAGGTGAAAAAGGCCGAAAATCACAGCCATGGACTGCCGCCCCCTCCCAGGAGCTGGCCGGCCTCCTGAGCAGCAGGGAACGCTGTTTACTCGCAAACAGGGAGCGAAGGGCACTCACGGCAGCTCCTCTCATCGCTCATGTCCCCGCAGTCGTTGTCCGAATCGCACTGCCAGATGCTGCTGATGCAGTTGCCGTTGCTGCAGCGGTACTGGCTGCGGAGGCAGGTGCTCTCTGGAGACCAGGGCAGGCGGGGGGGAAGCGAAACCAGTGTTACTCTCACTGACAGACCACAAGATTTTCTATCTTGAGCTTCCATTCCTCTTCCTCCATTAACCTGCCTGAGGTGATACAGAGGAAGAGGGCAGCCTCGGCCACACAGCAGGGGGATGGGGCTCCGACTGGCCCCTCCTTCCCTCTCCCAGTTAAAATCAAAGGCAAGCGAGGCTGCATTTAGAGGTGGTTGCAATGACGCCGGCTGGCCCAGTAGGTAGACACTCCACGTGCCAGCGTCAGCAAGCCCTCAGCACACAGGAAAGGGCGTCTGCGCCTGCACGGCACCCGCTCCAGTGGTTACCGTGTCTGTGGCTACCGGTGCGACAGGTAGTTATGTGTGCTCTTCCACACTCCATTTCTCAACCGATTGGCTATGGAGACTTTCTTTACACACCCAAAGGTTTGTTCCTGCCCTGTGACTTCTTAAAAACAGGCAGCTGCAGCCGCTCACACAGAAGAAACGCCCTGCTTGGTAAAGGTCAAGAACGCGTGAGGACAGGCCTCCTGTTTGGGAAACCAAAGGCCTTTCACGGGGAATCTAGAAAAGCTTCCTTTCCCCTTCTTTTGAAATTTAGTGTTAAGTCTGTTTCTTTCCAAATACTGTCAAAATGACGCACAGAGCCCGAAAGACAGTTTCCTGTGTCTAAAAGGGAAGGCGCTGCTCACATTTCTAAGGGAGACTCTCAGGTGGCGGCAGGTGCACCGCTGCCATGACCAGGGGGCTGTGTGAGCAGGCGGGTCACGGCCACCACACGGGCAGGGCCTGGACGGTGAGGAGGAGTGGGACTCGCCTCACTTGAAAGAGGCCAGAGGCTGGGACTGGGAGGCAGTGAGGGTATAAATCAGGAAAGAAAAGATTAAACGGCTTTTCAGAGGAAGTTTGTAACAGAAGAGTACGATGCAGCTGCTATAGGCGACTGGTCACAGCTTGGAAACACAGACGCAAAGCTCTTTCTAACACTGGCCTCAGAGAGCAGGGTGTTTCAGGCAGAGGGGAGGCGAGGCTGCGAGGAGGCACGGCCGGCCCTGCTCCCAGCCCAGTAGGTCCAAGTTACAGGAAGCGGCAGGGCTGTGGTGTGGGGCACAGGCGAGGAGAGGCGGTGGCAGAAGCAGACAAGGAAGGCAGCCTCTAAGCAAAGCCCGTATCACTCGACATTAAACCGAAAACACAAGCCATCGTTTTCACATAAACAGCTTAGGGCTGTTCTAAATGAAAGCCAAAAGCCGCAGGCCTAGAACTGGAACCAGGTGAGTGTGAGTGCCCAGCGATTTCCTTTTTCCCGTGGGCACTGTCCGTGAACTCAGAAAGATCAGGGAACAGAGGGCCCTGGGAGAGGAGAGGAAAACAGGAGAGGAAAAAGAAAAGGCAAAAAGAAAAGGGACGCACCTTCTTTGACGCAGGTGTTGTTCCTCAGCTCATAGCCCCGAGGGCACTCGCACCTCAGGTCGCCAGAGGGCAGGACAGTGCTGGACAGACCCTCGGGACACCGGCAGCTCCTGCGCTGGTCGGCCCTGGGCAGGCACAGCAGGCTGCACGGCTGGGGCACACAGGCGTTGCTTCCTGCGGAGAGAGCACAGGCGACAGCACTGCCTTAACACACCGAGGGCAGCTAAGGAAGGCCTGGGCCCCACGCACTGCCTCAGTGTACAGATGTCGCAACTTGAAGCTCGGAGAGAAAGGTGATGTGGCACGTGCTGGGGCACCTACTGTGCCCACCACCTCTGCTCAGAGCCCTCAGGAAGACTCCTGACCCATGAAACCTCAGCAAGATCAGCGTTCCCCAGAGCCATGCAGGGAATTTAGCACCGGGAGGCTGAAGGGCACCTCACCACCGGGGAGCTGAGGCTGGGAGAGGTCGCACTGTGGGTGGTGCAGGACAAGCCAAACCCAGTGCCAGTCAAAGCTGCGCAGAAACGATCTCCGAGCACGCTGGGGAGAGTGAGGAGGCAGAGCAGGCTGGGCAGGGCAGGACCACAGCAGGGACCCAGGTGGCTGGAAGGTACACGGCTTTGCCATCCCAGCTCCAGTCCCCAGAGGCTCATCCAGTGTCCACCCCTGGGCTCCTTACTGTCTCCCTTCGTCCCTTCCATACCACATTTCACTTGAGTTAGCTTGAGTGGGCTTCTGCTCCTTACAACCCCAGACCCCTCATTTAGAGCATACGCCTGAGCAACAGCCAGGAATGACAGAAACCCAGGACCCCCCCCCCCTCGCTTCCTTTGTGCCCGAGTGCGACTGTTGAACCGGCCACAGGACTCATCAGGCGTGTGGCCACGCGGTGCACCCAGACAAAGACGAGCTGGTGTGCGCCTGCCGCACAACTTCCAACCTCTTCTCTGCTCCGCTTTCCACAGAGGACGCCCGACAGGGGCCGTGAAACCCCTTGCCGTGCTCTGGACAGAAAACCTTTGTCAGCGACTGATGGCAGACAAGGAATGCTCCTGCCTCCAACCTCTTTCTGCAAAGGAAGGAGGGCACATAAGCAACATGACAGCCACACAGATTGTGGAATGTCTCTTCTTCCTCTTGTGTGTGACTACTCATCATGAAAAAGAGAAAGATGAATGTGAAACTCCTGATAAAGCTCAGCTGACGGAGACCGGCCGCCCCATGCTGGCTCAGGGACAGAAAGGCCCACCAGAACCCCGTTCCTCCAGCCAAGGCTTCGCCGCCCGGCCGGCAGCAAAAAGACAGAACGCAGCAGAGACAGCCGGCACCGAAAAGCAGGACAGCACACTTAGCAGCGCTGCTGTGGGGGCGCCAGGTCAGCATCCAACTGGCATAACAAACGTGAACACCACATACGACAGCAAGTTCTCATGTCAAGGCCCACAGAGGACACCACTAAACAAACAGGACACACACACCCACTGAGGGAAGTCCACGTGGAGAAACATTTGGAAGGGTTTCCCTAATAACAATCCTAGAGCACAGGTGGCACACACGAGGCCCATGGGCTGAATCCGGCCCAGCACCTTGGTTCTACCCGGCAGCAGCGCCAAGCTCCTTGCCCCTAGTTAAGGAGCAGTTACATTTACACAGTCCTAAAATCACACTTGGCCCTTTGAAGGCAACCATGAAACTGATGTAGCCCCTGGTGAAAATGAGTTTGACATCCCTACCCTAGAGGTTGGAAGCGCCACAGGCAAGTCACCAGCTGCCTGTGGCCGAAGCGGCAGGCCCGGTGGAGGCTGCTCCGTCCCACAGGCGGCAGCTGCCCTTCAGCGTGGGGACAGGGGCCTTGGGCTACAGGAGGGCACATGCAGCTGCCATTGAGGGACAACAGTGTCACAGGGATCTGGGACACTTTCTCTGTATTCCAAGGACAACATATATTCAACAGGAATAGAACCTTTAGAAAATACTCACAGGATACTTTCACAAAGGTAGCATCTATAAAATAATGTTACTCGTATTTTCACACACAGAACGAATGCTCCTAACCAAACAAGCAAGAGCCAAAAGTACAGAACCTAGATGGGGTGCAGCCATTTAGGAGACTGGTGTAGAAAGAGATCCAGAAAACTAGTCAGAGGGGCAAGTGTCCAGGGCAAACCCCAAACCATGCTGACCAAGGCAGTCACACCAAGAGACAGCAGGGCAGGGGTGTGAAGGCCGGGTCCAGTCTACAGTGCAGCCACCAGAAGGCGTCCAAGGCAGCACGGGACAGCACCGCTGGAGAAGTCCACAAGGCGCCCCAGGAAATGGCCACCTGACCCTGACCCTGACCCAGCACACACCAGTCCGCGTGGGGGAGGTGGCAGTGGGAAGAGCATCGTTCCCACATGAAGAGTGTCCCTTGGAAGACCAAGCATGCAGCTCTGTGACGTCTTGTCACAAGCAGAGCACTTTCAGATACCCTCTTGGGAAGTCCCTCCAGAAGGTGGCAGAATGGAAGGCCTCCTCTCCCGGGTGCCTGTGGTCCGTGCCCCACCCACGGGCGGCTCAGGCACCAGAGGGGCTCTGCTGCAGGCGTGGGAGCCCCTGCTCCCCACAGAAGGGGACACACGCACGAGGCAGTGGCTGCTTTCAGAGATTCGCAGGCATCCCCACACTTGGGCTCAGAGAAAGGAGGGGACGGGGGGGGCTGAGAAATCCCCACTCTTCCCGGGACCCCTTTGAAGCCTCCCTGCCTGTGGCCAACACCACCTTTTGCCTCAACCCTCTCCTTTCTTTTTTCTTCGTTTTCTCTATTTCTATTGCTGATGCTATTACAGGTCCCTGTTTTCTCCCCTTCCCCCCACTCCTCCCAGCCCCTGCCCCCCTTGCCTCTGGCCGTCACCCCAGTGCTGCGTCCACAGGCCATGATTACACATCCTTTGGGTGACCTTGCCCCTCCTTTCATCCAGGGCCCCCTGCCATCTGCCGGCCATCAGCCTGTTCGCTGTGTCCAGGCCTCTGTTTCTATTTTGTTTTCCATGAGTTTATTCTGTTTGTCGGATTTCACATGAGTGAGATCACGTGATATTTTTCTTTCTCTGACTGGCTTATTTCACTTACATAATATTCTCCAGGTCCACCCATGCTATCGCAAAGGGTAACAGTCCCTTCTTTTTTTACAGCCATGTACTATTCCGTTGTGTAAACGTATCAGTTTTTTGATCCGCTCATTTACTGATGGGCACTTGGGCGGTTTCCAGGCCCTGGCTATTGTGAATGACGCTGTCATGTACATAGGGGTGCGTGTATTCTTTCAAGTTGGTGTTTAGGGGTTCTTATAATATGTGTTCCCAGAACTGGGATCACTGGGTCACAAGGCAGCTGCATTTTCAACTTTCTGAGGAAACACCACACTACATGCATACAAGGCCGGCTTTTCCCAGCCAGGACTCGGGGGCAGGTCAGCTAATGCCCAGTCACTCAGGCCCCTGCCTGCACCTGCCTCAGCTGCCAGCCGCCTGTGAGGCTGGTCTCATCACTGAAAGAGCCTCCGGTGGGATTGGAAGGATGGGGCTCCCGGACCTCCCAGGAGGCGGGGAGGTGCATTCAGAATTTAGGGAAGCCGGAGGTGTGCTTCCCGCCCCAGAGCCACCCATCTGAGTCTTCCCTGGATTTTTTCTAGACCTCAGCAGGGTGGGCAGAGCCCCACTGAGTCAAGCAGGTGGGTCTGCCAGAAGCTGAGAGAGGGTTTTTATCTGACTTCCTGTGAGGGAGGGACTCCAGTCAGGGTCCTGAGGAAGTGGGGGAAATGGCCCTGCTCCAACCCTGTCACTGAGCCGCCCTGGGTCCGCCCTGACCTCTATGCCCCAGCCTGCTCTGCTGACTCCTGGGCAGGGCCAGAGAGCCACAGGGTGAGGAAAGGGGACACCGGAGGGGGGTGGTGGGCAATGGCTTTTCCTCAGGCTGATGCCACTAGGAGGGGTTGCTCCGCCCAAGAAGGATGGCGGCTCTGGGATCGGAGGATGACTCCGTACAGGAGGATGACTGTACGGAGGCTGTTCATCGGACGACGAACATGACTTCATCAGAGCATGACCCGGAGGCTGTTCCCCCGGGGCCGCTTCCCAAAGCCACAAACACCACATTCTCATCAGGCAACCCCACTGGAGATATTTGAAAGCGCGTGCTCACTGCAGGCTCCGAAGAGCACCAAGAGCATCATCAATTAAAGGTGTCAACAGCCTCACAAAGTAAGCTACTTAAAGAAAAAAGCACTCTTTATGAAGAATAAATTCTAGTAACACTACTCACGAATCAGGCAGGTATAATGACAAAAAAAGGACAAAAGCTGTTTCAAAGCAAATATCCCCAATCAACAAATGTTTCAAGAGAACTAAGTTCTGTCAGAGAGGAGAACCATTCAACACCGAGCACTTCCACCTCACGGGGCCCCCAGGGCACTGCTGTTACAGACGGCAGGGTGCAGAGCTGAGGGCTCCGCTGCAGTCGAGCTCTGCAGCCAGCAAGACTGTGGTTCAAAACGTAAGTCATAACACCATTAAAGTCCTAGAGGAGAACATTGGCAAGAAAATCTCAGATATTTCACGCAGCAACTTCTTTACTGATATGTCCCCTAGAGCAAGGAATGTAAAGGAAAGAATAAACAAATGGGATCTCATCAAAATAAAAAGCTTCTGCGTGGCTAAAGAAAACAGTATTAAATTAGCAAGACAACCAACTGTATGGGAAAACATATTTGCCAATGATACCTCAGACAAAGGTTTAATCTCTAAAATATACAAAGAACTTACACGACTCCACTCTAAGAAGACACCCAACCCAATTAGAAAATGGGAAAAGGACTTGAACAGACACTTCTCCAAGGAGGACATACAGAACATTCAGAGACACATGAAGAGATGCTCAATATCGTTAGCTATCAGAGAGATGCAAATTAAAACCACAATGAGATACCACTTTACACCAGTCAGGATGGCTATCATAAACAAAGCAACAAACAACAAATGTTGGAGGGGTTGTGGGGAAACGGGGTCCTTAGTTCACTGTTGGTGGGAGTGCAGACTGGTACAACCATTATGGAAAACAGTATGGATTTTTCTCAGAAAAATAAAAATCGACCTGCCTTTTGACCCAGCAATTCCACTGCTAGGATTATATCCTAAGAATCCTAAAACATCAATATCAAAGAACCTATGCACCACAATGTTCATAGCAGCACAATTTACAATAGCTAAGAGTTGGAAGCAACCTAGGTGCCCATCAGTAAATGAATGGATCCAAAAATTGTGGTACATATACACAATGGAATTCTATGCTGCAGAGAGAAAGAAGGAGCTACTACCCTTTGCAACAACATGGATGGAACTGGAAAGCATTATGCTGAGTGAAATAGGCCAGGTGCTGAAAGACAAATACCATATGATCTCACCTTTAACAGGAAGCTAAACAACAAAACAAACAAGTAAGCAGAAAAAAAAAAAACCCAAAAAACAAAGACACTGAAACAGAGAACAAGGGGATAGTGACCAGAGGGGAGAAGGAAGGGAAGTTAAGGGGAAAAAGGGGGAGGGATTTGGAGGAACAAATAGGAAGGACACAGGGACGAGAACTAAGGGGGGGGGAGGAAATGGGAGGGAGGTGGGGAGCAAGGGGCAGGGGAGGCTGGGATGGGAAAAATAGACAAAAAACTGTACTTGAAAAATAACTAAATAAAATTTTAAAAAAAATAAAAAAAATAAAAAACCGCTTACGAAATGTGCGACATAGAACAGTCACTACTCCTCTGGACGGGGTGACAACCCAGAGGAGCAGTGACAACTCACTCAGCTTGCCAGCAAGGAGGATCAGTGAGGGTGGGGGTCAGCCACCAAAGGCCCTGAGATTTCAGCCACTGGAGCTGAGGTGCAAGATTCCCTTCTCTCTCCCTATTTTAAAACAGGCACCTCCTCTGAGAATGTGACTTCTCCATTTAGCTGGAACAAAACTCAGCTCCGAAACTAGACGGGGGCCTCTGGGAAAACACACTCATAGCTAAGATCATATTTCCTCATCTGTAAACCATAGCTCCTAACACCAGCCCTGCCCATCCACAGGTCAGCTATGAAGACTCAACAGTAATATTGACTTACGGGTTCAAGAACACACTTTTCTAAGGGTGTTTTCATATCTTCACTCATCCCACAAGGCTAACAATGATATCTATAACCGTGTTATTTCCCTTTGTCCATTTTTCCTTAGCATACAGGGCCAGCCAAAACCCAGAAAACAACGCCTGCCTTCTAATTTGAAACAGGAAACCCAGGAGAGTCAGCAGACCCAGGACACTATTCAATCCTCCTGAGATGAAGAGGGCACTTCTTGAAAGGACTGTTCTTCTGGGAGTGCCCCGAGGTCTCTCCTGCAGCACAGACAGGGTGGTTAGGAGATGAACAAAGGCGAAGTGACTAAAAAGGCCTTCCACGGGACAGTCTCAGGCTCTAGGACCGAGAGTCAAAGCCTCACAGAGCTCCAGGAGCCTCCACCAACGGTCTTGAAGAAAGCTACTGTCCACACCCACTGCAATCCTTCCCTTCCCTTTTCATGCCTTCTTCTTTCAATACATGTGTATCAAGCATCTACTAAGTGCTAGACACTGGTAAAATCATTGAGAAAAAAAGACAATCTTCTTCTCCATGGGGTTCAAAGTTTTACAGTGAGGACAAAAAATTAAGTCACACACCTAGCATTACAAGGGAGGTACATGCTCATCAGAGCAACCAGGCTCAAGACAGCACTCCAGCCAGGAAGCGGCAGCTGCCTGCACACCCAGCAGGGCAAGGCTCCGAGTGAGGGTGCCCAACACGGACCACGCACATGCTGGGGCTCGCCAGCTGCAACAGAAGGCGCGTCGCCCATCGGGAAGGGGGCAAACGCAAGAGGAGGGAGTAATTACCTACCAATCACCCACACTCCAGGCAGGCAAAACATGCTGTCTTCTAGCCGTTTGTGTATCATTACAGAGAAATTACCATGTCATTAGGAAGAAGCTAACTAATGTGCATGTTGTCATGACAAAGACGCAGGCTGCCAGGGCCTGCCTGCGCGATTGCCCACTCCCAGCCCCTTTCTGGAGGTCAGCACGGTAGAGAACAAGAAAGAGACGCTGCCTTACCCGTTGTCTTCCCTTTGTAGAAGATCTTCATGTCCATCAGCCCCGTGAGCTGGCCGGCCAGGAGGGTCACATGTGACCCACTGTGTTTGGAAGCTCGGAATATGCTGAGCTGTGACCAGTCATCCCAGTAGATTTCATTCTAAAAATGAAGATCTTTCTCTTTAGTCCAGCTCTTCAGTCCTTTATTCTGAACCCCCAGGAAGAACCAGAGTTCCGCTATGCAGTGGGCCCCCAGAAGGCACTGTCTGAATGGTCAGCCCCAGCAAGACTCCACTTAAATGCAAGAGTCATTCATTTTATCCAAATCTCACCCAATATCTGCAGTGATGGAACTACCCCAAAGAAACTATCTGATAAGTGTTCACGCTGGACCATGAGCCCAACCACCCAGTTTGAAATCTGCTTCTCAGTGTTGGGAGGAGCATTTTGCTCTCTGGCATCCGAGTGGAAATGGCCAGCGACACCGAGGTACAGGACTCATCTGAAGCCACCAGGGAATGAAGGGAGCAAACCTCACAAGGGACACACACAAGGAGTCAAAACAAACCCACAGCGTGTAGGGGCAAATTGGGAACTTCACGCGAAATAACCTTTGACCTTTGAAACGTGAACAGGAGGTGCCCTGGATTCTCTCTTCTAGCTTCCTTCCTCATGGGCTGAAGGAAACTGCCTCAAATTCAGTAAGGAGCTACTCTCTAGAAGTCAAACAAGCTGATATGCAAAAGCCCAGAGAGAGCAGGACCCTCACCTCAGCACACTCTTCGCCCATGCCAAAAGAGTGCTGTGTGCTGGCTGCCGAGTCCTACCTTAAACACCGCGATGGCATAGGGGTGTGGGAGGTTGTCCAGGATAACCGAGCGCTGCTGGCCACTCAGAGTGACTCGTTCAATGCAGTCCAGGTAGGCATCTGTCCAGTAGATCCACTGGTCATCCACGGTGATACCGTTGGGCCATTTCACATCCTCTGACACAAGACAATGGACAGCAGAACCATCCATGTTGCTCCGATAAATGCCAGGCTTCAGGTCTCCCCAGTCGGTCCAGAACATCACCCTGGTGGAGACAAGAAAGCACCCCCTTCCCACCAGAACTAGGGGACAGGAGCAGAAGCCCCACAGAGACAGAAGCCCCTCCAGAAGCACCAGCTGTGATTTCAGTGCAGACGTTCTATTGGATAAGCAATCACTATAATACGCAATCACAGTACTTAGAGCCATTTAATTCCTCAACCCAAAAGCTCCTTCACTGGAATTTATCTGCAGATGTAGTCAAGTGAGGCAAAGATAACATACAAAGATGGTCATCACAGCAAAGATTGTTTGTACTAGCAAAAATATGTACTTTTAAATAAAATATATGTATATTTGTGTATATGTATATATGTTAACCTACAGAAAAAGTGATACATTATGGTACATATAAAAGACTATTATGAAGCCTAAAACGCACATGTGTTTCTATGAAACTATCTTCAAAACATATTAAGTTTTTTAATATGCTTAGACTAGTACATATCTTATCACTCTACTTGGCACACAGGTGTATGTGTCTGGGTGTTATAAAGATGTATGCTTGTATGTGGGTTAAAAAAAAATCTGCATGAGACACATGAAACTTTTAAGCCCTGGGAAATGTGAAGTGAAGAGTTAATAGTGAGAAAGGAGGAAACAAATATTGTTCATTGCATAAACTTATGTTTGCTTTTAATATCTTAAATCAAGTACATGCATTACATTCAGAAATTTGTGTTATTATTAAAAATAGATCTAATCCTCAAATATAAATGCTATAAGAAACAGCAGCCCTGGCTGGTATAGCTCAGTGGATTGAGAGCTGCCTGCAAACCAGAGAGTCACTAGTTCAATTCCCAGTCAGGGCACATGCCTAAGTTGCGGGCCAGGTCCCCAGCAGGGGGTGCACATGAGGCAACCACACATTGATGTTTCTCTCCTTCTCTCCCTCCCTTCCCCTCTCTCTAAAAATAAAGAAAGAAAAGAAGAGAAAGGGTAGAAAGGCTACCCCGGAATTTCCCTTTCAGCTATGTTTCCTAAGTTAATAAAGTAATAAAGCACTTCTGCAACCCAAAGTACACGTGGGTTGCTAGGAAACCTACACGTGCTGGAGGGCAGGGTGAGATGAGAGGAACTAGATGCTTGCACCACGCCAGGAAGTCCGGATACAGAACCTTCCCAACACCCAATCAGGCCTAACATGTCTACAAAGTAACTTTTAATACTGTGTTTTGTTGGAGAAAACCCCCGCGGATGTGAGCCATCTGGATGCCTCGAGAGTCCGATGCCAATGAAAAGTCACCTGACAGAGACCATGGTCTCAAGGCTCAGTCAACAGAAAATTTCAACCACAGTCCTGAGAAACAGAGCTTCTGTCCAGCAGTTTGCATTCCTCGAGGACCTGGCTGCTGCAGCTTTTGGCACTCACTGACTTCCACTGGGCGACACTTACCCATCCTGGGGCAGGAGGGCCAGAGCCCTGGGCCGATCGAGCACAGAGGAGTTGATGATCGTGAGTCGGAAGTCACCATCTGGATGGGCCACCTGACCAGAAAAGAGCCAAGACGGACCTGAACTCCTTCAAAGTCTCCTCTTGGCTCCTGCCTACAGACGTGCCCCCAACGGATCAGAACTCTGCCCCTTTTCCGGTCAGTAGGACTTGTTCGTTCCTCGGGCTGACATGCCCACCTGCACGTAGTCTGACAGAGGCTCAGCACCACCTGTGCCCCAGTTCCCGGGTGTGAGGGCTGCACACACAAAGCACCAGATGTGCTTCCTTCCTTGATCCTGCCGTGATCCTCCGCCACGCCCCAGTCCCCAACAGACCACCTGTCCACAGAACACATGCTCAGGGTCACAGCCTTGCAATCAGGCATCTCCAGTCCTGGCCCACGTCACCTTCCTCCATCTCAGTTCCTACAACTACAGTGAGACATGTCTTCTTGTGCTTCTCTCAGCCTGTCTGTTCCTGCCATACGCGCCCCGGGCCTGTCCTCTGCTCTCTAATCAAATCCTGCCTTTCCTCCCAAACTCCCGTCCAGGCCTTCCTCCTCTGCCCCACCTTGGTCGGTGAGCATCTGTAGTTTTGCACCATTCAGCACAAGCAGCACTGAGTTGGGCACTGGCCAGAGCACAGGCCCTACCTACATGGTGAGAGAGAGGAGAGACCCAGAGCGTGCTCAGTGTGAGCCCAGCACTGTGCACCTCCCTGCATTCGCTCCTTCCACCGGCCCTGGGACATGGGCATGACCCTGCTCTTAGTCAGGGGTCAGTTCAGGTGTCACACCTTCAAGATGCCTCCCTGCCTACCATTTCCAACTCAGTCCCACAGCACCCTCGCAGGGTCAGTCACCCTGCCCTGGCTGATGTTCTCTGCAGCACTTACCACCAACAGAACTGACCGGCTTATTTCTTCATCATTTTGCTTCTCCACTAGAGTCTATTGTCTATCAGAATCCATGTGCCTTGCCTACTGGGTATTGTCACGTCATACTGCTGTGCCTGGCACATGTCACACCCCCAAGAAGCACCTGTGACATGACATCATCTTACAGATGAACTAATGCCCAAGTCCCAGAGCTACTGGAATGAAGACTGAGCCCAGGCCTGTCTCTCCCATCTGGGGCTTGTCCTGACATGTCACCTGGCTTTCTGTGTCTACCTGCTTCTCCTGGGTGCCCCCACAGCCCCCATGCCAGCCCTGAAGAGAACTGGTGGCGAGTGCCGTGGCAGGGTCCCAGGCCACAGCAGGGCACTGACCTAGTGATCAGGGCCCCTTGCTTGCCTTCACGGTGCCCTGGGTACTAAGCTGCAGATGGGTGAGATGAGGAGAAGAGGGACAGCCACCTTGCTGGGCTTTCATGAGAATGAACCAAAGGGTTCCCGCAAACTGACCCCAGCCTGACGTGCTGCACAGAAGGACTCACCAGCCTCATCAGTTAAGCTGATGACAATCGTGACACCGTTACTGCTGCTCAGCCGACTGCAGCACTGTCAGAGCACCAATGTCACAGCTTCAGAATAGTGCTGTGGCAATGTCACTACCATCCTGGTTTCTGCTGCATGTCTTTTCTAGCCAGAACACAAACTTTCAGGTGTCCTCTCAAAATCTGCCTGATGGGGGTCACATGCTGTTCTTAGTAGGACCGCTGTGACACAGAGCAATGGTTCTGAGACTGGTGCCCTTTCCTCCTTCTCCAGAGTCCCCAGAGGCTCCGGAACTCTGTTCCCTGGACTCTCCGAGACATCGCAGGGTCCCATGAGACACTGGCTCCCACCTCGGTGCCAAGTTGGCTCAAGGCCTAGGTGCTCCCCCCCACATTGCACGGACACGTACCTCAATCTTTTTGAGGCCAGCATCCACCCAGTAAAGTAACTGGCTGAGGGACTCAAAGGCCAAGGCTTCGACCGTCTCCAGGCCAGAGTTGATGATCACCTCCTGCCCTGTGCTCCCATTCAAACAGAGGCGCTGCAGAGAGAGAAGGGGGAGCTCTGTGGGAAGCTCCAGCGACTTCCCGCCCACGGGGTCCCACAGATGGTGGCCCTTGACAGTCAGGTCGGGTCACCAAGAAGTCCTGTGTTTTATAGCAGTCAGCTTTCCTGACAGATAGAGCCAGTTTTTAATAGAAGCACTTCTAAAACGTGCCCTGACTTCCTGTTGGAAGCAGACAAGCTGAGCAGTGACCCCTGAGGCCAGTCTGCACTGAGCATTGAGCAGTGAGCATCGAGCAGTGAACTTGATGCATAGCAATGACAAACTCGGGCAACCAAGACATGTGCATCTGTTTGCCTTTCAAATGAAACCAGATTGGTATCATTGTTAAGGTCTTCTGTCTGCTTTTTACAGTCTTCCTCCTCCAGAGGCTCCCGGCCGTCAGGTGCTAAACCGAGCAGTTGCCTTGCCCCCGTGCCCACCCCTCAGACGCCCAAGCACTGTGGCATTTCTGTTGGGCTAGATGTCCAGGCAAAGCCTGCTGAAACTGCACTCCTTTGGAAGCTGTCCGGGAAAATGCATGGGTTTAAGTGCATGACGGCTCTCCATGGGGCCCGTGCATAAGTGCGGGGACTCTGCAGCTCACTTCCTGGTCCCCAACTGCGCTCGGGACAGCTGAAGTGGATAATGACATGAACTCCACACAAGTCGAGTGTGACTACATCAAGGCAGGGCAGAAGGGCGCCAGAGGCAGGTGGCCCAATAGGAAGGGACTACAGCGCCAGCATTCCCGGTCCTAAAAGCTTTCGGGCAGGCAAAGGAAAGCCTTGTTTACAAGCAGGACTATGGATTTGGGGCTCCCTTTGTCCCTCCCACAGGGACAGACGTGGGCAGGGAAAGACAGGATTAAAATAGAAAACCGAGACATTTCTTCCGTCAGCCTTCTGAGGAATCATGACTTAGAACTTGCAGCGCCCGCTTCCCTAAGCCATTCTGAAAGAAGTTTACCTAGTTCAGACAGGTGTGAGGCACAGCCCCAGGACCAGACCAAAGGCTGACTTACCTGGATGACATCCAAGGCCAGGTCAGACCAGTACAGGCAGTTGTGCTCGTAGTCAAAGTCAAGGGCCACCGCGGCCCGCAGCCCGGTGAGCGGCAGCTGCTCGGTGGCTCCAGAGGCCAAATCATAGCGGTGGATGGACTTCCGCGTGGCGTATAGGATAAACTCGTTCTCCTCTGCACAGACCCACAGAACAGTGGGGAGAGTGAGCCGAGGCGCGCGCGTGGCGGCATCTCAGTGTGCCGGACCCATTCTGTGCTCACACACAGACCGCAGAGCCACTCAGGGCATGTGGTGTGGGGCCAGTGCGAGAGCACACGGGCCAGCCCAGGAGGGGTGCAACAGAACCACATCCCCACCGGGGGAGTTCCTCACAGCCCCTGAGTCTTACACAGGTGTTCTCATCCACAAAGCCCATGACCTGTCACTCTTCTTTCTTTTCATCCAGATCCCACAGTAGGTATGCTCCAGCACCCACACACTGAGGCTCAGCCTAGATGTCACGGGTCACACCAGACAAGACAATGACACTGTCAGCATGCTGTCCTCATGAGAAGCCCATACCACGTCACCACAATCTGGGGGACTAGAGACCACTGGTCACTGAAGAGTGTAGCTAAATTTTCTAATCTGTTAAATATCATTTACAATGGCATGTAGCACTTATATCAACCTATCACGTTTTTAAAGCAGTAATAATGCATTTGTTCTTGACTACTGACAAAATGTTTTACAACATGATTATCATGAAGACTATTTCTACTAAACAGATACTTATATACACTGTACATACTATGTACCAGGCACTGTTTAATCCAAGTAACAACTGTATAATGAAAGAACTACTATTAACACAACTTCACCAATGAGAAAACTGAGAGCAGAGAGGTTAAGTGACTCACTCAGGCTCTATAAAGCCTAGATAACACACAGAAAACAAATCTACCTGCAACTCTTAGTAAAGATAAGGCAGCTTTGCCTCTGGTGTCACTTCACTCCAAAAGTACGTAAGCTACCACCACATGGTAACTAGTTTCTACTTCCCACGTATATCGCCATGAAGGGGCCATCAGGGTGGAACCCGCAGCTGACACAGGAGCCCAGGGCTCTTGTGAGTCTGCTGCCGCCACAGGGAGGACAAGCGCGGTGAGCCCTCGGCCCCATCTCTCCCTGACCTCATCCGGGCGCTCAGGCTCTTCCTTCTAACAAATGTCTGTACGGAGGAGCCAAGGCCAGAAACATGGCAGTGCCTGAGGGGGAGGTGGACAGAGGCACACAGCACTCCCTCGGGTAATGGCAATACTTCACTTAGGGAAGGAAAAGGATCCTTGGCCAATCCAGCCATACGTGAGCACGGCATGGAAATCCATGTTATTATAGTAATCATAACAGGAAAAAACGGCTTCCTTTTTAAAGTCTTTCCAGACGCCCAGGTGATCTCATCTTTGCACAGATGCTGAGGTCTCCATCGGTCCTACGGCCTGTCCCTGTGGTGGCACATCTCTGCCTCCAGTTCCACACACTACATGAGAAGAAAAACGTCGAGGAGGTAGCCTATACCACAAATAAGATTTTTCCACTTCACTCCCCTGAGTTACCAACTCTCACAAAAGAGAAAAATATCTTTCTTATCAGTTTAATTGGCTTTAATAGACTCTGTTGTCCCTTGCTGAGTTATCTCCAAAACACTTAACACAAACACAAGTGCTCCAGCTTCTGAGAGCTTCACCCACGCCCCCCGAGCCCAAGCCCCCTCGGCCAGTCGCAGCGCTTCCCAGGAAGCATCTGCTCGTCCCTGAGAGTCTGCTGAGGCGGGCTCTCTCTGAGTCTCCACGGTGGGGCATGCTGATTGATCTGGTAAAGCTGGAAGATTAAATTAAGGGACTAATGAGCTAAGCGTGGAAACCACAGGGCGAGCTAGCAGGCTGTGAGCAAGGACGACATACTGCTCCAGGTGCGGGAGGAGACAGCCCCCCGCAGAGGGACTTCCGTTCCCCTCACTCACCTGCATCCAGAGGGGTGAGCAGCGGGAAGGGCTCAGAGGGAACAAGGAAGCACTCACTACTGAAGGAAGACCAGCAACAGAGTAAAGAAAAGGTGCTAAGAGATTAACTCTTTGAGGGATCGTAACTCTGTGAGTACAGGACAAGTACTTCCTGTGCCCACACCGCTAAACCAACTGAAATACAGGCTCAGACATGCTTCCAGTGTGCGCACACACTCCAGAGAAGCTGCTCTTAATCAGCAAGCACAATGGTCCCCTAAGATGCTGGGCATAACATCGTCTGCCACAATGGCCATGTGCAGGTAAGAGCATGGGCTCTGCCACTTACCACATGTGCAGCCTTAAAAAAGCCATCCAACCCTCCTCTGAGCGTGCTTCCTCACATTTTAAAAACAGTGGAACTAACAGTATTTGCTTCAGGAATTAAAATGACATGTGGAAAAGAACATTAAGATGTGCAAAATCCCATTAAAATATTACTGATACTTATTCTTATAAAAATTAAGATAGACCCCTTAGCTACTTCCCCAAAAGCTGCAAGTCTCTTCATGCTCACTGCCAATAAACAGACCCAGGAGCACGGAGCAAGCCTTGGGGCACCGCTCACCCATCCCAGCCCAGGACGCGCCTCAATGAACAAAGGACGTTTCCTTCAAAAAACACTTCTCGTTCCTGTCAAGTCAAAAGGCTACGAATACATTTCATTTGAACCCCAACCATGATACTGGACCCAAGCGAGAGGATAACCATGTTGCAGGGACAGCTCGTGGGGTCAAAAGGAGAAACTGCCTCTTACCTGCCAAGGGGCACGGGACCAGTTCTCCCTCCAGTCGCGCTTCAACATCTCCTCCACTGCAAGTGTCCCCGGAAATCTTCCGGTATCTGTCACCCCCCACCCCGAGAAGAAGAGGTCAGAAACACCAAGGAACAGTCACGAGGGCTTTGTGACTGGGCGGGGACACATTTCAGACCCGAGCACAAGTTTGTCTCCCGTCCCCCACTGAACAGGAAGCGGGCTGCCAGCAGGGCTGGCAGGCACATCGGGCAGCACCAAAAAGCTGGAGTGCTGTCCTGGTAAGACTTTCACATATATCTCTCCAACAAACTGCTCTGAAACTGTGTCCCTGCTGAAAGGTGTGGCTTAACAGAACTAGCGCTGGAGAGAAACATACACAATTGCATTTTTTTCTGACTGAGGGTAGAAAAGTTTGTAAACATCCTAACTTTACGTATTGCCCGAGCTACTTGAAACCTGCTCACATGGAATTCTTTAAGAAACAAAAGGGACCCAGGAGGTTCTCTGTGCCCCTCACACCACATGTAGACCCCCGCCATGTCCCTGGCACAGGGCCCTTGTGAGACGTACCCTCTTGTTCTCCTGTAAGTAGAGCCCACCGGACACGGCACAGGAGGGGAATATGACTTCCCAGAAAACTCAGGGTCTGGAACACAAGCCTCTAGTGACAGATCTTCACTCATCTTGAAGCCAAAGTCACTGAAAAAGCAGTTGGGGTTTGTTAAGGCCACTGGGTCACTCACATCCTCAAGGCATTTCAGTCTCACCAGGCCTGGGACTTCTACCGTCCTTCCAACCTCCTATAGCGCAGGTTTCTTGACGTGCCCCTTTGCAGACCACTCATATTTTCACACTAGTGCACTTTCAAGAGACACTTCATATCAGAACCACTGTCACATGCCATAAGCAAACACAAATCATTATGCCAAAAGCAAAACGATATGAAATTTTTTAGCTAGATCCTGTTCTCTACCCAAAGACTCAGGGCCTGCCCTCTCTTGTTAAAAGGATTAGCAAATGGTAAAGAATTCCTACCCCAGTGAGACTTTCTCTTTGACATGATTGGAAGAATTAAAAAAGAAATTTAAAAGAATAATCTCTTTTTTTAACCAAGCATTTTTCTTTTTACCAATGTTATTTAAGACCATGTCCATAAACTACCAGCGATCACCACAGTGCCTCATCCCGCACTTTGGGACCCAGCACTGCGGCGCACGAGACCTGCGGCTTGGAGGCCACATCTCCGCCAAACCTCCCGGCTCAAGGAGCACAGTGGGAGGCAGGGTCCTTGATCTCATCTCGGCTCTGCCCAAACTGTGTGACTTCCCTCAGCTGCACTGAACAACTCCAGGCAGCTTCACTGCATGCTCACCAAGGCCCGGCCCCGACCACAGATCCATAATTCAGAGGAATTTTCCAGGTTGATATGCTTTTCCCAAAAGGCTTCATTTACTCTAGCTGGTTCAACAAGTACTTATTAAACACCTACTTTGTGAAAAATATTTAACAGGCACAGGACAAAGTGGTTTGTGTGTATATTATGTCATAATCCATATGCGGCATTTTGTACAGAATGATTCAGAAGGAAGAGTTTTATTACTGTATCAAAAACAGGTCTTACTCACTAAATCAGGTAACTTTTATCGAATGGCTGCTCTAACACTTCTTGGGGACAATGTGGGGCATTAGCTAATTACTTTTGTGCCTCCCTTTTTAGGCAGGTTTTTTCAAACTGTAGGCCATGACCTGGTGGGCAGAAAAGGTACGCTGAAGGGTTAAGGAGCTTCCTCCTCCGCGCCCCTAACACACAGAAGACTGCAAAATCCACCACACTTCCCAGGAGATGTCACTTCCGAGGAGATGTCACTTCCCAGGCTTCTGTTCTGAGGGTCCACGTGCACGTGCCCACACACGAAGCTGTGCAGGCGCAGGGTGGGACTGGGAGAGGCACCGTGCACCCTCGCAGCTGCACTCGTGACAAGGTGGGGAAACACAAAATGTAAAAGAGTTGGTTACACTTTCAAAATTCTTTTTTTGCCTTTAAAAAGGATGTAGAAGAACCTGCCCCTGAAACCAGGGCACACAGGGGCCGTGGCTGGGCCTCCCGGCCAGTCTGCAGAGACTGTCAGCAGTGCCCCACTGTCAGATGCAGCTGCCGTTCGGGAGCTGAACTAGCAGGCGGACCCTACAAGTCCACTTGCTCTTGCTTCCTCTCCTGTCATCTGTCTTCAGGCCTTCCCACTTCTCGCTGCGACAGCCCAATGAGAACTATCCCCAAGGCGCCCACAGTTGGCTGGCTGGCGCCTCCCCAGCAGCCATGGTGCCCAGAGGAGCAGGGATGGGGTGGCCTGAATTCTGCACACCCTGGTCACCCACAGGGTCATTGCCCTCACAGAGCCCAGCTCCCAGAGGGTGGGGGGGGTTTTCCCTGGTCTACAATAAAGACTCAGGGCCCACCGGGTTTCTGTAATGGGCTGTCTGGGTGGACGTGGGGCACCAGGGAGAGCCAGGCCACTCACGGGAGGCCAGTTCAGCAGCCCCTGGTGCCTGGAGTCACTGCAGCTGCCGCGGGTGGGAGGCAGATTTTTAAAGAGTCCTAACAGTGGTCATCGAGGGGGAAAAAAAAAGATCTGTTACGTTTTCTTGCGTATTATTTCATTTCATTTTGAAGTACCTAATGGGGATAAAAGAGGGACAAGAGAGGGCACGATAACCAGTCTGGGGGGCCGCCTCCAGCCCCAGGAGCCCTCAGACCAGAGCTCTGGTCTCAGGGCATCTGACAGAGCAGAGACGGTGAAGGGGTGTGAACTGACGGCACAGGCACCTGGAGCGGTTCTGCGGGTTTGCCAGGGGAGCGTCTGTGCCCTTCTCTCAGCACCAGGCAGCTTTCACAGGGAACGTGCGTCCTGTCGCTCGAAGAGTAAGCTCACAGATGCCCAGCAGCAGAACCGCCGAAGCTGGCAGGATGGCAGATACCCAGAACCGCCGAGCCCAGATTTGCAATCTGACCAGATCCCAGAAAACTCACAGACGCACTCAAGTCTAAGAAGCTCTGATGCAGGACCCAAGTTGGCCAGACCTGGAGAGCTGTGCTGGCAAGTGAGACCCACTGGGAGGGCAGCCACGGCCCGGTGCCCACATGGGCTCCACAGCCTGTCACCAGCTGTGTGGCCCCGCTCCCGTGTGCCAGAGACTCCCAGCTTTAGTCAAGAGGAGGGTGCTTCCCAAAGCAAACTATAGTTTCTTTGTGCATTGGCAACGACAGAAAACAAGTCGTTTGTGTTCAATACCCTTCTGGAATGGCTGCGCTGGGTTGCAGACCGAGGGCCCACCCAGCTGTACTGCCACAGCGACCCTCCCAACATGAAGCCCTGTTCTGGTCCTCCCCTCCCTCAGAAGCCCTCGGAGACACGCTCCGGCTCCCGGAACAAGGTCTCTCTTTCCAGCCTCATCTCCCAGCAGTGACCCCACCTCGCGCACCTAACCAGGCACCCAAAGGAAACCAACACCACTGTGCCGCCTGCACACTTGCTGCTCCTCCTCCTCTGAATGGCAGCTCTGCACACAGCCAGGTGCGTCCTCAAGGCCCATCACTCACAGCGCTTCCTCCAGAAAGTTCTCGACTCCTAGGAGCAGACTGGCCTCCCCCTTCCAGTCTGCATCCTCCCAGGTACCACCTGCGGCTTTCCACCTCCTATCACAATCACCTCTGTGTATGTTGCTTCTCCTGCTTTTAGCAACGTGGCAGGCAGCGCCTTGCCTAGGCTGTTTGAAGACTGATTGTGAGTGCGTGTGCAGACACACATTTCCTCCTATCAAATAAAGAAATGAACTCCCTCTGGGACGGGGTTCCTCAGAAAAGGGAGCTGCCCACAGTGGGGCCACCGGCACGCCCCCACTCAGGCTGCCCATGCAGACGAGAGCCACAGAGCAGTTGTCCCAGAACAGACTCTGGTTGCATTCCCCCCCCCCCCCCCAGCCCACAGCTGCTGAAACTACATGGAATAACCCATGGAAAAGGGCCCAGCACAGGTCCTGGCACCTGCAAGGTGCTTAATAAACATCTGTTTCCTAGGATACCCTTCCCCCCTCAGGGGCCAGCACCAGACCCTGGCCTGCCGCTGCGCTGCCCACAGAGAAGCCCCACACAGCCCCAGGCGGAAAGGAAGAGCTCACCATTCGTAGTCCTGTCGGGTGCAGGAGCAGTTGGAAGTGACCACTGGCCTGTCGAAGTCCTCCCCATTGAAGCAGGTGGCGTGGGCGATCCTCCGCTTGAACACGGTCTTGTGCCCCAGCAAACACTCGCTACCCCTCTCGTCGGACGGCGACCACAGCTTGTAGTCGTTCTCAGTGCAAGGAACCCCTGCGGAAAGGACACGCAACATCACAGGGAGCCCCGGAGGGGCGCCCCCGCCCCCTCCACCGGCTCAGTCGCCCACCTCCCAGCATCCTGGGGCTGCCCTGCTCCGTGGCTGGGGGACACCCATGCACACGCAGACGGCGCCCACTGCAGCTCAGATGCTCGTCAGGGGAGGCTGGGAGGAAGAAAGCCACCTCCGGCACTGCCTACTTCTGACTGGTTCCCTTTCACAGCTTCTGTGTCCTGATGCTTTTTATCTCTTTACATTCTCACTGAGGTCATCCTTCCTTCCCTAAGCCCTTGAGCATCCTTGCAGCCATGGCTGTGAATTCTATCCAGCAGACTGTGTGCCTCCAGTTCACTTCAGTTCTTTTCCTGGGGATTTCTCCTGTTCTTTCATTTGGGGCATGTTTGTCTGTCTCTCCATTTTGGCAGCCGCCCTATATTTGCTCCTCTGTATTAGGCAGAGCTGCTATGACTCCCAGGCGTGGCAGGGTGGCCTTATGTTGTGGGTGTCCTGTGGGACCCAGTGGCACATCTCCTTGGTCACCCGAGCTGGTGTCCAGGGGTGTCCCATGTGGGTTATGTGAGTCCTCCTAGTATGGTTGAGTCTTGGTTGCTACTGGCCTGACTGTGGGCAGGGTTGACCCTCAGGCTGGCTGACCATGAGGGTCCTGCTCTCATTTTCTCTGAAGCCCCAAAACTGGGTTTGTTGGTCTGGGGCCTCTAGGGAGGGACTCAGGGGCAGATCACCGTCAGACACTGCCTATGACCAGCCCTGGGCCACCTGTTAGGAAACTCGAAGTGAACCAACTGCCTCTGCTGGGCCAGGGGGTGCAGGGGCCAGAGCCACATGCTGAGGCCTGCTTCCACCAGTACCTGCCGGGGGCAGGTCAGTGAGGGACTCAAGGCACCTAGAGCTCCAACTCCATCTGCCTGCTGCCTGCGAGGCTCAGCCACTGACAGAGCCTCTGGCAGTGCACAAGCTGCGTGAGGCAGGGTCTTAGTGAGTCACCAGGCGCAGGCGAGTGGTGTTCCCTAGACTGATCGAGACTGAAAGTCGGGACCAGTGCTGAGTGTGAGGCCACTCAGCAAATGCCTCCAGCCTCTCTTAAGTCAGCCACCACCCACCCTGTGTCTGAGGACCCTTGTGGGTAGGCAGGGTGTTAGGGAGCCCTCAGGGAGATGCCGACAGAGCTCATCCGGGTGGAACAGACGGAGATGTGGCCATGTGGAGGGCGGACTCAGCACAAGAACTGGGGAGGGGAGTGGCGATGAGGGTGTACCAGACAAAAGGGCCCTCACTCAAAAGCCACACAGCTCCATCTCCTCCTGCACGTCTCCGACGCCACCAGTGTCCGCCCAGGCTGGCCACAGCCAGCAGCCTGCTCCACAGGATGCAAGCTTGGCAGGGACCCAGGGCGTTGGGAGGGTGGGACTGCTGTGTCTCCCATGCTGATGCTGTGCAGAGAGTGGGGACACTCCTGCCAGGAGGGATGCTGTCTCCGGGTGGAGTGGGAGAGGGCCTCAGCTAGGGACCATGGTGACTGTCCCTTCAGCCCTGTCCCTGAAGCCACAACCCCATCTCTGCCTACATGACTCCAGTCTGCCCTGAGCCGCCACATCTCCACCACAGCCCAGGGCGAGTGGCGGCGAATGAGATTTTGCATGCTGGCACTTCAAGAGCAGGCTTGGGTCTCTCGCAGACCCCATGTCTCCCTGGCAGACGGAATCCCTTCTAATTTCCACAGCCAGGTGTTAGGAGGGCTCCTCTTCCCAGCTCTGGTGCTCCGGGCTGGGGAGCCCAGTGCCAGGTGGAGACCCCACGCTCCTTCGGTGAATGTGTGCAGCTGAGAAGTCCCTCTGGATTTTCCACAACTGCACATGGCTGTGGGCCCAGCTTTGCTAACAGGGCAGCCCTCCCCTGCCAGTCTCCTTGTGGCTTCTTCTGTAAATCCTTGGTTATAAGACCTCTGTTCAACTAGTCGTCAGTTGGTTATTCAGGTTGATTGCTCCGTGTTTTAGTTGTAATTCCAGTTTGGTGCTGGGAGCAGGTTACTCCACTGCCATCTGGATCCCTGGCACTATCCAAACCTCTGATATGTTCTAGCACATTCTACAGTTCCTTTCGGAACAGGAAGCCAGAGGTGATTATCTCCTGGAGAGCTAGGGAGAGGTTGTATCATCCAGGAGTACAGCTCCCAGCCTGCTTCCTGGGGTAGTATGGGTGCATCTGGCTGTGGGCCTGAGAGTAACACAGAACTCACTGTCACTGCTGAGGAAGCATAGGATCTCCGTGGAAGGAGGCTGAGGCTGAGGATGGTAAGACAACCGGGACGACCGCTGAATCGACCCACATTCACTCCAAAGTTAACTAGAGAAGGTTTTATAGGTATTCCAAAGCAATCTAGGTCAGCACGGGCATTTTATGGTTTTCTTATACGTGTCTTAAGTTGGAACACATGCTGCCTGAAAATAATGCAGAACTATCACTTCAGTGCTGTTCAGATCAGCAGGTACTGATTAACCCCTTACTGCCCGGAAGGCTATCAGGTGGTGCAGTGCATGAAAAATAAAGACGCGGAGGACAGCTTCTTGTGTCCAAGGACCTTACAATCAGTTGACAGGAAACACACACACGGATGACAGACACAAATCAGTGACTCAGGAAGGCAAGTGCACTGACACTCTGGACACAGAGAAGAAGGGAGGAGGTCTTCTGCTTGGAACGTTAGCAGGCAGGTTGTTGGATCCAAAACACGAAAGGATTTTAACTGGAGGAAACTGAATGGGTGGCCTGAGGGGCAGCCCCTGAAGCTGGAATACCTTCAGCCAAGGCAGAGAAGGGCGCAGGGAAGGACAGTGCATCTTCCCTCTCTGCTCACGCACCTGTGCCCGAACTACACTGGCAGACACTGAGGAGGCCCCACACCACCTGGCCCACTGCCCTTCACAGAGGAGCCACCAGCGGGATTTGTCGGACTGAAACTGCTCGTCACTCAGCCACATACTCAACACACCTGCACCTGCACCTACGACATGCCAGTGACAAACAGCACACAGCCCTACCACAAGGTGCCCGAGTGCGGCCCACACAATCCTCAGTCGCTTACCTTGCACGTGCCCATCTCACTCCACAGACCACACATGCTCCCAGGTACTAAGCATCTAAGCTGGTGCTCTGGCCAGTAAACATTTCCACAAGCAGGGCAAGGAGGCAGCAGCTTACCCAAGGCATCTGTGGCATTGACCTGGAGGACCAGCCAGCTGTGGACATTCTCCTTGTTGGAACCAAAAATAGTGAAGACGGTGCTCTTCTCGCCGGGCTCTGTGAGGAGCCCGTACACGAACACGGGCTGTGTAGAGAAGGTGAACGCTTTCCAGGTCTCCCCTTCGTTGGTACTGTATCTGCCCAAATGCAAGCAAGAGGGCCTTGCCGTTACCACCTCTGGGGAGAGGGTTCGGCTTCCAGACAGTACTCACCGGGGTTGGACAGAGGGCTCCCTGGGGAACTGGCTAATCGTGACCTGCAGCAGAGAGAGTTTAAGGTTGGGCCAGAGAGCGAGGTGCACTCAGGGACAGATGCAGGCAACACAAAGGACACCAGAGTCAGCTCAGCGCACTCCAGCTGACTGTATGGCAAGTCGAATGTAAAAAAGAAAGATAATGGAACCAGTTACGTACTGACTGAAAATAGGGCACAGGTCTCTAAGTGATACTAAAAGTAAGACAGAAATGCGGGAGAAAAATTTTTCTTACATTCAATGCTACCTGATAAATGCTGAAAACGATGACAGACTGAGAAATGTGACCACTTTTCAGTGGTTACGGAAAACCCCCACTGTCGTGACCAACTCGGACAAGGTCATCAGCAGATGCTAACACCCCTGGGTGCAGAGTGCTGGGGACCAGAATGTTCACAGGGAAACGTGATCTCTCAGTGGGTGATGTAAGAGTCGCCCACCCTCACCAAACCTGGCGTCACTGACAGTGGGATGACCTGACACTGCACGGTTCCAATACAGCACTGAGAAGAGGACATCACCTGTGTCCGCTTGAACACAACTAGACCAACCCAGCATGCGACAGATTCCATGTAGCAGTAGGTCTGGATTCTTCAAAAATAAGAAATCAAAGCCATGAAAAACAAACAAAAAAGGTAGAAGGCTGGCTATAGGTTGAGAGACTAAAGAGGTGTAACAACCAAATGCAGCAAGTAACTCTTGACTGAGTCCTGGATTAGAAAAAATCTAGCTTTAATTATATGGGACTAAGGAAAAATAAATATGGCCTATGAGTAATACTAAGTTCATGCAAACTTCTTAGATGGGACAGTGGCATTGTGATTGTGCAGAAAAACATTCTTATTTATTGGAGATGCATGCATGGATAGATGGATGGGTGATAGACGGTTAAGAAAACTGGCAAATTGTTAACAATCGCTGATTCTACATGAAGGTTACATGAATGTTCTTTAGGTATTTTCTTCCAATTTTTCCTGAAGCCTTAAAAATGTGAAAGTTGGAGGAATGTTACGTGCTGAGCAGTCTCCAAGGCAGATTGCATCAGAAGAAACCAGGAGGCCCCTGAAGCACCAGCAGCACCGAAGTGATGGTGGCGGTTCAAATTATTGTCAGGACTGAGGAGGAAGGGGTGACAGGCACCTCTGTGCTTCACTGCCCAGTGAGCCAGCAGGATGGTCGACACAAGAAACCACTCGGTGAGAGCTGTTGTTAGGGTCATGGAGCCCCCGAGGTTCTCTCAGGTCCTCATGGCTCACAGAGCTGCTTCTACCACCTTCCCCATGTCTCTGCAGTGATCCTCTCTCAGGGTCTCAGTGCCTGACACGAAGCTTTTCCAGGTTTATTCAGCGCATACACACCCTCTGACACTACGATCGACACGCCCCTACCAGCACGGGGGGGCGGGGGGGAGTGAGCGCAGGCGTGTGTGAGACCTGAGATGGCAGTTACGGGGCCATGAGAGAGTGTCAACAGGGCCCGAGTGATCACCTCTGCAGATCTTCCAAGGAGGAGAGATTCTCATCTGGCTGATGCACTTCTGGTTTAGAGTGATTTTGAAGCAGATACAGGAATAAGTTAACTCATTCAATCTGCTTCTCATACCCCTATAATGAGCTCAGGTCTTAGAATCACTCGTAAAGCAAGATAATGACACAGAACATTCTTCTTTTCATAAGAATCTTTGTGGACCACACAGTTAAACAAATTCACTGGCATCGAAACAAACAAAAGCCAAGTGTGCTGATAAATGGTTTTTTCTCAACCCAAAATAAGACGTCTGGTTCTCACAGAGCTGGACACATCAGCCAGTGAGCTGCCACTAACAAAAAGGAAGGTCAATGCACCAGCTCCACAAAGGGCGCAAGGCCACCTGTACAGAGACTGCAATGAGAGCCAAGGCAGTTACAATGTGGTTGAGAACATCTGCCCCTCTGCAACTCAGGGTGCAGAAGAAGCTGCATGGGGGTTAAAATGAGGTGGAGCCACATGGCCCTCCCTGCAACTCTCCCAGGAAACATCACTGGCATTCGGCACTGCAATCAAGTCGACGGGCCAAGTGCTACCTCTCGGGTGGTGGGGCTGTGGCCACTTCCAGAACTCAGGCCAGGAAAAGGCAGCGGCTCCTGGTGCAGCCTGTCCAGGGGCTCTCCTGGATACCCAAAGGGAAGCCTTTTGAAATCAGGCATCTGCTCTGAGGAAAGATGCCTTATACAAAGTGTTGTTAGTACCTAATTGCCAAGAATACATTATGCTGACAGGCATACTGCAGAGAAGAAACGGAAACCAATTTCACACTTTCCGATCGAGACAACAAACTTGTGTATGGGTCACCTGGGGGGCAGTGCGCGCAGTCACACAGCCCCTCCTATGAGGAGCACTGCCTGCGAATGCTGAAAACCTGTGCCCCCAAGCAGGTTCTCAGTGACAGCACACTGAATGGCGCAACGAGTGAGTCCCCTGGACAGGCTCGTATTCACTCCTTTCAGACATGGAGACAGGAGCAATGCAAACTGTTCCCCTTCTCGCTCTCAACTTCAATCAACATGAACAAAGGTGACAACTTCCATGGAGGGTCAAGGAAGAAGCTGAAACAAATCACAGTCAACTCTTGGCTGTCTGCACTAATCAGGAAGAGAAAGACAGGAACTACTTAGAAGAGCAACAGAAGAGCAACCTTTGGGCCACATTCCACCTGGGTCCCCACTAAACCTCCTATTAGAGTTGCAGACATCACTCCCCTTCCTCCCAGGGGCAGGCTGAGCTTTGGGCCCAAAAGCTCCTTTCCAAAGCGCTCCCTTCCTCCAGCCTCTCTTCCCAGCTGGCTCAGAATGCAGCAGAGTCACAGTGAGCCAGAAAGTTCCCAGAAGATGCCTCACTCACCTATGTGCGCTCAGTGCCGAGAACAACATCTGGCTCATCACCAAAGTTCCCCAAACATTGGTGTAATGGACCTACAACTGTGCCTAACAGAAACGAGCCCCAGTAAAGTGAGGAAGGAGGTGGACGTGGACGGGGTCATCTCCATGCCGCCAGGCCACACACACGGGGCTGCAGGAACTGTCACCTACATAGCACTTGGGAAGTGCCCCCAAACAGGGCTATGCATCTGCCTCATCACCACGCCCCTTCCAGTTTCATAAATTAGTAAAAAAAAAAAGCAATAAAAATACCTGAACAATCACATATTTACGAAGTCTGCACAGAATAGAAACACTTGTGTACCAGACCTGGCTAACGAACTGAGGAACTGAGGCGTGTAATGAAAAGGGACCTAATGAAGGACTCAGTACACTCTGAGACTGGAGGAGAGAGGACAATGGTTGTGGAGTGGGAGGGCGCCCGACGCAGAGGGACCTGAACCTCAGACCTGCACAGAAATGCAGTGCAGCCCAGAGCAGCCCTCCCTCACGCATGGGCATTGCCACTGCAGTTTGAGGGTATGACAACCACAGCACCCTCTCCTGCTTCTCCTCTGATGAGGCTGACAGCAGGCAGCAGCCGGTCAAAAGCAGAGCAGCAGGAGAAGCAAAAAGAACTCTGTGAGCCGCAGACCAAGGAAACGCCAGGTGGCTACACAGACTGAGGTAAAGCTCACATTGGTTTATGGGCACGCACACCACACACCTACCAAGGGAAGGCCCGCACGCGTTTTCACATTTGTAAACGCTTCATTTAAACCACACACACAGGCACCTCCCAACAACCTTTGCCAACAGAACGAGGCTACTATGGCCACAATCCCCAAAGTCAGCAGCGAGCCACTTTTGCGTATCTGGGAGGGCGTGTGAGTTTCCTGGCAGCAGGTGTCTCTTCCTGGTCAGCTGGTGCAGTGATGGTCTGGGTTCCCTGGGCTCACGTGCACCGACAGATGGGGGAGAGGACTGTAATCACAGAACTGGTACTTCAGAGAAGCCAGCTAGGAATGCAAAGGCAAGAAGTGGGAGCCGCAGAAAAGCCAAACCCGGGAGATCAGGAGCCAGCTCTACAGTCTGACTGCCTTCAAAAAATAAAATGTATTCCAAGGAGGTCAAACTGTGTCCCCTCCTACAGTGTTCTCAAAGTACGTCCCAAACATGGCTTTTTTATTTGTGTGTCTTACCACTAGAGAGTGGACTCCTTCAGAGTGGGGGAAACATGCTGTTTTTCATTGGACACAGTACCTTGCAGAATTAATGCTCGCTAAATGTGTGAGATGGAAATGAATGCATTAACGCATAGATAAATGACAGCTAAATGTGGGAAGAACCATACTTTGTGACTGTCTTCCACTGAGCTGATGCCAACCCGAATGGAGGCACAGTGCATGACTCACAAGCAGAGCCTCTTGGACCCTTAGCCCCAAAAGCAGCAGCTGACCAGTGCCACACGGACCAGAAAACCAGGAGCAACACCCACCACAGGACTGGCTTCTCTCTGCTGCCAGGCCAGGCTGCCCAGCACGTGTCCAGTGAACCACAGGGGCACCATCTGCTAAGGTCTCTCCTTCCAACTGCCCACCTCTCTCTCGACTTGCCCTGTTTCAGAAAGGCTTTCTTCTCCCCAGCACTGACCACGATGATCACAGAGTCCTCACCCTTTCCTTCAGTAATTTACCCCACGGGCTCACCTCAGAAATGGGGAGAAGGAGGGCCAGCGTGCCTCACCCTACTGCTAACGAAATCCACTTCTGACCTACGGGCCAGAAGTAATCAAAGAGCTGGTTTTAATAAAATCAGACTTCAGGAGGCAGAAGTCAGAAACTCCTGACATTTCTGCTTTTCAGAGGGATACACTGCAAAGAGGACAGAACAGAAGGTGACACCTGAGTGCTGCTCTTCCCTGACACTGAGAAATAGGAGACTCCGGGCAAGGCACTGTACTTGTCTTGCTGAGCCTCGGTTTTCTCAACTGTAAAATAGAGCGGTTAACCCCAAATGTCCCTTCCAATTCTATTTGCGAGAACCTCTAAAACCAAATGCATCACAGTAAGGACAACTGGGTATCAATTTACAGGTACCCTGAAATTATTACTCATGTGTTGTTATCTGTTACTTATGCTCTGAGTAAATCTCTGTATGTGTGTAACACACATGCAATAAAAAAACAATGTAGAGTCCCTAGTTTTCAAATCATGATTAATTTATACTTGGTAGAGTTGTACTTCAAATCAATACAATTATTTATTGCTCAACATGCCCCTTTGAGAGAGGAAGGGCAGCCCATTACTGGCATTGTAGAGAAAGCAAAGTATAAGTGGCCACCTGACAGCACGAGGGCTGCTATGCACACTCGATGCTGGACAGAGAAACCCCGGCAGCTGGCTGCGCCATGCTTTGGAAGAGCAAGGTGACGCCTGCGGAAGGACGCCACCGGAAACACTTACTTCAGCTCGCTGGTCTCCGTGCCCTGGGCAATGGCCATGATGATGCCGCCGTGGTCTCCCCAGGCGTAGTAGTGTGGCCCAGGGAGCGCCTGGGAGAGAAAAGACAGCATGATGCCACCGCTGCGGCACATGTGCACACGCACACTTGCACACACGTGCACATCTGTGCTTTCATGTGCAAGCACGATACACACAGGTGTGTACAGATGCATGTGATTGTGCCCAGGCAAGCATGTGTGCATGTGTACACACACACACATGTGCACGGGCACACACGCATGTGTGTACACACAGCAGCAACTCCAAGCGCTTGAACACTCCTTCTTGGTTCCCAGAGCACATTGACAGCCACAGTCGCATCTGCTGCACAGGACCCTGTGGGTGGGTGGAGTGAGTTCTCAGACCCCCAAATCATGCCCCAAATGTAGAAAGTGGACCTGTGATTGATTTTAGCGGCAGACTACACAGGCAGGAGTCAACCTGGTGCTGTGCAGACAGAACGCCAATCTCTGGCCCTCACAGAGTGATTAAAAATTCACCAGTGGAAAACCCAGCTGTCTCTGAGGGTGCAAGCCCATTCCTCCTGCTGATCACAACTACAAACTGTGCACAAAATACAAAAGACCCCTGCTGGAGGATGACGAAAAATAACTGACACCAGGCAGCCTGCGGAGGGATGTAAGACTAGGGAAGCTCCTGCAGAGCTGGGGTTTGCTGGCATGGCTTTGCCCCAGACGTGGAATGACTCAGCCCCAGCTGGACAAACGATTTCTGCCCAAGGAACTGAGAAAAGAACCCTTAAAGACCAAGGAGAACATGGATGTGATCATAGAGGACAGAGTATTAAAGAAGAAACCCACAGTTCTGTGTGTGTATTCACCTAAGTCCGAGCCCGCCCCTGAACTACCTGTCAGGCACAATCCCACAACGACAGCGCTAATGGCTTTGTAAACTCAACTGAGATTCCAACGACCACCCACAGAACGCACGGCACAGGTTATGGTCTAACGAGCCCACCACAGGCTGCAGCAGAAATGCTCACCATCTCCAGGGGACCACATCTCCTGCGTTGTATTCACTGTCCTGGATACAACCCAAAAGTGCTCAGTAAACAAGCATGTCAGCGAAATGTGTCCAGCTCTCAAGGGAAAAGACAATCAACAGGTACCAATCCCAAGATGATCCAAATGTTGGAATTAACAAAGGACTTTAAAACGGTTACCATAATTGTGTTTCATAGAGTAAAAGAAAATAGTTCTGAGATAAACAAAAGACGGGAAATCTCTCCAGAGAAATGGAAACTATTTTAAAAATAAAAGAAACAAAGAAAAATTTAACAAAAATATAATATCTGAAATGAGGAACTCACTAAAGGGCTCAACAGCCCTTTAAAACAGAAATGACAGAGGCATTCGTGAGCTTGAAGAGACATCCAGAGCAGTGGCAATGATCATTCTGGTGAAGACACAGACAGAGCTCCAGGGCCTACGGGACAGTGGCAAAGGTCCCACAGGCAAATGGGGTGCAAGATGAATGAGAGCAAGGGCGGGGGGTGGGGGGAACGGGAAGCACATTGGAGGAACAGCTGACAGTCTCCACAACTGGGCAAAGACACACATTTACAGACTCAAGATCAGTGTCCCCAGAAAGAATAAACACAAAGGAAAACACAATTAGAGATGACATAACAAAACTGCTGAAAACCAAAGGGGGAAAATCTTGAAGAATCTATAGAAAATGGACACATTAGATCCAAGACAGTGATGAGAGAGATGACTACAGATTTGAGGGGGGAGAATGGTGGGAAAAGGTACAGGGAGCAAGAAACATAAATGGTAAGTGCAAAGTAGACAGTGGGAGGTCAAGGACAGTATAGGAAACAGAGAAACGAAAGAACTGATATGTACAACCCATGGACATGAACTAAGATGGGGGTAATGGGGAAGGGCAGGCAGGTTGCAGAGCAAGGTTGTCCCCCCAAAATTGGGACAACTGTAATAGCATGATCAATAAAATATACTTTAAAAAAGAAAAAAGAAGACCCAAATAAATAAAATTGGAAATCAAAGAGAAGTAACAACTGATACCACCGAAATACAAAGGATTATAGGAATATATTGAGAACTACTTGCCAATGAACTGGCTGGACAACCTGGAAGAAATGGCTAAATCCTAGAAATACACCCTCATCCAAAACTAAGTCAGGAACAATTAGAAAATCTGAACAGATTAATACTTGTGACATTGAAGCAGTAATCAAAACCCTCCCAACAATAAAAACCCTGGGCCAGGTGGCTTCCCAGTTGAATTTTATGAAACAGTCACAGAAGACCTAACACCTATTCGTCTTGAACTATTTCAGAAACTTCAAGAGGAGGAAAAGCTCTTAAGATCGTTTTACAAGGCCAGTATTATCCTAATTTCAAAGCCAGATGCTACAAAGAAAGAAAATTACAGGCTAATATCCCTGATGAACGTAGATGCTAAAATTCTCAACAAAAGATTGGCAAACAGGATCCACGAATACCTTAAAAAGATCCCCCACCGGGACCAAGTGGGACTGATTCCTGCCACCACCTGTTCCCCTCACACGCCCCCAGACTGTCCCTCTAAAGCCGACATTGCCAGCACGGACCACAACGCCCACTCTCACAGTCCAACCTTTCCATGTCCCAGTCAATTCTATGCTGTTTCCAAACACAAGGTCCTTTGTGCAAGCACTGCAGGCAGGAGGTGCGGCCGGCGGCCCCGGTGCCGGCCGAGGCCGCTACTTCATGGGAGGAGAAACACCACATTGCTTTCTATCAGAAGGAAATCACCTGCAGATATTCACATTCCCAACCACACCGGCGTCAGATGGCACAAACCACACAAACTGAAGCGCCAAGGAGGGGACACACCCAATTTCAACGGGAACGTTCTGGCTCCAAGGAAGAGCGGCTGCTTACTCTTCCCCATGGAAGCAGGACAAGGGCACCCGGGAACTCATCCTGCTCACACTTTCTGACTCCTCTGGCTTAACAGCCTCCTGCATCTGAATAAGTACTTACATTCTCTACCATACTGTACAGCCCTTGATATGCACACGTACGCACACAGGCATGCATGTGCACATACATGCACACACGTGAGTGTGCACACACGAAAGCAGACCACATGCACACACGTGTGCATGTGGTGTCAGAGTCCCACCCCTCAGCTGGAGATGAGGCCTGTGACAGTCCTCTGTAGCTGCAAAAAGCCAGGCCGAGTGGGGCCCCGTGACTGCCTGATGTGTGACGCAGTCAGACACAGAAGTGTCCACACTGCTTTCCCAATCAGAAGCACCATGAGGACGGGAACATCTGTCAAATCCTGAGGCCCCACCTCAGCCTGGACACCACACCTGGCCTGCCTGGGTCTGGGGGCTCCCTGCACACACACACACAGCACCTCTGAGAACAGCCATGCACAGTGGGGCCTGCGCACGTCCCGTGGCCTGTCAGTCATGGGAGGCTGATGAAACACCATTTTCTACGAGTCTGGGAATCCCCTGTTGTCCCAGGTTGAATTAGCACTTCAGGACCAGAAGACTAGATGCACCTGAAGAACTGGTGTCATCGGTGCCTAAGGATCCAAATTAACCACACAACTGTAAGGCTAGAGCAGTCTTCTTCCACAGCTCAGATGAGATGAAAGTGTAATCCCTGGGCGTGGCAGCCCGGTGAGCAGAGGGGGGGGGGGGGTGACGTCGGCAACAGCAAAAAGAGCAAATAACCAGGTTCAGGCCTGATGCTACTACCACACTGTCATTGGCTGGGAGTCAGCAAAAACTCACTGAACACTCACCCCACGCCAGACACCACTAGGTCCCAGGGGAAAAGGAGTGAGCAAAATGGACATGGCTTCATCCTTATGGAACTGATCATCTTGGAGCAGTTAGTCACGTTTTTTTAAAGCTTGTTTTTTATTCAAAGTAGCGTACTTGGCCAAATCACAACCCACATTACGAGTTGTGAGTACACAGGGTGCAGCAGACCCCTACGTGTGTTTCTAGTAACGCTCTTCATTTCACCATCACAGCTGGACTTTGTGATCTCCACCAGACCCCAGGCACCCCCAAAATGACCGGCCTCAGGCCAATCTCATACAAACAAGAATGGGGGGCCTCACCTCTCGCCACCGGGCTCCTGCACTGCTGGAGATGTACACATTCATCTTGCTTGCTAAGTTCTTTCCCACCGAACCTGAAATGCAAAAGGAATAATTGTTTTTGACTTCAAGAACCTTGCCCAACTGGAAATTCTGGTAGGATCTAGCAACTGAGAACGTCTCAACCCCACAGGCAGCAGTGACCTCAGCAGAAGGTGGCGGTCCCCGTGCACCTGGCTGCACCTGAGCAAACAAACAGCTTACTCAGGAAGGAAGAGCAGGCATAGCCAACTTACCTGTGGCAACAATGAGACCAGGCGCCGACTCCTTGGAGAGGATGGGCATCCTCCGGAGCTGGAGGTTGAGCAGCTGACTGAGTCGCTGGGCCAGGTGCAGGGAGCAGCCCTGGGAGAGCTACAAAACACACATCCCAGGCACCATCAGCAAGGCAGATGGTGCCCGCATCTCCCTCCAAACACTGAGGCCTGTGTGTGCACAAGACAGCGAGAGGCAGAGGTAGGAGGCCTGGACCAAAGGAAACTGGAGCCGCCGCGTGGCTGCACCCACACATCTGCAGAGGGGCATGATCAACTGAACCACACAAATGCCTCTCATTGAAACAAATAGAAAAATACTAACACAAAAATTCCTCCTAGGACTCTCAGAGAAACAGCTAGAAATCAGTGTTCATCGGCATCCCAACCAGAGATGCCCAGATACACATGAGATGTAAACACCAAAGTATCCCCAATGAATTTTTAAAAGCAGCCTGCATTTCTACAAAGTACAAAGTCTACAGATGTCCCTCGCAGGATTTCAAGTTACCGAAACTGACTTCCATCACTTACATTTCAGATCTGAGTTCCACAAATAAGGCAGAACTCAGATCTGAGTTTGGCTATATAGTTGTGCCTAATTTTCTTGGCCAGGAAATGGCTATCGAATCTGTTCTAGACAGGATAATGCTGTGTATACTTCCAGTACAGCTAAAAACTGTGACACGGTTTGCCAGTACACCTGCTTTTGTAACAAAAGGATCTCTAACAAATATACATCTTGCAAGCACCACAGTTTGGCTGATAAAAAGTGGAGCACACTGAGTTGGGTCACAAATCGCCACCAAAATTTTCAACCTTTATCCTCTTCTTTCACTGCCTAAAATCAGAAGTAGAAGCCAGAAGCTGACCTGTTATGCAGGTCATAAGTAAACTGACAGGCCAGTGAGACAGGAAGCTGAATTTTAACAATACTATTAGTTCCACCGAACCGAGGCTCAGACCCCCACTGCACTGCATGCTGGAAAGTGCCTCGACTGCATCCACACCGGACTCACTCGGCGCTCTGAGAGCTAGAAGGTGCTGCTGCGCCAATGAGAAGCACCTAGGGATTGGTTATACGTGCTTACATCCCTGCCTCTTTCCGAAGTTAGACTTGACATCGTCAGTCAAGACTTGGTGTCACATCAGAAGATAAATGAAGGGCTACATTCTCCAGCAAGAATTTCCAAAAGAATCTCCCCATGGGCCACAGACGCAGCATCAAGTAGGCCAACATGTTTAACATGGACAAACAAAATTAAGTCATCTGAAAGACCAGGTCATTGTCTCGCTGAAATGTTACCGTTTCTCCAAACATCAGTGCCACTTGTTTTTCCCTACTTTTGTCCACCTACTCTACACGCCCTAGATCCGCTGTGTCAAATGAAAATAGAGATGCGGTATATCCCGTAAAGCCAGGGACCACAACGGCTCTGAGGGAAAAGAAAGGAGTTGCCTAGGTACATGAGACTGCTTTATGGGCCCAAATAATACAGTTTAGTCTTCTTAGTTTTCCACATGAAGCCACAGACAAGGAAAATTATAGAATCCTAAATAATATTGAAAGAGGAATTTTAAAAGAAATACTACAGAAATAAATTATGGGAGACGTTTTCAAGTTCTCTTGGTTCATAGCACAATAGGCGTCTCAGTCATGTTGCCATAGCATGTTCAAGCTAGAAGAGCTACACGCATAACCAGATATGCTCCTAATAACTTAGGAGCAGTTTAAAATAACAACATCACACATAAGTATTAAAAGCAAAACTGAAATTTCATTTCATTCTTGAATACCTACAGTTACTTAAGACTGGGCTGTGTGGACCTGCTAGGCCTGGCGTGACCCCTCGCACTCCTGCCAGACATCACCATGGCCAGCTCCTGCTCTGCCCGCACTTCCTCCCTCGATTCCCACCACATCAGCCGCTGGAACCTCAGCCTCGCACACACAGGATGTCGTCAAAAGAAACACAGCACGGGCTAAGGTCAAAACTGTGCACTAACTCAGGATGGTTAGTGTCACAGTGCTTCTGTCAGAAACTTAACACACCCGGGTACCCCCCTGAACTCACCAGGGCACCCCAGTGTGCCTTGGCATGGAGTTTGAGAACTGTAAGTACAGGACTGCAGACAGAACTTCGAGTTAAAACCCAAACCGAATGAAAGCACCTATACCTCACAATCTGTTTTTTCTCCATACTCTGTGAAGGCTGGGGCCTGAAGAAACTCCCAGGTGCCCCCTTTGTCGAAGGTGATGACAGACCTCATGTTCTCCTCCTTCATGGGGCCATTGAGCAGGGTGGCAATGTAGACACCTAGCAGCCCCTCCACGCGGTGGAAGTCAGCAAACGGCTCGTTTGCAAAATACCTACAGTAAGAGAGAACAAACAGCTGTGAAAACAAAGTGGTGTTTTGGGTATGATTTCATCATAAGTAACACAAAGTCTAACCACTTTAAATTCCCTACTCTGGCAGCATGAAGTACATTCACAGTTCACTCCCGTGCTCCAGAACACTTCCGTCGCCCCGAAAGGAGGCCCTGCGGCCATGGGCAGTGGTTCGCAGTGCTCCCTGCCCACCGAGGCCCTGGTGTCCACTAACTAACACAGTTTCTGTCTTTACAAATTAATCTATTCTGGATACTTCGCATAAATGAAATCACACAACATGTGACCTTTTTCATGGTTATTTCACTTAGCATAATGTTCTCAAACTTCATCCAGATTGCAGTATATCAGCACTTCATTTTATGACTGAATAATCAGCTCTTTTTTTGAAAAAAAAAATTGATGCCAAGATCCTTATCTGATCAATAATTCTTTACCGGGGTTCAGAATGATACACAACACACCCTCTGTATCTCTCACACTCCACCTTCTGTTCACAGCCCACCTGTCACCTTCCCTCCACCTGCTCTCACAGCAGCACGAGCCACACTCCCCAGTGTGTCTGGGCTGAGCCTCACCAGGCGGCTCCGCAGGACCTGGCGGCCGCCCTCAACACAGCGCCGGAGCCCCCCCATGCCACTCCCGCCAGTCACGCAGGGCCTCCCTGGGGCACCCGGAGGCCTGGTGGCACTCACATGGCCATGTTTCCTCCTCCCTCTAGACAATGCTTTCCGCCAGACTGCTACGAGGCACCCTCACCACCACCAGCATCACCCCCTATTAAGAATTCTCTCTCCAGTTCTCCAAGTAAATTAGAACCAGTTCCAGGACACCATACTTCCCTTTTCAGTTCAAGCAATAGCTCACTTCAAATACCACAATTTTTTTATCGGGAGGGAACTAGCCGGCCCATGTCATCTGTTAAGACACCCTTATCCCATTTCATCATGCTGAGATGGAGATGCAAGTGATAACGATCACTCAGATGAGCACATCTGAACAGGCCCAGTCCTGAGACACAACCTGAAGAGAATAGGCCCTGGCTGGTGTGGCTCAGTGGATTGAGTGCCAGCCTGCAAACCAAAGGGTCCTCAGTTCAATTCCCAGTCAGGGCACATGCCTGGGTTTGGGCCAGGTCCCCAGTAGGGGGGGCACAAGAGGCAACCACACACTGATGTTTGTTTCCCTATCTTCCTCCCTTCCCCTCTCTCTAAAAATAAATAAATAAAATCTTTTTTAAAAAAGCTGAAGAAAATGAGAAGGCTGAGCAGGTTGCTGGGGTCTGAATCTTGATGTAAACCTACTGTAAGACACTCACTGGGTTGCTGGCTCGGGCAGGATGGAGTGACTTGTGTCACCTCGGGAAGGCTCATGGGACCAGACAGTGGCCATGGGGCTGAATCACCGAGAGCCGGGTCCACGGCTGCCAGCTCCTGCTCTGCCTGACCGCGAGACATCCATCCGAAACCTCCAACAAGTGTGGAAGAGGAAGAAACCTCTTCAGGCTGTGACTCATCCACCCCACAGCCAGACACTCACAACTGGTCAGTGAGAGTCCTGATTTTAGATATTGAAGATGTGAGGAGAAGGTCACTCACCCTAAAAAGAAAGGCAGTGCTGACACGTGCCAGAGGTGGATCATCTTTGAAAGGACTAGGCCAAGGGAGAGAAGCCTGACTCGAGGGTGTGCTACAGTGCGACTCCCTCTCTAGGGTACACCCAGAGAGGCTCTATGCATGGACAAAAAGTCGACTGCTGGCTGCCAGAGGCTGGAGGGAGTCAACACTGGGGGCAACCACTTAAATGGGTGAGAAGCTTTCTTTTGGGTAAATAAAGCTGTTTTGGAAGAAAAAGCTGTTGGTTACACAACATTGTGAACGTATTAAATGCACTAACTTGTTCACTTTAAAATGACTAAGTTGAAGTTTGCAAATTTCACCTCAATGAATTTTTGCTAAAGTCATAGGAACTGGCCCAAAGGGGCTGCCACTGACCAAAACAGAACCACCTAAGTCTGAATCATGGCAGGAATGCTTGCTTATAAGACATTATAATGCATGGAGCAATTGACAACCTGTCAGCGCTCCCACTGGGAAAAAGGTAAGGAATGAAGATGAACTTCCAGTCAAGATGGCAAGTGCTCGCTTCCTCCAACAACCACAGCAAACTTACAATGAGACTATAGAGCCACCACCCCTGGGAGCCCCCGGGACACCAGCCGAAGGGAACTCCTACAAGTAAAGATCGACAGGAGAAGCCATATCCAGACTGGTAGCAGGGGAACAGACAGGAAAAGCTGGTCCAACACCCACAGGTAGCAGTCAGGAATCAGGAGGGGTCTCTTGGCCACAGAGGTCCCCACTGAGAAGCAAGGGGCCCCAGGCCCACACCAGACTGCACCAGTGCCAAGGACAGGAGTCTCCAAATCTGGCTGTGAAAATGAGCCAGGTTGCTCCATGCCTGCAGGAGGCAGGGCATCGAAGACCCAGGTGTCTTCCTAAAGGACCCGAGCAAGGCTCACTCACTCAAACACACTCTCCATAATCTCCAGAGAAGGAACAGCAGCTTTAAAAGCGCCAGAAACATGTGGGGAGAAACTCAGTTATCAGACTTCAGAGGAAGGCCCAGCAGGAAGGCTCTCTCCAGTACACGGAGCGGGCACACACCGCTGTGCCTGTGTGGCGCCTTCTCTACCACACAGCCAGTGGAAGCAGGCGGCCCCCAACTCTGACTCTCCACCCAGCGGGCCACCACAGCTCATGCAACCCCAGCCTTGGGAACTCCCTGAGACCCCACCCCACTCACTCATGTACCTGCCCAGATCCGTTTAGGGGAGCTCTTTAAGTAGTTGTACCGCACAGGCGGCGGGCCTCTCCCCAAATCTCAGAAGGACCCACAAACCCCAACCAAATACACAGTGGCCCAGAGCCAGGCACCAGTGGCAGGCATGCTTTGCAGCACTGCATCCCGCAGGAGATGCCTCCAAGCCCAGCACAGGCAGCTACCAATGGGGATCACTCGGTAGCTCCTCCCCTGGGACCCCAGGCTGAGCACAGGCAGTGGCTGAGCTGGGTCTGCACCAGAGCCCCTCCCAGGAGGCCTCAGACATGACACACCTGGCTGCTGGCATGAGACCACACTGCAGCACCACACGATGAGATGCACCACATCACCACACAACACACCGCATCACCACACAATGAGCTTCACAAACAACACACCCGCAGACTGGACTGGACAGGCACCAGGACACCTGCTACAGCCAATTCCATTCTGTGGGCTCAGCCCCACACACCAGCCTGCCTGACGCAGCCATGGCCAGTACTCGGAGTCTGTCAACCCAAGGATCGACCAGGTCACCAATGTGCCAACCATGATCAAAGCTCAGTTACAACAGGAGAACACACACAACCTACACGATCAACACTCCTGAAGCACCTGGCTCTCAGGTGGCCAGGGAGGCTGCGTCCCTGGGCCCCAGAGGACACCCTCTACATGAAGCAGTCCTGCCGAGATGCAGAGATGAATGGCCCTACCTAACACATGCAAACACACACGGGGAGGCAGCCAAACTGAGGAGACACAGATCCCAATGGAAACACAGAACACAGCCCCCCCAAAATAAATAAAACTAAACACGATGTAGACGAGCAATGGACTACACACAGAGTTCAAACACTGCATATAAGGATACTCAATCCACTTAGTGGAGGAAGAGATGAATCCAGTGAGAACTTACAGAAAGAGACAAAAACCATAGACAATCAGTCAAAAATACAGAATACAAAAACTGAAATAAGGAATAAATTACACAGCATCACCAGCAGATTCAAAGAAGCAAAGAATTGAGACTTCCAGCCAAGACGGAGGGGTAGGTAGACACACTATGTCTCCTCACACAGCCAAAACAAGGACAACTACAAATACAAAAACAATCAACAACCAGAACTGCTAGAAAATCAAACTGTATGGAAGTCTGACAACCAAGGAGTTAAAGAAGAAACATTCAGTCAGACTGGAAAGGAGGGGTAGATAACAGCAGCCAAGGCAGAATGGGCAGATAAGCAGGGAGGAACAACTGGGGCGAGAGACAGACCATGCAACCCAGGGTTCCAGCTCTGGGGAAATAAAGCCTCAAAACTTCTGACTATAAAAACCTGTGGGGGTTATGGCAGTGGGAGAAACTCCCAGCCTCACAGGAGAGTTTGTTGGAGAGACCCACAGGGTTCTAGAATGTACACTAACCGACCCACCTGAGAATCAGCATCACAAGGGCCCAATCTGCTTATGGGTAACAGGGGAAGTGATTGAAAGCAGGGTGAAAGTTGAGTAAGTGGCATTGTTCCCTCTCTGACCCCTCCCTGACATACAGAAACACAACAAAGCTAAGTGGGTTGCCCTGCCCTGGCGAACACCTAAGGCTCCACCCCTAACTACATAACAGGTGCACCGACAAAGATAGATGGCCTAAATGAATGAACAGATTACAATCCCAGAAAAAGAAACTAAGCAATGAGGAAATAGCCAGCCTATCAGAGGCGGAGCTCAAATCACTAGTAATCAGGATGCTCACAGAAATGGTTGAGTATGGTCACAAAATAAAAGAAGTGAAAGATATACAAAGTGTGTCTATTGGTAGATCATTAAAAAAGACATAGTACATATATACAATGGAATATTACTGGGCCATAAAAAAGAATGAAATCTTACCATTTGCAACAGCTGGGTTGATTTACTGGCTATTATGCTCAGTGAAATAAGTCAGACAGAGAAAGACAAATACCATGTAATTTGACTTGTATGTGGGATCTAAAGAACCAAATAAACGAACAAACAAAGTCGTAACTTCAGAGAACAAACTGATGGTTACCAGACTGAAGTGAGTTGATGGCTGGGTAAAAAAGGTCAAAGGGATTAGGAAGTACAAAGTGGCAGTCACAAAACATGTAGGTCTTTGGATTTCATGACTTGGAATACCTCTTTCCAGCCCCTTCTTGCCTGTAAGGTCTCTTTTGAGAAATCCACTGACAGTCTGATGGGGACTCCTTTGTAGGTGACTGTCCCCTTAGCTCTTGCTGCTTCTAGGATTCTCTCCTTCATTTTAATCTTGGCTAATGTCATGATGATGTGCCTTGGTGTGTTTCTTCTTGGGTCCAACTTCTTTGGGACTCTCTGAGCTTCCTGGATTTCCTGGAAGTCTATTTCCTTTGCCAGATTGGGGAAATTCTCCTTTATTATTTGTTCAAATAAGTTTTCCACTGGTGGCTGTTCCTTTCCCCCCTCTGGTACCCCTATAATTCGGATGTTGGAGCGTTTAAAGATGTCCTGGAGGATCCTAAGACTCTCCTCATTTTTTTGAATTCTTGCTTCTTGACTCTTTTCTGTTTGGCCATTATTTGCTTTCTTCTGGTCCACTCCATTGATTTGAGTCCCAGTTTCCTTTTCATCCTTATTGGTTTCCTGTGCAATTCCATTCATTCCAATTAGTTTCGCCTTCATATGTTTGTCTAATTTGTGGCTATAATCAATCAGTTCTGTGAGGATCCTGATCACCAGTGTTTTAAACTGTGCGTCTGAGAGTTTTGCTATTTCTTCATTGCTTAGATTTATGGGCTCTGGGGCTTTGAGATCTTCTTGAGCCATTTTTGGTCTGTTTGCACCTGTTAAGTACGAGGATCGGCGCCTTGGACTCCCAGGTCGCTGGGTTGTGATGCTGTATGTGGAGGCGTGGTCAGAGCGGGGAAATGGCGGCCCCTCTGCTGTTTCTTGCAGCTGGATGAAGAGCAGAGCCTTAGGTTGTTCACCGGGGCAGGGCCACTTAGGTCGCTGGATTATGATGCTGTATGTGGAGGCAGGGTTAGAGCGGGGAAATGGCGGCGCCCTCCGCCATGTCTATCCACACACGAATGCGCGACCACAGTCAACCTGCAGCCCTGCTCCGTCGCTGTTTCCCCGAGATTGCTTGCTGACTTGCCCACCAGGTCCAACCCCGTGCCTGGATTCCGCGCACCTGAGTCCGTCTGACGGAGTTTTCCTGTGCTACCCCACTCTGCCAGCTGCTGGTTTCGCCCCTCTTACCGGTCAGGCTGAAGAATTTGTTGTTATCAGACTTCCGAAAATTTCAATTTTCTGTGTTCTGGCTGTGTTTTCTGTTGCTATTATTTAGTTGTCTCTAAACTTGGTTGTGTGAGGAAGCACGGCATCTCCACCTATGCCTCCATCTTGGCGGAAGTTGTTGTGTTCAATAATATTCTAATAACTCTGTATGTTATAGGATGGGTATTCGAGTTATCTGCAGGATTGCTTCATTAGTTCTATAAATGTTAACTGCTATTCTGTACACTTAAAACTAACACAATAGTGAATATCAACTGTAATTGAAAAAAACTTTAATATTGTTTAAAAAGATAGCACATCTGAAGGAAAAGAATCAGGAATGGAGAAGCATGGTGACAGACCATCTATCTGAAAAGTCCTCCACTTGAATATCTAATGCTGTTTCGAATCCAGGAAGTCCAAACCCAATTTCTCAATCTTCCCCTCCAACCACACACACATACACAATGTGCACACACATGCACACACCTGCAGCCCCTCTCCCCTCTCCGATTCAGTACACGGCTCTTATTCCACCAGCTGCTCAGGCCAAGCAGCAGTGGTCTCTCAACTCCTCCTTCTCTCATCCAGTGAGTCAGCAAGTCTATTAGCAAATGGTCAGAATTTGACCAATTCTATCATCGGCCACTGCCCTGGGTCCAGCCAACATCCACCTCTGCCGGCTTGGATTTCTACAAACTTTCACTGCTCTTTTCCAGCTTGCACTCTTGTCCCCGCCCACTGACCGATTTCTGAGCAGCCTTGAGGAAGGCTTTTGAAAAGACAAGTCACGCACTCACTTTAGTAGTCCATGGACTGAAATGGGAACAATACAGAGATTAGCATGGCTCCTGCACAAGGAGACACACACATTCATGAAGCATCTCACATTTTTCTGTCATTTAAAAATTTTTAAATAAAAATTTTAATTGAAAGTAAAATATTTAATTAAAAATAAAAACTCACACGGGGCTCACTTAAAATTATTTACAATATTGTCCATTTATGTTGAATGTACTTTTCTTTAGATAATGCAAATTATAATTTTTTAATGATAAAAAATGCAACAGGTTAGCCCTGGCTGGTGTAGCTCAGTGGACTGAGCATGAGCCTGCGAACTAAGGGATCGCGGTTCGATTCCCCGTCAGACACGTGCCTGGGTTGCAGGCCAGTTCCCAACAGGGGATGCACAAGAGGCAACCATACCTTGATATTTCTCTCCCTCTCTTTCTCTTCCCCTCTAAAAATAAATAAATAAAATCTTTTTTAAAAGTTTTATTAAAAAAGAAATTTAAAATGCAACAGGTTAAATCAAATAATGCCCGTCTTCTGGTCAAACCTTCCACCCCACTTAGAGGAAAAAAATTAAGTTGCTTCCATGACCTTTAAGGCCCTGAACAGCCTGCAGACTGCTGTCAGGCACCTGTCTTTGGGACTTTCTTCCCCTCCTTCGGGTGCCTGTTCACCCAGGCCTCTTCACTGCTCCGACAACATGCCGACAAAGTCCATGCTGGAGCCGATGGGCCTGCCACTGCCTCCGCCTGCAGCTCTCGGCCGGCCCCCTCCCTTGTGCCAGCCAGACACCTGCAAAGTGTGGCCCTCCTGGAGCAGTCCTGCCCGGTCAGCTGGCAGAGTGCGACACCTCAGAAAGCCGTCCTCTTGTGCTCTCAGCACTCACCATGACCCGGCAGATGACGTATTTGTTCACAGGCTATCTCCTGCCCGTCAGGACGGAACTCCATGGAGCAGGCACCTTGTTCACTGCTATCCCGGAAACAGGCCTGGCGCAGAGCAGCAGCCTGTGTGCCGAACGGACAGCTGCCGGAACGCACTGCCAGCCTGAAGCGAGTGTCCCTCGGACCTGGCGGCACGCTGTGGCCCAGGCCTCACCGGAAAGGATAGTCAGCCTCACCGGACGATGCCTTCCGGGAGCAGAGACCAATCCTACCCGCAGGTGGACCCCTCTCCAAAGTCTGCCTCATCACAGATCAAAGGAGAAAAAGTGAACTAAGTAGCACCAAGGAATCACCAGGCCACCCTGAATTCATGGCAGCGATTCCCTCCCCCAAACCCTAGAACCTTCCACAGCCCAGAAAACACCCATTAGTGCAGAACAATCAGCTAACCTTGTGGTTTACTAATGAAGGACTGACATTGCTGGTGCTTTTCCAGACACAGACTAATTCCTTGCACAGAAAATGAGGTAAGTGAATCAAATGAGCCCAAGTGAGAGGTGGACAGTGTCGAGATGCTAGATGTCATCTGGAGAAGCAGAGGTCAGCCTTGGCATCAAATAAAAATCACCTGGGGAGCCTTTCAAACTCCTCACATCCCAGCCACACCAGCTGAGTTCAACTGTGCTCCCTGGGACCGGGAGCCAGGAATGCGGCTACTGAAACAGCCCCAACTGAGTGCAAAGGTGCAGCTACTGCCCCCACCCAGAGGCTGGGGTCATGGTGAAGGCCAGAGGGAACAGGGCCAGCAGGGGAAGTGTGGCCTCTCTCATGGTGTCAATAGTCACAATAAAGAAAGTAAATAATAACAATAAAAGTGAAGATAAAGAAAAACAAGTAAAAAAGCAGAAGGGCTTCCCGAGCCACTCACCTCACCAGGGTGTCACTGCCGGTCCCGCCGGGGCTGTAATAGAGGATGTTCTCTAAGGACAGGGAGAACTTTAGGCCCTCCACCTCTGAGATGTACAGATCGGTGCGGTTGTCACTACGACTGACACACACAAACACCTGGTCCTCAGAGGCATCTGCGATGTAATATTCCTTGGGAAAAAAAAGTAAAACATACTTCAGTCAAAAAGTGCATCTGCCCTGTGAGCTTTCCTTGCATGTACCAAATCAATGCCACCCCCGTGCCCCGGGGCGGGGGGGTGGTGACCTGATGCCCACTGAACGTGACACTCCCCCAACCTCAGCACAGAAGCTGGCAGACCGACCGTCGGGGACCCTGCGGCTGCTCTGCAGCTGGAACAGGGCCCACACTGGAAAATGGGGCACAAAATAAGAATAGGCCGCTGAACTCCATAGACGACCTAAAAACCTCTTTTTAGTGAATAATGTCTCCCTCTTTTCCCCATAAGATTTAGCATGAATTTCCTTTCCTTTTTCTCCACGGTGACCACAGGAAGGTGAGCCTGTAGAAACCCAAGGACTGACGAGAGCGTTCTCTATCTCACCCTCCTCCAAGCTACTCGCCTCCCGCCACCCTAGCCACTGTGTCCAGCCTTCAAGTGCCCCCTCCCCCTGGGGCCACTTCTCTGATGGCCCAGCCCACAGGGATCTCTCCCGTGCACCACACAGGCTGCACTGGACTGCACGCAGCCCCTCTTCTGTAGAGTTCTCGGTCTCTCCAGCCCGCCCGTGTCTGAAGGGCAAGGCCCAGCGCCTACAGCTTGTCTGACCACAACAGCTGTGAGCAGGAGGGCAGCACTTAAGGCAGTGCTGCTGCCCTTCAGTGCTGGCTCCTCCTCTAAACCTTGCCACCAATCCTTTCCTGCTTAGAGCAAGCAAGGGCTCCCGTCCAGCCCCACCTCAAATACTGGGAGAAAAAAAACGGACCACGATGCCCACAGCACATGGCTCTCTCTGGGGACTGTCCTGGAAAGTGACTGCAGGAAGCACAAATACCCACCCGGCAGGGCATCCCCACAGCTCCTTTTCCGGACCTCCACGTGGGAACAGTGACACTTTTTCCCACCCCCCCCAATGGACCCCACTTACATTAATAGGGTGTCTTGTGACAAACTGGGCTGCTTGCATGGGCTTCCGGCCGAAGGAGACCCAGAGCTGCACGGAAGGTGGCTGCTGACTGCCCAGGAGATGCTGACAAGGAAGAGGAGGAAAATCCAATTGTGCCACATTGTAACCACCCCGTATAAGCGCAAGAGGAAACAGAAAAGTCACACCCCTCTGACTGTACTTAAAACACGAAGGAGGGAGCGTGACTGCAAATACAGGCTTTGCTACTTCTGCTGTCACTGGCCAGCTCGGGCTGCAGTGCTTCTCACCCTAGACTCCCTGGTATGAGATGAGGAGGAAGGGCAATGGTATGACAAGGGAGCATGGGCTTGGGAAAGCAGGTGGAGGCTGCCACGGCTTCGACAGAGGGCAAAGAGGAGAGGGGCCGTGTGACGAGGCTGAAGAGACAGGTGGGGAGGAGCCTGGAGCCCCCAAACCCCACGCACCTGACACACGCAACATACTCTCCTCTCCACTCTATTCCTGTTGTCAGATGGGACAGCAGTGGAGGTACAAGGCTTCCATTTGTACCAAGAATTGAGGGGATTTTCACTTATTCAATTTTCCAGTCTTCTAAGATTTCTCATTAATGTCTTTTGCTACAATATGTTTTCTTTGGTATCTAGAGTATTCCACATGATGTTGACCATATCACATTGTATTTTACAGACATTTAATCATGGCCAGAATCTTCAAAGTGTACATAAAAGCACTAGAGTAAGAGGAAATAACTACATCTCTCTAGGTCTCTATGTACCTACAAAATGAGAAGCTGACTTGGGTTGGGGCTTCTCTCTGGATGGGTTTCCATGATCCAGGAACATTGCAGACACACACACACATTTTGTGTGTGGATGCACCGTTCATTTTGCTAGGGAGGGTCTACTACACCTTCTACCAGATTCCCAAAAGGGTCAATGACCTGAAAAAGGGCAGGAAGCACATCCATGTGGCTTTGCAGTTTGAAGAGGTAAACATAGCTTCATGCAGACAGTCACATGCATGACCATGACACGCACTGGGATGCGGGGCCCCTGCCAGAAGGAGTTAGTTTGGCTTCATTTTTCCTGGACTATTCTCTGCTGTTTAGTATGGACTTTAAATTTCTGTAGAGCAAGGAACGACTGAGAACCCTACGCTCATGTGTGCCCAGGAAGTCCCATGTGAAGAACAAACTGATGAACACAAAGTTATTTCTGGTTCATTTGATGCACGTGCATGTGTATTCAAACTACCACTGAACAAATGGATTAAAGTAGTGTGTTTTAAAGAAGCCAGGTGAGAAGTATGAAAGACTGCTTTTCCAAAACGGCACCCTGAAAACCACGTTCATAGTCTGTGCTCAGTATGGGACCACAGGAAATGACAGACGTGTTAAAAATGTAAAACGCAGCCCTGCCTGTATGGCTCAGGGGACGGAGTGCTGGCCTACGACACACAAGGTTGCCAGTTCGATTCCCAGTCAGGGCACATGCCTGGGTTTTGGGCCAGGTCCCCAGCTGGGGACATGCAAGAGGCAAATGATCAATGTTTCTCTTTCTCACTTTCTCCCTCCTTTCCCCTCTCTCTAAAAATAAATAAATAAAAAATTTTAAAAATATGTAAAATGCATTACCTGAACAAAAAAATAGTTTGCAGCAAAATATGTATACATTCCAAAATCCCTTAAGTTAGTAAAACAGCTGCATATAAAAGTCAGACGATTAGTTTAAGTAGCCCCCTTTGAACCCTTACAAATATACATGAACACACGATGCTAATGACACGCACATGTCTGTGCTCTGTATTTTTCACTACTTCCTGCCACGGTTACATCTCAGAAAGGAGCTGTTGCTCTCAGTGGGCCCCAGACCCATTCCTTACAGGTGCTGCACACCTGCGGTGGGGAGGCCTGAGCGCCGAGGCTGCGCAGGAGGCTGGCCTCATTCCACAACTGCCAATCAGTCACTGGATACGCAGGTCAAAACACCTTCGAAGCAAATTCACCCCACTTCCTTCTGGAGAATTACTCCCAAACCTGGAAAAGGCAGCTCACACATAACATATTCCTAAACAGTTATTACAATATTTTACTGCCATCAAGAAAAATATTAACAAGTGTGCCACACTATTGATTGTAAGATGTATTATAGGGCCCTAATACTTTTTGTTACTAAGCCATGGGTTTTGTTGTTGTTGAGTTGTTCTTTACAGTTACTATAAAAGTGAAGCATGCTCGTGAAAGCCTGCAACAGGCAGACAGGTGTAAGGTAAAATGCAGAAGTTCTGCACCCTACTCTCCATTCTGGACGACTGAGGTTCTCCCAACTGATGGTTCCTGAAGTCAGGGAGGGCTGCGGAGCTGAGTGAAAAGGTGAAGGGATTATGAAGTACAGACTGGCAGTTACAGTCACAGTGACGCAGAGCAGAGCACAGGGAATACAGTCCATAATACAGAAATAATTACATGTGGGGTGAGGCAGGTACTAGAAATAGCAGGGGAACACTCTAAATTATATCACTCCCTAATCACTATGATGTACACTGGAAACTAATATAAATACTACCGATGTCAACCATCCAGTCAACCAGAATTTATTTGGATGTCAACCATCCAAATAGAAAAACACATTTTAAAAAAAGATGAGGGTTCTCTTCCTTTTGTGCAAGTACCTGTGGTCATGTGACTAAGTACTAATTAACACAAGCATTGTGCTGGTTTCTCGGGAGGCTGCTTAAATAAGGGAGTGAAGAAGCTAAAAAGGATCCTACTTCGGCCTTTCTGTCTGTGGTCTTCCTAACTCCAGTAAAGCCTCGAAGAGGTCTTGAACCACGAGGGAACCTTGACACTGGAAGCCATCGTGCAGATGGCAGAGCAGAAAGACAGACGCTCGGAGCTGGTCCCCAGGACGCCAGCTCCACCCCAGATGGTCTCCCTCCGGGCGGCACTGACTGCTGCGGCACTTGCACTGCCAGTGTGTGCTACAGCCTCACACAACACCAGCAACACCTGCGGCTCCAGGTTCCACGCACAGACGGTCACACGTGGAATGCCTCTCAACTCTGGTCATGAATAGACTGACTGTTGTACCACTTAACTTTGTTGTTAACAGTGCACTTTGACCTTCATTTCACAGCCACTGGTGGGTGTTGAGGTCGTTTCCAGGAGCACTCTTCGATGAACACACGCGTGCGTGTCGCCTCTTTGAGAGCGACATAGGGACATCTGCAGGATATTCTTAGAATTCCTAGGTCAAATGTTCAATTCTGATAGACAATAAAAATGCCTTCCCGAAAGGCATGCCAGTTAATACCAGCACACACAACTTCACCAGCATCTGGCAGCATTTTGAATGTTTTGTTTCATATGCCAATATTATAGGGCCTAATAATTTATGATGAACTCTTTTTATCATGTGGCATGTTCATTGCTGATGAGTAAAAGTAAATTAATATAAGTACTGGAATAATCTGAATTTCAGAGAGTGCATTTACATTTATGTTTCGCATTATAGCAGTAGAAAAAAAAATGAGAAACTAAGGAGCAAAAAGCAGAAAGAAACTAAATAAATGACACACATCACCAAGCAAAGACCAAAGGATGTCACAGGCCACTCATAGCTGAACGCTGCTCAGGGAAAGCTGGTGGGAGGAGGGGCTGCCAGAGGCTGTGCACAGGCGCCCCGTGTGGGTTGCAGCGCTCACCGCCCTTTCTGTGCTGAAGCCCTAACCGGGTCTCAGCAGAGCACCACCATCCACATCAGTGCTCTGTACTAAATGTTCTATGGCCATAATGATATATCTGGAATTTGCTTTAAAATAGTCCAGTAAAAAAAAAAAAAACAGTAGGTAGACAGCTACAAAAAACATTACCCCAAGTCAAGGATATTGAGGCCTAATGAGGGCCCATGGGGGGGCCAGGTCAGTATAAGCTGCTCTTTTATGTAGATTTTTAAATGTCAGAGTGAGTTGCACGAGGGGCCTACTTGAAAGCTGCAGTCTCAGCTCTCCTCCTAACGTAACCTGATTTAACTTACTGCAGGGACAGAGCTGCAGTCAGGGCATTTTCGGAAAACCTCGACAACTGATGAATGTTTAACCTCCCAATGGCTGGAGAAGCAGAACCACCCTGGAGTTCACTAACGGGGGGTAACTAGAACGCACAAAAGGGAAACCTGGGGACGAAGGCATCCACCAGGTCAGGCGCATGTGGCTGCAAGCGTTCTCACGAAGGGACCAGTAGGGGCCTTTTTCCTCTGATTTCTCTGGGCTGGCTGAGGACCTGCGGCTCTACACTAGCAGGAGGTCCAGGAGAAGGCAGAGCTGCAGGCTGCCCAGGGGCCTCCACAAAGGCTGCAAGACATATGTTCCAAGTGTTTACAGAAACCTCTGTTCAGCCAAGACCTGAACATTAGGCTACATCATCCAACGTTTCAGGAGCCATACACAATGAAGAACAGAAACTTTACAAAACCAATGCAGAAAACACAAAACAAAAACAGCAACAACAATAACAATAACAAAAAGCAACAAGAAAATATCTTGGGAAGGGGTACTCTGACATAAGAAGTTAAAAAATGTCCTGTTTTCAACAACAAGACAAGCAAGCAGCAAAGTGCACACACACAGTCAGCACACACTGTGCCTGAGCAAGACCGAGCACTGGTCTCACACAGAAAATGCAAGTCTTCTGTGATGATGTGCTCCAAGTACCAATGGAAATCGCGTCTTGGGAATTGAAGGGGAGCATAAGAACCCTGTGTCACCAAGTAGAGAAAATCAATAAAGACATAGAAATTACTGAAAAAAAGAAACAGAAATTCTTGAGTTGAAAAACGTACAATAACTCAAAAGAAAATCCACTGAAGAGGTTCAACAGGAGATCTGAACTGACAGAAGACAGAAGCAGTCAACTTAAAAGCATTAACTGAGGATCCACGCGATGACACACAGGAAACTCGAAAACATCATACTTAGAAAAAAAACAGTCACAAAGGGTCATATGTGCTATGGTTCCCTGTACATAAAATGTGTAGAGCAGGCCAATCCACAGGGCAGAAGAACTGGGTCTGTGGCTGCTTGGGGCCGGGAGGCAGGGAGTGAGA